CGTTTAACAACTTAATTCGGTTCACAATCCATTCAAGAAGTGTTTCGCCCCTCTGACGATTAGCGCGGGCCGTGAACCTGAGCCTGGGATCCAGTCTCTAAAGATTCCCATTTCGCAGATACACTTGGAGAAGAGGGATCGGTCAAGACTTTAGAGCTTAAAGTTAGCTCTAATAAAAACAAATCAGATATAAGATTAATGGCTTCTCAAGACTTACTTCCAGTTCTCTGATAGGAATCTTTATAGCAATATAAATGTAATTTAATACAGAGGTAGATAATTCTTCATTTTAAAGATATAAGTAGACTTCTTTTTACTGTGTAAAAATCCTCTGTTCCACCAGCTCCTAAAACTCCTCCAACTCCGCTCCCCTTCTTGCCACCTCTCCACGCCGCCTTGTTATCTTGACAGAGTTGCGCGATCGTTTTGTAGTCGCTTTTGGTTTCAGCTACTGCCTGGCGATTCACATTTCTCGCTTTCGGGTTGACAAAATTAATGAGTTGGCCAAGCTGTGAAGCTCCTCTCCCACCCCTTCCTACCATTTTGCAATCCTCGTTAATTTTAACAGCTTTGGGATGCTGAGCCTTAAAATTTATGCGTGAATTTGGCGCAGATCCATTAAGTGGTCCATAGATTAGGTGGCTCCCTTTGTGACCAGATTCGGCTGGCTGGCTGGGTTTTGGGGGCTAAGTGACTACTGCTGGACCTTCCGTTGCAGGCAAAGGCTGCACGGTAGCTGAGTAGCATGTTGCACCAGTGGACAGCTTCCCTAAATGGCGCTTAAATCCGAATCGCCTCTTTGTTTTGACATTTTTCTTATATATGCCGAAATGTAAATTCAATTAATTGTGACATTTTCAAGGAATACCACGCTGACAGCTGTGCGATATGTTTTTCCATTTATTTCTTAAAGTCTGAATGGGAATATATAGTATATATATCAACAAGTGGGTGGTTTACTTTAGGAGTATGCAAAATCAAATTAGTTTCAGTAAAAGTGAGCTGTGATGACCCACAAAATCCGTTGGTGTTGTTTAGAGTTTTAGGTTTTGGACACGCTACTTGGCGTTTTTATAGGTGTCGAAAGGGTTGCCCGACTTTTGCTAGCAAGTAAAAGGAAGGGGGGAGAGCGGCAGCGCAACATCTATCAGGTGCAATGGCGGCACGCAGCTCTCGACCAACACGCATAGGCCAAAGTCAAAAGAGCCAGCTGATGAATGAATGAGTGTCTGGTCGGGTCTGGTCTGGTCTGGTCTGGTAGGGTAATAGTATGGTATGGTCTGCGTGAGTGGTATACTAACGGTTTGCTGCGATTTTGGCGCCAAATCGAGCGTGTTATGATCAACAAAAGCCACCTGAACACGCTGCGTATGCGTAATGCTTTGCATGCAAGCCAACTGAAGAAGTAGCCCGAGCCGAAGGCGTAGACAGCTGAGCCATGGATGCCATGAACTCACGTGCCCCCTAAAAGGATTGCGTGTCATTTGTTTATAAACACATCATCAAGGTAGGGAAGGAGGAAGCGGGGGTGCCGGCTCAGCAATACACTGCCGTATGCAAATCCAAGAGAGGGTTCAAGGGGTCGCACTGGTCGCCGATTAAGCAACAATCGACACTTGCAAATGGTTTTGTTCGTTGTTTGTCAACTTTTGCAAAGTGAAATAGTTTTAGTATTCAGCCAGCAGAAGATATTTTCAAGTTATGTCAGTTGGTAGACCTTGGGAGAGGGGTTTTGATTTAAGTCTGATGATTACTGATTCCTTTTTATTACTAATAAGGTCATTATAGGAAGATCTTTACCTAATGTTATATACAGTTCCTATCTTTAAAAGACAATAAATCAGTCTAATATCAAAACTTTGCACGTTTTCCTATTAATTTGGTGTTAAAGTCAATGCAATGTCTTCACTTGTTTTAAGCTTTATAAACTTATCCTACACTTAGCTTAAAGTACAAAACTTTTAGTATCTCAATCTCCTTAATTAGTTCAACTATGAAGCATACAATATATTGGCTTAAAGCTTTCTAATATATCTACTGCCCTGGCCAGCAGCGGGCGTGGTGCGTCGGGATTTAGGGCTTATATCTTATTTGTTAGATCTCTGGACTTTGCTTTGGCGTGCTGTGGGCGAGACGCCAGCCTTGGACCTTGCAATTTGTGTCAACCCAATCGAGACACATACACACACACACACTTATACACACCGACCTGGTCCGCAATCCCTGAGCTCCTCCCTGCCTTCCTCCTTTCTCCGCAGAACGAAACCCCAATCCCAATCCCAAAAGTCGTCCGCATTGTAATTTCTTTAAAAGCAATTCATTTCATAATGGGAAAAGGAAAGAAGAAATGTGAAGAAGAATGCCAAATGGGGGAGGGATGGGTGTTGGCACGAGGCGGGGAGGCAAGGAAAATGGCGAAAAATAATACATGGAGAAAAATGTATAGAAAGGACGACCACGACGACGACGACGACGACGACGACGTAGACGACTCTGAAGGAGAATAAAAATGGCTTTTTGGGGCTGAAAGTTTGCAAGGAACGTGGAGCAGTCACAAACACACACACACACACTCATTGCAGATATCCTTTGTTGGCTGGGATTCCTCTCTAAACTCTCTCTCTGCTTTTCTCTTTCTTGACGTTTTTATGGCCCCAGACAAAAGGTTGTGCCACCTTTCACCTTTCCTCCGCTCCCACCGAAAGTTCTTTACTTTTTGGAAAGTTGTTTATGGAATTAATTTTATTCCCAGTACTTGCCGCCCGCCAGTCCTGCCGCATTTGGTCCTTTGGTTTTGCCCTTGCCATTTGGCTTTATTCTGGTTCCCCTACTACATCTATATACTATACTATATATATGTATATATAGATAATAAGAAAATTATACATTTTATGCCAAAAAAACTGAGAGAGGGGCAAAAAAAATAATACACCGCATTGCCCCCAATTTGGCAGGGGCCTCAATTTGGCCTGGCTGGAAATTATTTCTATGTCGATTCCCTTTGCTAATTCGCAGCCTTGACTGGCGTCCTCCAGTGCATTCCGATGCGTCTAACGGTTTCGTTCATCAATATAATCATCTCGCCCAGATCCAGCCATAACCTCGCTCGTTTATCCCTTCTCTCCTCTTTTTTTCCTGGCCCAGACACTGATCATTTTCAAATATCTTGGTAATTGGCTATTTCATTAAATGAGTTCTTTTGATTTGGATTTGATGAGTGCTCTTCCCGGGGCCAAAATGTCTCATATTTAGCGTCGATTTGCTTGGCCACTGGAATTCCTTTTGAGTCTTGGAGGGATTCCTATCTGCGGATCTCCTTATCCTTTGGCTGCAGGGGCGACAAGTTGGCATTCCTTTGTCCTGCAGGACAACACCTTGGTGGCGCGATAATAGAACTGGGATTGGGTTAGTTTGCGATATCAACGGGGGAGATTATCCGGCAGCCAGCGACAATTTGAGGCAACATGTCGTCCAGTTTTGTGACATCAAACGGACATGCCACTGACAATTACCCGGGAACCTGCAGCACCGGCAAAAAAAGAGTCCGCCAGCCAATTAACTTAACGCGACAATATCCTGCAACAGTCCATGTCCTCTCTGGTGTTTCTGTGTGTGTGTGTGTGTGTGTGCTGTGCAGTCGAGCAAAAAGTTTTCCAAATAAAAGAGCATAAAGAAAAACCCAAACGGCAAACAAAACATCTAAAAAATTTCAAACAGTGACAAAAAAAAGTTGCCACGCAAGCGGCGAACGGAGAAAAGGGTTGGAGCGGCCATGAAGGGGGTCGTCTCATAAATTACAACAATAATTATATTTAATTACCGCTATTAACTTTGTAATAATGTCAATGAAAATGATGAGACAAAAATGATTAAAAAAAAAAACAAAACACAACAAAGAGCAGAACCCCAAGTGGCAGCAACGAGAATGCAGCTTACAAAGACCGAATCCGGCAGAAATGTTCCGCTTATCCGCTTACGGCTTGAGATAATGATGGATTAGCGGCAAAAGCTTTTGAGTCCAACTCCAAGCCATGAGCTAATCCAGATTGCCAACACTCATTCCTGCCCTGATTCCCCATCTATCCATCCAGTCCCGTCATAAACGGATTTTGCATTTATGAGCTCTGCTCTGCTCTGCTCGGCTCGGCTCCTATCCCTATCATAACCCCCCATTATATCACTTTGGTTTTACAATGGTATTTTTGGCTCGGGTTCCGCCTGGGTCCTCGAACATTTTATGACATTTAATTGGAGTGGTTTTTAGATTGCGGTCCGACTTCTGATTCGTGGCTGTATCTCTGCATATTCCCGTTTATGATTTGATTCATGGAAACTGTTAGAGGTGGAGTCGGGTAATGGGCCGATTAACTTCCTCGAATCGAAGCAGAGAATTAAAATGTGAATATATGTTGGATTATATATATGAAGAAATCGATTGATGATTTAATATTATATAATTTGGGATAATACAAAAGTGCTTTAACTATCATATAAGTAGTTCCTTTCTTATAGAGACTTTCTAGATTAAATAGCAAAGTTAAAACCAAACATTAATCGCATTAAGGGAAAGTGTGTTCCTAAACTGAAATGTGCTGGTCATTAAAACACTTTCCTATCACGCATTGTCCAAAACAACACCGAGTCCTTGGAGATCGACTAATCAGCAGACCAAGTGGGCATAGCTAATCGAACCAACCCACCCTAGTATCTATTTTATAGTTGTAATCCCTGAGAGCTGTTTGGCCATCTGGGGGAGGTTTAAGGTCCAGCCTTACGGGCTATTATTATATAGTTTCGGGTAACTGATAAGTGCAATTAATAATTTTTGACCTTTTCAAGTTCACGCCACGTTCAACGTCGTGGCCAGCTGACGCGGCCGAAGGCCTCGTCGCTTAACGTTCTTGTTCTATTTAGGGAGCCACTTTCCATTTATGCATGAAAATTGTTTTTAATTTCCCTTTCACTCATTTTCCATTTTCTTCCATTTTCACCCACTCCAGCCTGAAGCCGCCGCCCAAGGATGGCGTCACAAAGAGCAATCCATCAAAGCGGCATCGGGAGCGCCTCAACGCCGAGCTGGATCTGTTGGCCTCGCTGCTGCCCTTCGAGCAGAACATCTTGAGCAAACTGGATCGACTGAGCATTCTAAGGCTGTCCGTTAGTTATTTAAGAACCAAAAGTTATTTTCAAGGTGAGTACGGTTAGCTGGGTGGGAGGGAAAACATGGGTAAAAACACCCTTACCATAAGGCGCGTAACGATATTTCGGCCTATTAAATCGATTATGCCCGGTCTGAGGAACTCCCCGTTCTGGGTTTGGTTTGGTTGGTCAGACTGTTGGTTGGCCCAGACCCTAAACAACATGACTCATAAATGATTCAAAACTAATTTCAACGCCGCGCCAGGAGGTCCTCTCCTCCCGAAAACCAAAGGACCGGTCCGACAGACAAACACACGCACGTGCTGTTGACGGATTAAAGAACAGGAAGGAAGCAGCCAGCAGCGTGGGGCGGTCTAGTAGAAAGCAACCTAGGGTCTATAAAAGCACAGGGGAAAATAGGGAAGATATACTCCAAAAATAAATAGATAATAGAAAATGCAATAATAGTTTTGAGAAAAACTGTTTACAATTCCCTGATTAGAATTATGATTTTAAAATCAAACTAAACTTGATATGAATCTATAAGTCATTGTAAAAGTTTTTATTACTAACCTTTGGGCTTTTTGCAATAATATTCCTTATAATATAAGATATATTATTCCCAATTTGTCTCAGTGCTTTTTTGATATTGTCTGCAGCTTAGTCAGTCGGGAGCAGACACAGTAAGGCCAGGAGCTGGAGGAACTAACATATGTATCTACTTCTCTCAGGGGTGCTTTAGGCTTACCCGTTGAACCGATGTGTGTGAGTGGCTTGACCTAGGGGTAGCTCGATACTAGGCGACCCAAGAAGAGGGGTCAACATATTTGTATAATTTAAATTAATTAAAACAAATGCAATAAACTCTCGGGCCTTGATGGCTTGATTAACGATTCCGTCCGTCCGAGTTCGTTGGCATTTCGCGTTTTATTTTTTGTTTTTGTTTTAATGACCAAACACGAAAAAATGAAAATAAAGAAAATATTTAATTGCTTCATTCGCTTTCATTTGCGATAAAATTGGCAAAGTCCCGAGCGGGGAGTGAGTATGTGTGCGGCATGACAGCTTTAATGGGGTTTAAGTGCAGAAATGAAGCGATTGTGAGACCCGTATACGGGATCCTGCCCCATCCGAGAGGCACCGTCCACGTGGCGAAAATCGAACAAAAAGGTACCAGAACTTTGGTAAATATTTTGACAATTAGCGGTCAAGCGTAGTTCAGCGTTAATTGCACTGGCAAACTGTTGGCTTAAAGGACATACATTCCCAAAAACATGAACAAAAAAAAGGAGCAACCTTTTCTGGCCACGTGCCGCATTGTGCATTGTGAAAAGTCAATATAAACATTAGTTTCCTTTGCCAATGGTGGGCATCCCCCGAAAAGGAACCTCGCAGGACACTCCAAGCACAACGACAGCGACAACGACGACGGGTTAATGGACCAGAACCGTTGCGGCGTGTGCCCCGGTGAGTGGCCCCTGCCCTGGTTCATTACTATCCTGCCGGGGGTTGTCACAAAACACGGCGCGAGGTCAACGTTTGTTTTCATTTCGGTTTCGTTTGTTTGCCCAGATAGATGTTCTCGGATATTATCGGGATCATTTAATTTACAATTAGTGTTTGTTTGCCTGCGAACCCTTAACTTGGGATTGGGAATCGGAATGGGTATGGGAATGGGAATGGGTTTGGTTGTCTTTCGGGGAGCCGAAATGCGACGTGTGCCGCTCATGGATTAGCAGCGGAAGCACTCAAGACGATTAAAATTGATTAGATGTCAACCGGATGGAGGAAGAAGGATGCTGCCATCTCCAATGGGAAAGTTGGCCATGTATCTGCCAGACAATATATATATATCTGTATATATCTTTTTGGGGGTGCGGGATCCCATCTGTAGTTGCTTGACCCTGACTTGCGCAAAAAACTTCTGCTCCCCGAAACCGAAAACCATACGGAAAACGAACGAGCAGGAACCGAACTGGCAATGTTCTCTCTATATACCAGAGCTGAGTTTTGCTTTTGCATTTGTTGTACTAGTTGGGACCACGCCCCTTCAGCCCAACAGCCCCCTAACTCCCAATGATTTACTAAGTTCTCTCTCTCTCTCTTTTCTCTGGCATTTTTCGTGCTTTTCTGTGCGCTTTTTCCACTATCTCTGGGTTTGGTTTTGGCCACAAACTAAATAATTAAAGCGCGCTACTAATGGGCCATTGTCTTGGTCCGAATGCTAGGGGGGTGAACTGGGTCCGGCAGGGGGTAACTGTCCATAATTGCCAGAGCCACCTTTCGGCTTCTGGCCATAATTGTTAAGACGCGCAATTTCTACATTTTTAATGCCCTTTGCGGCAAGACTCCTGTCTTTGCGTTCAACGTCTGCCTAATTGATGAGTTGCGTAATTAAGTGGCAAGGGCGGAGAGAGGTTGCAAACAATTGCTGAAACATTAGTTGTTATGACCCTTTCGATATTGATAGTTTCAGTTTTAACGATTATTATTCATTCATTCTATTCTAGTTTTCTTTTTCTTCTTTTTTTCCGTGCACAGCACCGTAAGCTGTAAACGCAGTTTTTTCTCCACACCAAATCTACCCCCCCATTGGGCGAACAAAATGCCATTAAAATGGTAGTAAAAACCTAGAGCTACCCATAAGCAAATTGAGTTCCCAAGAAATCAACGCCAAGTGCTCTGCTATCCCAGTCGAGCAGCTACCTCCAAAGATTTGGTAACTTGAGATGGGAACGCATTTGCATTTGCATTTGGCGTTTCGCCAAGCCAGCGGGTTCCCACACAAGATTAAGTAAGGCACTGAAAGAAAATCTAGATACAATGATAGAATGTCATTTAAAAGAGGAGAATTCCGAAGACTGACTCTTTTTTCGATGCCCTTTAAAGTGCATTTCTATTTATTATTTTTACTTTAATGGAAGTAAAGAAAAGATTCTCCGTTGGAATAAATTTGAAATTTGTCAACCCAAATCTTAAGTTTGCAGAGAGATTTCTTAAATAAAAATGGCTAAATTTTTTTTATTACTTTATAATTTCATAATATTTTATGTAATAAAAACACATCTTGCATCTCTAACTCTCATTTAGCATAGATCTGCTGGCGAAGCATGCCGTTATTACTTTTGACACGGCCTTCGGTGGTCTTTTAACTGGTTCTCGGGGGTTCGTGGGAAGAGCCCAAGAGCTGTGGAAACCTGCTGGGCGTATTATGAATGAATATCTCCGGTAAAGACGTTGCACCTGAAACGTGGGACATCATCAAAGCCCAGCCAGGGGAGGCAACCAAGTCACCCACCGATTATTGGCCACGACAAGGTCACTTGGTCAGCCAGCCGCATTTCTCTGGCAGCAAGGCATTTATGTTATTATCAAAATTGCCTACAGGCAGTTGCTACCAATTGGGTTAAAAAGTCTGTACAAGACAGGCGAAGTGTGGTATTGGGAGAGGGGGGGGGGAGGGGAGGGATGAGGCCAAGGCTCAGTTCTTAACCTATAAACATAGTCGTAGTGGCAGCCAGTTCCAGAGGCATTTGGCCAATTTTTCGTACATTGTAACATGACTTTCGTGCGTTGCTCCAGTTAAGACCCTCCCGAAAACCCCTCCCTTAACCCTCTACTGCCTGACTTGGTTCGGTTCAAAACCAGACAATGAATGGGTCGCAGGCGGACATGCAATCAGTCAGGCGATGGCGATGGCGATGGCGGTGGCGGTGGCGATGCACTTGCCTACCTCCAGCTCCATGTAGGTGTTGTTTCTGTTGGTTTCGGTTTTACTGGTGCGCTTGTTTTTACTCAAAGGCGTCGTCGCATTGTCACGCCGGCCAATGCTCAGCTGTTTCTCTACATATATATACTCATTCTAGTCGGTTTTTTTACTATATATACATGCATTCGGTTGAGGGCGGCCGGAGACAACATTGCGTGACTTACGTAGGTCGACACCCCCTCAAGTTCCTCAACTCACCTCTGGGGGAAAAAAGATACAATGTCTAAAGGCCTAGTTCAATTTAAAGTCCAATAAACGATTTAGCTACTTTAAAATTGTAGAAGCCACTTGGCCTGCTTCCCTTTCTCCTCGGTAATTGCCAACCCATTGCGTTGGATTGGTAAGTGCCGGTGACCAGGCACTGGAAACCTTAAAGGAACCTTCAACAGAGAAATTAGATTTGTTTATGGGATTTTGGGCAAGGTTTAACCAAGTAGCAAGTGTTATGCCTTGAAGTGTCTGAAGAAAGGATAATCTCTACTATTTTCCTGAATAATCACTGATATATAATTGGGATCTGGTAAACAGATTAAAGATCTAATATTCAATGGCCTTTAGGATAACGAATCCGATACACATTAACCAATCTCACCTAGTAGATGAATGTTTAATGAAAGAAAGGAAAGTTTAGAGCATTTCTGTACCTATAAACGTAAATTTAAGCCAAATCAGAAACAATAATGTTTCTATTAAAGCCATCTGTCCATCCCTTAGCTAATCTACCTATCCTGACAGCTCTTTTATCGAAACTTATTTAACATTCTCCCAGTCAAACAATATTTCACACTCCCAGGTCTAACTTTTAGTATCAGAACCCCCCTGCCCCCGACCATCCGTTAACCTTTTCTGCTTTTGACCCACAACGATGGCGGTGGGGTGCATCCAAAAGGCCCTGTCACTCCTGACAGCTGCCAATGGTTGCTGGTGGTGCCGCTGCTGATGCTACGGGTGGATATGCACATAGACGGATGTACGAGTATATTCCCAGAGCTGGCGCTGTCAGTTTTCCAATCAAATCCGCTGATGAGTTTGACATTTCCATGACATATTTGCTTCTGTCGGCACGGAAAATGTTTGCCAAAATGTCAGAAAATTTAAACTTTATTTATTATTCTGCGCCAAGCCGTGCCACCAGCTCCGGACACGCCCAGTTTCAGCTCCATCTACAGCTCCAGCATAATTGACGCCACCTTTTGGGAAAGTGGAAAAGCAGGGGGAAGAAGGCGGGGAAAATGGCCCAGAGTTGGAGGTGCCGTCAGTGCAACGTCATTAGGGCGAGTATCTTTCGGGTCTTCTTCGTTCGCTGCGCACGCTTTTCCTGTGCCTTTTCCCCAACTTGTTTTCACATTGGTCTTTCTCTCTGTCTGGCTCTTCTCTTTGGCTACTTGGGTGGGGTTTTCCATCGTGGTTGTCGTCGTCGTCGTCGTCGGTTGTAGCCGCCATTTTTATGTGTGTACATCATCGAGCGCTGCGGAGAGTTTGTGCCCTGCCCCACCCTGCTAGCCGAGATTTTGCGCTTTTCCGGTCGTTCGCAGCACAAGATTTTCATCCACCGCCACCGTGTGCTGTTAACGGTGGATGGTCCGTCCGTCCGTTTAACGACTCTGCACCGGGGGTGGGTCTATCAAAAGATGGAGAAAATGGGGGAAACAGCAGCGGAAAATGCGAGGAATTTGTCGTAAATTTGGTTTATTCGTCATGTAATAACACAATGTAAGTGCAATAAAGTAGCCCGTCAGATTTTGTAACCCGAAACTAACTAAGTAAAAACCAAGGAAAACCAAAAGCCAAACTAAAGCAAAACCCAACCCAAATCTCGCCCCGGCAGAAATTAATTAAATGAGTTTATGCACGTACAGAAAAATTAAAATATACAACCAGAAATAATAAAAAGGCAGCGAGGAGAAGTGGAATGTGGATGTAAACTGAGCCTAATTAAATTATGAATAATTACGGCCGAGTCCTAGGCCAAGTGGCTGTAAAGGATCACGCCAGGATTACACGCACATGATGCAATTTGTTTGGGCCACATTAGGCCAAAGTTGGTTACAACCGCAAGGGGAGTGGCAAGGGGCAACTATTTGTTTTATCGCACTTTCGCTAAAATGAACAATCTTTCCCTGGTTTTTCTTTTTGGCCGATTGAGAGAGAGGGGAGAGGGAAAGCGAGTCACTTTTGTTAATTTGATAAAAAGGTCAAAGCAGGCCGAGATTAAAGCCAGGCGACAAGGAGCTCCAGTTTGCGGTCAACTTGGCCAGGCTGGAGCTGGGGCTGGGTTACTGGAATGCTAACCTGCTAATTGAAATTGAAGCCAAAACGTTGAGAGTTTCCCCCTTGCTTAGGGGTTGCACTTGGTGTGGCAGTGTGGGAGTGGGAGTGGGGGGGGGGACTTTTCCTCAAGGCTTGCCATGCGTAAATTAACTCTGCCTTTGTTTTTATTTTAGCTGCTGTTTTATTTCTCGCTTTAACATTTTTTATTTTACCCATTTGCGTTGATAAAAATCATAATTTATGACATCAGCTGGCGTGGCATAATTTTTGGCCAGGCAACACTCTTAGCCACCCTCCCCCGAAGAGAAAACCTTTTACTAATATTGTGAAAATATATGAAGTTCCATTTCTTTTATCGTTTATCGCACATAAATCAATTTTTGTGACAAATTTATTATAAAAACCCGCTCGGCTCCCACAAAATAAAACTCCGCTGCCAAGAAATAAATAAACAAAGGTAAATGGTTGGAGGAAAATAAAATGAAATTTTCCTAGGCCAAAATGGCGACTTGGTCGTTGGGCCTAAGGGTGGATAGTTCAAGGATTGGATAGATGGTGGTGTGGGTTTGGGGTGTAAGGTGGGCCAAGAGGGGCGAAAGTTCTCATAAAATATTACAATGACACCATAAACAATTTTTAGTACTTTGCCAAAGCCGTAAATATTTATTGTACGAGTCTTTTCGGGGAGTTGAGAGAGACATACACACATACCCATCATAATATATATATATACTATATATATCTATGATATATTGGATTTTTATGAAGTTACTATGGTTATAAGCCGGCCCCTGCTCCTGTAGCTGGGTTTGTAAAACAATTGAGTGGCTTATTTATGGCCAAGCAATTTCCTCAACTGTATTCAGTTCTTAAGAGCGAATATCAAATATTTATGGTTAATAAAATATCAAAAATGCTAACGTATCTTTCTCTCTCTCTCTACCTGCAGTTGTTATGCATAAGGATAAGGAGGAGAACGGTGTCCTGCCCCACATACACGCACATGACGGCTACAGGACACGAGAGCTGGGAGCCTTCGAGCACGGCCTGTTGGATGGTGATATGTTCCTCCAGGTGAGTCCTTCCAAGTCCCTAGTCCAGCACATAGACCCCCCCACCCCCACATCAACTCCTCTCAATTGCCTCGATTTGTCTTCATCAGTGGTTGTTTGATAGCTTCATTGGCCAGGATATGTGGCAGAGTGGGGGTAAAGGGGCATAATCAATCAGCGTCTTGTTAGCCGAGAGAGAGAGACTTTCCATTGATAAATACTGGGCACGCAATCGCATAGGACTAAGGGGCATGGGAAATCCAACTCCCTCGCTTCGATTCCATCATTTGTAATTGTCTGCAATTAATAAGTGCTCGAATTGATTAACCTAATTGAAAATTGCCTATGAACTAGGTTGATATAAGGCTGATTGATATAAGGGTGTAAAATATTATGGCTGCCTAGATTCAGCTCGAAGGTGTACAATCTGCAAAAGTATCATAAATTTGACTATATTTCCCTTTTAAGTACTATTATTACCTTGTAGTAAACCTTTTTATAAGCGAATTTAACTGAGACTACCACAAAATACACCTACTATTTGATGTCTAGTAACTGAACAAAGCCAAATCAAACTCATTTAATTTTCATTCATTTTCAAGTGCAAGTCAAGTGCAAATACAATAAAACTAATTTTTGATTTACAACGATTTCACTGCAATTAATTAGCAGTTATCATGTTTGATGTGTAGCAGCTGCACTAAAGTGGAGCACACATATAAAAAATTATGCATTTCAAGTTTATGTGCCAAAATACTCTAATTAAATTGTCGCAAAGCGCACTCGCCCCCGCCCCCTTGGCCGTTGCAGTCCGTATTCCATATTTCGCGCGCGCCTTGGGGCAGTTGCATGTTTTTGCTGAATTAAAAGTGCATGTGTGTGTGAGTGTGGCTTAGTATTTGTTTGTTGCACTGTCCGAGGCGCCAACATATGCACTTGTCACAGTCATGACAGTTTAATTTAATGCGCACATAGCTCACCGGGCATTGGAGCAGGCGGCCACCGGGCGAGTGCTGCTGCCCCCTGACAACCGCCCGCCACCCTCTAGCTTACTTCGCCACCCAGACAGACACACGCAATTGTGCAACATGCACTTGCAGCGGCAACAACCTCCTTTTTTTCTTCCACATGCCGCTTTTTTCGGCTGCACTCCACTCTTACACACACAATTTCAATGTCAAAGTCCAAAGTAACCACCCGCCTTTGAGTGCAGCACACATGTGGCACAAGTGGGCCAATGCACGTTGCAGTTTCGTGTTTGCCTGCATTACGTATACGCAGGGTGGCCCAGCGAAACGAGTGGCGAATTTGAATGCAAGCCAAAAAAAGGAAAAAAAAAGGAAACAGCACTCGGCTGCACCACCCTTTTCCTGACTGCAGCTAATTGTCGAGCTCAAAACTGCACAATTGTGCATTTCCGTGCATATTTTTAGTCTGTCTCGCAAAAAGAAAGAGAAAGAAAGAGAGAGAGAGGAGCAGGAGGTCCTTTTGGCAAATGGGGGCCGGCATGAGGTGTGCATATTTAGTTTTAATACCTCGGGTATTTGTTACCTGTTGCCCATGAAGTTTTACTTTTTGCTGCAGCTGTTGCTGTTGCTGTTGCTGTTGCTGTTGCCGTTCCTGTTTATTATGGGTCACATATTATCATTAGAAAATGGCATTTTGTCACGCAGCTTAGTTGAGGGCCAAAACACACTCACACACACACACACACACTGGCACAGCATTTAATTGTCTTCCGTTTTCACTGAAAGTAAAACACTTTCAACACTTTGCTGGCCAACATGATATGAACTCAACTTTCCATGCAACAGTTTTCTTCTGTTTTTTTTTTTTTTTGGTGGCAGATCCGCTGGAGATATTAACTTGAAGAGGGTCTGCCGCTGGGGGTGGGCTTTATTAAGCAATTATCTAGACGAGCATGGGCAAATTGGCCAAACTAGAAAGGCTTAGCCACTCCCCCTCCCCCTACCCCCTTATAAGCCTTTCCTGCATCTGCCTAGGAAATGGTAAAATAATCGCTGCCAACTTATCAAATCTCCCAACTGAAATGCAAGATATACTCACTCCGGCACAGCCTCTCTAGCTCCGGATCCCCCACTTTAAAGACGGGCGGGTATTATTAAAATCGCATTAGAAGACGCCGCAGACGAGCTTGTCTAAATTGTGGCTGCGGGAGCGAAAGAGATGCCGCGCTAGGCCATCAGGTGGGAAAGGGATGGGGCAGAGAAACAATTAGACTGTGGGGAGAAATCTTTCGTGGCCGTATAAAAAAGGTAAAATGCCGCAAGAAATGAAAAGAGAACAGCAAAAAAAAAAAACTGTAAAAAAAAGAAAATAAAAAAGCAAGTTGGCAGGACTTGTATACGAAATTTCTGATACTCTGTAATTAAGCTGATAAATAAGAAAATAATTAATATTTATTTTAGTATTTTCTGTATAAATTTAAAAAATAATAATAATAATGATAATAATGATCCAAGAAATAATGATAACATACAAAATCTGATTTTGTATAACAGACGGATGACTGGTTAAGTTTGTTTGCAACTTTTGTTTACAAGATAACTTTTTCTATCTTATAGAAAGTATCTCAGAAAAGACAAGTCTAGATCTGTATCTCTAAGAAGTAGATAATCTCAATTCCCACAGTGCAAATCAAGCAGAGCATACATAAGCTTATTATAATCTTGAGAGTCAAGTCTCCTCCAGTGGCTACCGTTGGGAAGATCTTTATGACGATTATTGATGCCCGACCAGGCCATCGCGGCCTGATGACAATCCATGCGGCATACAAACATACACCATATCCTTGCGGGCTGTTGATGCGTTTTAAATGATGACGCCACTTAGCATTTATGTCGGCTAATGCCAACCCTGGCAAGGAGTTGGTTACCCGCTGTTTCACCCGATCTCTGCTTGGATCTCAACTCCATTCAATCCTTCTCCTGCTGCTGCTGCTGCTGCTCTGTAATTATCAGCAATCGCGCACATTTTTCTCTGGCACAAAATGGGGAGACTTCCTTTCGATGCCGCTCGATGTGGTGGCTGCAAATTGATATTTAAATACGCCCGTATTAATTACGCTCCGTATTTGTATGTGTGATGTGTTGTTGTTTTTGTTTTTTGTTTTTTTTTTCGGTTCGGTTATATTAATTGCGACCGCCCCGCCACGGAGGCACTAATGGAGCATTGGCAAATTTGTCTTTCGAAGCAGTTTGGACGGTTCGGACTGTGTTCCGTTCAGTTTTCCTTCTCATTTTCACTTCACACCTTGCCCGGAGTCGGACTGTAACCGTTAGTTCCAGTTGAGATCGGATGGGAATCGCATGCGTCGACGCCATTAGCAGTCCATAAAACCCGACTTTAAAATGCAATCAAAAACAATAATGCGCCAAATAATAAACAAAACAATGAAATGTATTAAAAAACTTTTGCATGATTTTGTTGCTGGCTCTGTCTCTGTCTCTGCCACTGCCTTGCCTCTGCCACTGCCTCAGCCTTTGCCACAGATTTGATTTTCTTGTTAGCAGCCGAGCGGAGAGTCTTTGGCGGCGCATATCCGAATAGATAATGACAATGGCTCATCTGGGGATTCGAGGGGAGGGAACTGGAATGGAAACCTGCAATTACACCAAAATCTACCCCTCTCTCTCTCTCTCTACCGCTCTACCTCTCTCTCTCTTCTTCTCACTACTCAGTTGAGAGTCATTGATTTAATTGCAAGCCATTTCCTGGTTGTGTTTGATGTGGAACTCCAGATCCGACTGGGTTTCAGGGGGTATCTGGGGATACACAGGCCCGCATATGGCGACCTGTGGCTTGGATGAAATAAGCCGCTTAAGCACTGATTACGCTTTGGCCGCAACTAAGCGCCGCCATCGTGCTCGTCTTCCCAGTCGCTCCTCCTGATGCGGTTGGAAAGGGGCTCATTGGAAGGGGCGTAGCCAGCGCGGGTCAATGGAAGAACGCTGAGATTAATAATATTAGATATTTTTGCTATTCCCTTAAAAGATTAGTTTTAAGGCCAGATATTGCGCTTATTACTAGGCACTAAGTTATAGCGCCAATATATGTATACTATCCTATCCTGTATCCTATCCAGCAGACTTCTTTTTGAGATATTTAGTAAAATATCTTAGACCTTAGCAAGATATTCATTTTCTCGCAGTGCATTAAAATACCTCCGGCTGCCATGATCAATAACATTTCATTCACCAAAATATGACGAACCCTGGCAGCTACTGTAATTACACCTTAGCCAACCCATCTCATACCGATGGTTCATTCATCTGGCCATTGATTCTTAGATCTATCTATCCACTTGTCTCTGAGGCACATCAAAATCTAACCCACAGAAAGAAGAAACAGACATTTAATTCATAGTTTTGATTTAATTTTGACCCGTCTACCACATTTCTCTTTGAATTTCTTTGCAGGCCCTAAATGGATTTCTAATGATACTGACATGCGAAGGCGAAGTCTTCTTTGCCACGCACAGCATCGAGAGCTATTTGGGTTTTCATCAGGTAAGTGCCACCAGCTCCTAGCCCCTCACTCGCTCTCTTTCGCTCCGTTTTTTGATTGATTTTAATTGCCGACGGTTTTTTTTTTGTTTTTGGGTCAATCTGTGAGTTGCGGAAGCGGTCCGAGAAAGGAAAATACTTTGGCCCAAAAACAGAGGGGAGATACAAAGTATCTAAGTGCAGTTCACAAGAGGCGCTAAGTAATACTATCTTAACATTACTTCTTTTGATATGAAAGATTGTCAAAGTATAAATATTTGGGAAAATCATTTTAAAAGTGAAATATATTTTGGCCAATCTGTGGCATGCGGAAGGCCTCCAAGAAAAGGAATCACTTTGGCCCAAAACCAAAGCAGCCAGGCCAGACACTTTTACAGGTTCACATGGAGAGCTGATTTTCGTATACTCTGACCCAAATCCGAGCCACCGTTTAAGGCTTTAAGGCAGCAGGAAAGTGGTCCGAGCTTGCCACACTCAAAGGGTATGGAGCTGAATCGATTCGCGGGTCCGACAGATCATAAATTAAAATCAGATTGCGCAATCGCTGGGAATCTCCTTCGGAGTAGCAGCAGCAGCAGCGGCAGCAGCAGCTGCAGTAGCGGGGCGTGGCCAGATTGATTCCGATGCGGTTACTCCGATTTGAATTCGGCTTCCTTCGGCAGCATGTTTGGGGTACACCTTCATTGTAGTTTTTTGCCTACTTTATTGTCGAATGGAAATTGAAATTGTAGTTAGCATCCGCCCGAGTTTGTTTTTTATTTTGCTTTCCTTTTTTCTCTTTTTAAAATTTAGTTGTAAATGTGTAAAGCGGCACATGCCACGCCCCGTTTGGCAGCTCAATTAAAAGCGTAGCTGGGCTTAACGTTCGAGAAAATCAGTTGGGTTTGTTTGCTTTTGGTGTGTGCAGGGAAGTAAAAAAGGGGGCAGAAGGAATGGAAGGGGGTAGGGTCCCTTGTAGCCCCCGTCAAGTGAGCCTTCCTCCTGCTCCTGGCGCGTGCAGAATTTATGTCTCAATTTGTGGCCAACATGGGGCGCATTTTCAATTTGCGCGCATTTTGATTTATACGCCCCGAAAACCCCGGGCGAATGAGAGCGCGACGAGAGCCAGAGAGCCGAATCAATAAGAGTTCCCAGGTGACTGACCCCTGACCAATATATATATATATTCCCATCCGCAGTCGGATATTGTCCACCAGTCAGTGTACGAACTGGTCCATTCGGAGGATCGCGAGGAACTGCAGCGCCAGCTGCTGTGGAACAGCTTCCTGCCCGCCGACATGTCCAGCATGCAGCTGTCGGGGACTTTGGCGCCGGACAAGGCACTCTATCTGGAGCGCAGTTTCACAGTCCGCTTTCGCTGCCTCTTGGACAACACCAGTGGCTTCCTGCGCCTGGACATTCGTGGCCGAATCAAGGTTCTGCATGGCCAGAACCGCAAGACGGAGGAGCCCCCGCTAGCCCTCTTTGCCTATTGCACGCCCTTTGGACCACCCAGTCTGCTGGAGATTCCACATAAGGAGAACATGTTCAAGTCTAAGCACAAGCTAGACTTCTCCCTGGTATCGATGGATCAGCGCGGCAAACACATCCTGGGCTACGCGGACGCAGAACTGGTCAACATGGGCGGCTACGATCTGGTGCACTACGATGACCTCGCCTACGTGGCCAGTGCCCATCAAGAACGTAAGTTTTCTTACTGGAAATCCTTAAACCTTCACTTTAAAGATGTAACCAACATTCATTCTCCTTTTGATAATCTACAGTTCTGAAGACGGGTGCCTCCGGCATGATTGCCTACCGCTACCAAAAGAAGGATGGCGAGTGGCAGTGGCTGCAGACGAGTTCCCGCCTGGTGTACAAGAACTCCAAGCCGGACTTTGTGATCTGCACGCATCGCCAGCTGATGGACGAGGAGGGCCACGATCTGCTAGGCAAACGAACAATGGACTTCAAAGTTAGCTATTTGGATACAGGCCTGGCGTCCACTTACTTCTCCGAGGCGGATCAGCTGGTAGTGCCAACGAGCGCATCTCCTACGGCCCACGCCCTGCCGCCTCCGGTGACGCCAACACGACCAAATCGACGCTATAAGACGCAGTTGCGAGATTTCCTCTCCACATGCCGCAGCAAACGCAAGCTGCAGCAGCAACAAAATCAACAGCAGACGCAGCAAACCTCGCCCCTTGGTGGCCAGGTGGGCTCTCCTGCTCCGGCTGTGGCCGTGGAATACTTGCCTGATCCGGCGGCAGCGGTGGCCGCCGCCTACTCCAACCTGAATCCCATGTACACAACCTCGCCGTACGCCAGTGCAGCGGACAATCTCTACATGGGCAGCTCTATGCCAGCCAACGCCTTCTACCCGGTCAGTGAGAACCTCTTCCATCAGTACCGGCTGCAAGGTGCCGTTGGTGGTTACTACACGGATTACCCGCACTCTGGCGCTCCGGCCTCGGCTTATGTGGCGAATGGTTTCCTCTCTTACGACGGATACGCCATCGCCTCGAAGGCGGATGAAAAGTGGCAAGAGACTGGGAAAGTACTACAGTGGCTACAGCAGCGGCTATGGGAGCCCGACATCCACGCCACAGGTTAGTAGTAGGTTTAGGCCCTTAAATTATCCTAGCTAATTAAATTTTACACACTCCTTTTACAGCAAATTCCCCTTAAGACGCCGAAGTCTTCACCCCAGGTGATGGAGGTGATATCCTGCTCCTCGGATGGACCCTCTCCCGTGGGTGGCGCCACGCCCAATGGAGCTGGAAGTGTAACGCCGAAAGTGGAATTGGCCGCAACAACGGCTGCTGCAGTTGGTGGCCAGGACCCTTACGAGCGCCAGACTGTGCTGATGTGGGGCACCACGCACTCCAGCGGGGTACCACTGAATAGTCTGCAAGGTGGGCGGAGTGGAACAGGAAATCCTGGCTCACCACAGCGATCCACTCCTCTGACCAATGGACTTGGCTATGGCAGCGCCAACAACAACAACAACAACAATGAGCATGAACCTGCAACAGCGGCCAAGTGGAACGGGACGAAGGAGCTGCCCGGAAAGTCAGCCAGCGCCAGTACACCGGAGAGCTACCAGATGCAGCATGACGACTCCGGCCTGTACTCCGCCTCATCGCACACAACCTCGCCCCAGCAGCAGCAGCAGCAACAACAGCAGCAGCAGCTCCAACAGTCGCAGCGAGGAGTTGGTTCCAATGTTAGCGCCCCCAGCAGTTCCCTTACCAGCACGGGCACAGATCAACAGGCGGTGCACCCACCCAGTTGCCACCAACAACAACAGCAACAGCAGCAGCAACAGCAACAACATCATCACGCCCACCCGCATCCACACTCGCATCATCACCATCATCATCATCATCACCACGAGACGGCGCATCAGCACGGCAGCGAGGTATGGACGCCCGCCTCCTACACGCAGTACTCGCAGTACTTCACGTACCATCATCCGCATCCGCACCCGCACCATCCGTCGGCTGGCGGCGGTGGCCATGTTCCGGCCCAGTCGCATCACCTGCACCACGGCCACCGCTAGAAGGCGGATAGATTGCACCAGTAATGAAGCACTCGCACTCTTTGAACTCACCCACAACCACTCACCTTCTGATACCAATAGACAACCCACTTCAGTGCACCCAAATGTGCTCTCTCGCCTGACTACTAACCTTAACGATCCTCCCTAGATCATACTCACCACCCATCAGCAGCAGCAGCAACAGCCGCAGCAGCAGCAATCGCTGGCTGGTTATCCGCTGCACCACCAGCTGGTGGGAGTCGGATCAGGATCACCGCCACCGCCACCAGCCACGTTGTCCCGCTCGCCCACTGCTCTGCCAGCGGTTAGCAGCCTGCTTAATGGATCAGCTTCAGCAGGATCAGCATCGGATATACCCTATCAACAGCTGGCCATTGTGTCCGCTCCACTGGTGATCTGCGCCGAAGAGTTGGGCGGAGGCGTCAGCAGCATTGGACGCAAGTCGTCCAAGCATCAACAGTCCCTGCAACATTTGCAGCAACAGCAGCAGTCCCTGCAGCAGCAGCAACATGCAATATATCAGCAGCAACATCACCACACGCAGCATCATCCGCATCATCAGCTGCTCTATCCGGCGAATATTACGGCGCACACGGCGCTGGCCTATGCCCCGCCCACTGCCGGTGGGGCGTATGCCGATGGCAGTCCGCTGCTCTCCTTCTCCGAGGTGACCAACACGCTGCTGAACCAGTGAACGTTGTGAATGTCGTGAGAGGGGAAGTGAGGAAGGAAGGGAACCGTTCAACAGTTTTGCCAAAATGTGGACTATGACTATCGTATCTTCCATAATCTGAACCAGCTACGAATGGATATAGCCAGCGCACGCCATTCGTCCACCCAATCCTTGGTTGATTCTCAGAAAACAGCAGCATCCGAGAAGATTTCTATTTATTTTACTGTGATAATTTATAGATACATTGTATTGTATGTGACACTAGGTTTTACCCATTCAACAACATTCCATATCAAGCCGTAATAGCCGTATCCAAACTTCCAGGGAATTGGGAATGGGTACTGCAACCTTAACCAGCACAAAGTTAGGAAGCGAACCCCCCCGTTGATCCTAGGCAATCATAGGGTAGATGGCGGGCAGCTTCGACATTCAATTTCAGTTGTAGTTACAACCAAAGATTTCTCTAACTTATACCTATATCATTTTAGCATAATACGATCCATCCAATTGGCTTCGAATTTGTTGCGCCAAAACAAACTTTAGTTACACTTCAGTTACACTCGTCAACAGAGTAAGGGATAAATGCCTAAATAGTTGCGTTAAAGAGGAGTGCTTAAGTAGCATTTAAGTGAATAACAGATGCTTGTATCCATATTTAATTGAACTTTAGACGTAACGATTAATGCAAGATAAAGTAATTTTCATGATTCCTATCGTTTAGCAAGTAATTAAATTAATCCGTAAGCGGTATAAATCCGTAAACACATAATGTATTGTATGTTTAAAGTTTTCTTGGAATTTCTAGTCGCCCGCATAAAAACATTTACTTATAAATTAAACAAAATACCTTAAAATGTACACTTCAATGGTATACAAACTCGTATGTTTTGCAATTCGGCAGGCAATACTGTAGGTAGTCTGTACTACTTGTATGAGGATAACCGACTATTGGTAACCGCCAATGAATAAGCTATCTAAATTACCGCTTCAAATTCGATGATTGATTATGTATTCGAAAAAAACAAAAATAAATTTAAAATGTAGATAATCTGTCAGCGAATTAACAAAACATTTAATACCATTTCAATTATAAATTTATAAAAGAAACCCGAGTGCATGTAAAGCGCGCCTATCCAAAACAATCAGAGCGAAATAAATCTAGAAAATAATCAAATCACTTAAATGTGTTTTAATTTAAAACGTTTTTTAGGTCTTAAGCTAAAATATTTCTTGTAAAAGGTACAATAGCAATATTTTTCGCATAAACTCTTGCCTCTCTATAACCTTAGTATTACTTTTGCCTAAAAGTATGCCACAAATATGGGTTTAAAAGAGTAACCCGAAAACTATGCTATAAAAACCCGGCAGTTGGAAGGAATTAAAGGAGAAGTAAGGATAAAATATTTACAAATGTGCATCTTAATTAGCAGATGTTTTTTGCTAACTTTAATTTTCAATTTTTTATTTTCTAAAGAAAAAACATTAAATTCAGACATCTTGTTAAGAAAATTTCTTAAGACCATACCAGACCTCATAAAACCAGACCTCTTTCAACATACCATTTTGATTTACCACTAGGTAAAAGCTATTAAACTTTCGGTAATTGGTATTGGTACAATATAAATGAAGTTGTAAATAGCCGACTATCGTCGTCCCAATATGTAAGTACTTAGCTTTTCCAAGGTGCAACAATAGTAAATCACAATTTTCCATGGAGCAATTGCCATTCAACCGCAAGCCATTACCATCTCCAGACTTAATTGGAGACTTTACTGCCTTTAATTGACAACGACAACGTGGCGCACACACACGCGACACACAAAAGTTTTGATTGACACCTAACAATCATATTTTCCTGGCTATATAGATAATGGAAAGCATTCATCAGATGCTGGGGCGCAGATTTGAAGACTAACACCGAGAGCACAAAGGCATAATCATCCGGTAAAGCGGGAGCGCCCCGAACTCGACTTGAATAGTAATAGCAATCCGATGTGGGTTGTGCGTTGTTTACGCTCGATATTAAATGAATTATTCTGCAGCTCAACTCATTCGCATTTATCCCAAGACCAAACATACTGAATACGTTGTTTTGAGCCTCGAAAGCCAAACCAATTAATCACTCACACCAGTTCCTATATATGCGAGCGATACAATTGAACCGTTGAACCAAATTCACATTGAAGATATTTGTTGTTGATCTGATGGCTTCATTGTTGAAGAGGCTGCCGCGGCACTTGACTTGGGCTTGCTGTATGCCCTCTGGGCAACCTAAGGCTAGGAGCTGCTCCTCCTCCTCCTCCGACTCCTCCATTGCCAAGTGAAGGTCACGTTTATGGATTTTACCATCCACAATGGGAAACAATGCTACGTGTATGCTACCTTTTTGGCATTTTAAGAACAACCCCTCATAGAAGTCGAGGCAGCAAGTGAATGGCAGTTGGCCAACAAATTACCGATGTTTGGGAAATTTTGAAGAGCTGTCCAAAGTGTCAATAAGATATAACCAATATATAACTTCCCCTGGTGGTTATACGGTATATGACTATCCAAATATGGTTATAGTGCTTGGGAATTCCTATCGCTATGGTCATTCTATTGTTTTATTTCTTGAGTTCGTGTCTTGAGTCTTTCGTTTGACGTATCTTTGAGATCATTCTCTAATAGATTGCAGCCGCGAACAGAAAGAGAAACTTGAAATGAAATAGAAATAAATTCAACAATTAACAAAGTGCGCCGTTTGTTTACTTTGATTTACTTAACGTTTTTTTAATTTTTCTTCTTTTTTTTTTTGGTTTTATCTTTGTGTTGCCGTTGTTTGTGGCACTGCTGGCTTTGGAGCTTGACCTTTAATAGTCGTGTTGTACATTGTGCCATGGGCGTCTTGGTAGGTCCGTCCGAGATCGAGATGGAGACGGAGATGGAGATCGAATTTGGAGAGTGAAGTCGAGGAAGCTGGAGCATCAGAAATGCCTGCAATTGAACTTCAAATCCGTTTTTGGCGGCTGCCTGTGTAAGTGCAATAAAATGCTGCCAAAGGTGATAATCTTGGCTTATTCATTGCTCTTCATGTTCGTCACTTAAGGTCAATGATATGGCAGAGCTGACCGCACGCCGGACGCGAACGTGATCATCATCGCTCAACCAACCATCTGACCTTGCTGCATTGTTGGTTTGACAAATTTGTAGCAGCTCGCTCTAGACGAAATTGCCACTTTGGCAGCGACCACCGGATGCGGCTATCATTTGAGCTACTTCTTCATTCGTTTTTCTGGCAAAGGTGTTTACCTTTCCTCTTAGCACTCTCTGGTGTCCCAGTGCGTATGCGCAATAATTTCCATATGACTTGCCTCCGTTATCAATTATATGTGCTTAGCCGCTGGCTTGCTTGCTCCACTTTCGATTTCAATTCGCAGCACGACTCGGCCAGAGAAGAAGAAACCTCTTAATAAACGTGTGAATCTCCCGCCCCCCACGGGCTGCCTTTATTTGCTAAGCCGTAAAGCTCTTCACTGGAACTGAAATGCCGGGGACCTTGCCAAATAAACAGCTCAACGAGAGGAGAACTGCCTGAGTGGCGACTCCAACTATCGGCATGAATTATGTGGAATTGCACCAATTTGGCAATTAAACATGTGTTGCCCCCTCCAGTGTGGGCGGCAAGCAGGGGGAAAAGAGGAGTTTTCAGCCAAGAAGAGAGAGAGAGAGAGACTGAGTGAGCATAAATGGCAGATACAAATGTTGCGGCCGTTTGTGGCTCATCGACCTTCAATGGAATCACAGCCAGAGATGATGATGATGATGATGACACACCTATGTACATACGTACACATTTGTTGTGTGAATTCTGTGCTGTGGGTCCCACACCTTCTCACTGTTCTTCTTATTGCCATGACTGGAAGTGAACCCCTTTGACATCGCGGCTAATTGCACAAACGAGCAGAGCAGAGCAGAGCAGGGCTAAAGCAGAACGTAATATAACCGAATTCCAAGTTCGTGATATGTAAGAATTAAAAGTCAAAGAATGTCGATCAGGGTACCCAGAACTCCCACACCGTGTTTAAATTAATTTTGGCAGTTCTACAATGCATTATCATCTCATCAGGCCGTCATTAGTCACAATGCTTGACAAACCTCTGTGTTACGACATTTTAGTTGTTATTAAAAATGTTGCCTAAGTGGCTGAATAATTTTTTTTTTGGGCTTCTTGGCGAGAACAAAATATAGTTGAGGAACTTTAATTAATGGTGATTTATTGCCTAATTTATTTCACTGGACAAAATAATAAAGTATTTTGAATTAGAAGGGGTGTAAGACTTTATATCTCAAGATTTTACAAAGATGAATTGAAAAAGTTCTAGGTCTCAAAACTGGACTACAAATTGCGGCTACATGATGAGCATTATCTCGGATTAGCGAGTATGAATATCACCCTCGAACGGAGAGTGTGGACGCGTCATTAATTATCTTCAAGCTTGTCGAGAAAATATCAATAAAAATCAAAATAAATAATATATTTTAAAAATGTTGACTTGAAAGACTTATTGGCTTTTGCTTGTGCCAGCTGAGAAATTGGTGTTCGATTGCCTTCCTTTATTTCCAATCTTAATCAGAGCTTTGCATTTTCGAGCCTCGAAACCTTGCCCGAACCATCAGCGCTGATTGCGAATCTCGAGCTGCGGTCGAGCCAATCTTCAAGTGTCGCTGGCTATAAGATTGACCTTAAAATCGGATTTTTTTGGTGGGGATGGTGTGTCAAATGGACCTCCAGCTGGCCGCTTGGAAGCTACCGATTGATGATGCTGGTACGATGATGCCGCTTCTGTGGGATCGGCAAGTCATTGCTCACCCAATTTCAAAATATTAATAACTCACACACATGTACAAAATGTACATACACACGGGAAAGAGAAAAAAACTGGGAAAATATGAGTAAAAAACTTGCATTAAATCCGTTTAAGACAATTCCATTGGCATTCAGCGTGTGGCTCAAATTTCACTAATCACCGAACCTTCCTCAATCACTGCCCCCTCTGTGGGATCAATCATGCGATCGATCGAATTTGGTTTTCGATTGCCGCACCGAAGGTCGCCCTCCACCGATTCGTCTTCGGCAGCAGAGAGATGAATTACATTTACATTTCGTTACTGTAATTGCTAACGAATTGCTGGCAGGGACCCACATGGAGTATTTACACAAACACACGATCCAAAAAGATCTCTGTGATGTAAAGGTCATATTCAAGTGACATTGCCAGAGACGAAGTTTGAGTTAGTTATTACTTTCCCACCTACACAAAAGTTTCAAAAATCGGAAGTTGTGAATTCTACTAGAAACTTTCGAGACCTTTTCAGTGATTACTTTTGTTTAGGGAGAGATAGAACGCCATTAAACGCCAACAACATGAACACTGCCGAGGAGGACTGCATTAGTATGTCAAACATTTCCAACCAGAATCCGGACAATGAGCGGGATCAGGAGTTGCAATCCCCAACAAAAACCAGACTTCAGTGCCACAGACAGGGGCAGGCAAGCGCAAGGATACTCCCATTCGGGTGCGGGACATGATCAATCTGTACAACTTCGCCACGCAGAAGAACCAGGAACTGGAGCACGCCAAGTCCATTTACTTTGGCTCCTTGCCAAAGTCTGAGGATGATGTGGCACCCGAGATAGAAGGGGGCAGCAGCTTTCTGCAATATGTCGATGTCGGAGGATAAGCAGAACTTGGGGTATGGTTTAGATCCCAGGGTCTTCTAGTCCCTTTCTATTGTTTCACTCTTAACACCAGTCCAGGCAACTTTCGCGTAACCACCACTGAGTCCTCGCTGTTCGATGAGAGTCCGGCTGCAAAAACTACTGTAGAAAAGTCCTACCAAAGCAAGACCACCATTAGACGCACAGAGCAAGGTGAGTAAACGAAATAATCTTGGAATTATATTATAGACCAGAATCTTAAAAACTACTCTCAAATTACTTTTACAAATAAGAATTGATACTTCTTTTATTTTTAGTTTAGTTTCTAATTAACTTTGAACTGCATCAAATTTGATAGAAATTTCGATTGATTACTTTCAGAGATTGTTAATTTTCCCTTCCCCAGGCGTGCGCATTATTATTGATATTTTCTTTGATAAGAAGGATAGCGAGATAGACATTGTGGGCAGCCGCGTGGAGACGGAGATTCCCGAGAGCCAAATCCTGTCCGATTTTCAGCAGAATTCTCTGGGCAGGAAGAACGAAGATCAGAAGCCGAGTATCCAGGACGAGCCAAGTGCCGACTCCACTTAGGCTGACCTCAGATGATAGCCAGTATAGCCAGGGGATAACTAACTAAATTCCAGGTTACAACGTCCTCGCAACGTTTTATATGTTTTTTCTTTATTTTTGACAGGCAACACACAAACTACGACAATAATAAACCATCGATTGACTATCGACGCTTTCGACTTTAACTTCCTCTCAGGTCCGTCAAAAATGGAAAATGGAAAATGGCAAAATGTGTGGGGAAAAACAGGGGGAAAAGCTGGATGGGTGAAACCCAACGCCCAGCGAATATGAAACCTGGCAACTCAATGAGGCAACACACGACTCCGAAACTCCGATGAAAACCTGAGTGCGGCAAACTGTTGGCGGTTCTCGGGCTTTTTAGCTTTTTGGCTTTAACCACGACAAAAGGGCTTTGAGGAGTAAATAAACGACTTGAATCGAAAACGAAGATGAAAATGGAAAATGGAAATCTTGGCTTACAAAACCCCAGCCGCCAGAAATCTGACAATGATGCCGCCAAAAGACTCAAGTCAGCCAGCGGATCCGAGATGGGGAAAATGCTTTCGCAATCTGCCGCCCAATCTGGCTTAGATCTCATAGACCCGCTCGATTGCTCTATTTAGCCCACTTCTTCTGCCTGCATTGGCATACCCAACTACCAAAGTACCACTCTACTACAGACCAAGTAAAATAAACGTTCCAATAAATTAGACAAATAAACACCAGTGGGTGAAGGGTTTCCCTAAACGGTGGCATCGCAAATGCTAATAACGTGCAATGAAAATGAAAACGTAGCTGTTAGCGGTAAATTGAAACTGAGAATCTAGCTGAAAATGAAAATGAAGCTGCAATGTTAACGCTTTGTTGGCTGGAAACTAAACAACGACAAAAAACCAAAGCCCGACTGAACTTCGTTAACTGGCCGAGAAGATTTGGCACAGTGGTATTGAGTCAGCTAGCTTGTAAAGCCTCATTAATTTTATGGTTTTATGGCCCGTGGGGACTTATACTACCAAAACCACTGCGAATTCTTAAACTTGTAAAGCTTATTTTGCCACATTTGAAAGTATTTGCATAGATTTCTTTACAAATTAACAGAATTTTCTCTCTAGCATGTGGGCGTACCATTTCGCCCACTGTGCGGCGATGACGAAGCTCGGCTCGAGTTGGCTCTTCTCCAGATGAGACCTGGCCTGTAGCGGGCGGCCTAATGTGAATCTTAAACCGAGCTGGGTGCACTCGCAGTCTTCAGTTGAAAGCGCGACTTCGAACGAAGCGGTCGTGTCGTTCCGGGCGATCTTCAAACCTTTAGACACAAGATACAAAATTTCAAACCAAAAACCACTTGTAGGCGCGCTTCAGCCGAAAGGACTGTGAAATTATGTGCTAGAGTGTTGATGGCATGTCTATATCGTATATTGAATAATTTATGCGAACCAATTTGGTGCGGCTTTTGGTGCAGCGATTGCTCTTGACTTTGTTTTTGAGCTTGTGCAAATTCGCCACTGCAATTTGAGCTTGATGCAACGGCTCGACTGCTGCTGTCTCTGACATTTGATCTTTGCAAAGATCACATCGCACACACTGAATCACCTCGCACCGCCTCGCATCGGATGTGTTAAGAGAGGTCCGCGGCGACCATATGGAATATATTTTAGCACACCACCACCTACGGCGACAATTAGTTTGTACAATTTAAGTTACTCCGTCAACTAAACGACGACGCGGGCGAAGGTGAGCCCGCCGATCGGCTTGCATCGGCATCTCGCGGAAAATCTTACATCTTGCTTGCATCTTAATAACTTCCTCTGCATCCAGCCAATGGGGGGGGTCCCTCAGCCAATCGAAAACAATTAGAAAAATGCCAACTATGGTTGGCTTTCTGGCTGGCTTGGCTGGGCAAAATAACTACGGTCAGGCAGGCCCTGCCGTAATCAACCTGTAATGTAATGCCAAGCTAATTGGCATAATTGTTGCTGAATCTGCTATTATTTGCCGTTGAGCATCTTCGAGTTAGATTCGCAATGCTCTTTCAGTGAAAATGGCTGGCAAAAATGTCAAATAGGCTTCGCCTTGCTGGCCACAAGGCAACTTACAAAAAAAAAAACTTGAAAAAAAATTGAAAAAAGCAGCCAAGAAATAAAACTGCAACCAGCATCACGAGTTCAACCCGAGGAGGATAAAGCGGTAAATATTTTCCGTTGTCAAAAAGGTCAAGACAAGGAAAAACCGCCAAACTAGATGCCAGTTCGGTATTGTTCGCTTTGCTATTGGGCTTTTTAGCTGCTGCTGCTGCCTGCTGCCTGCTGCTTTCTGCTGCTGCTGCCACACGCACTCAGTTCAAATGGCCAGCAGCCACAACTTGCCACAAATGTTGCGGTTAGCATTGAGACAGATGATCTCGTTAGCTGAAAAGTATGAGATTTTATTGGGCAATTGAACTTTGGAAGCTATGCGAGATGATGCTCAAGAGACCTGCTAACCTAATAAATTATACGACTACGATTGGCGTGTTATTGCCAGGCATTTAAGCCTTTAAAAAACACATTTCAATTACACGTAGACTTAATTGCAGTTCGCTTGATGGTGGTTTAAATGGTGGATGTATTAATGGAAATTATGCATTTACATTTAAAGCATTTTAATCATGGTAGTTTTGCCCATGAGAACGTGATTGTATTATCAAAAATTTAGTTAGACGCAGATTATAAGGATATTTTCGTGTAATGCCTTTAGTTTATTGCTTTTAAGTCTTTACTATGTATCATTTTCTTCGATCTTTTTAATCGATGCTTAAAAGTAATCGTTGCTAAGACTTTTTATAATGCCAAATATTCTTTCCAAAACACAGAATAGAGGTATCTCCCTCTTTAGTAATGTGGAAAAATAAAAAAGTACTTAAAAAACTTAAGGCTTAGCTTTAAAAGTCTCTTATGTTGCTAAGCCTTTTTATTTTTAATGCTGCATCATAAAAATCGAGCCGAAAGATATTGTGTTAAAAGGCTTTAAGTTCGTAAAACTCAAGTTCAAACTAAAGATCTGACAGCAATCCGCCAATTTTTGACATTAACTCTCCGATGTTATCTGATTTTTTATTTGTTTGTCAAAACAGCGAAAAGTCTGTTAGTAAATATCAACAACATTAAATCAAAAGCTGAAGAGACATTGAATGTGCCAATACTGCTAGGCGAGTCTTGAAGTGCGGCTTGATGGAACTTGACAAATTGTTTCTAGGCAGATAACTTTTTAGCCAAATTTGGCACTTTAAAAGACCAGCATATAAGAATAGAGAGACTAGCGAAGACGTTCTTGACCCAAGCGGATATTCCATAAATTCAAAAGAACCTTTTTGCCGGACAACTCAATTTCGACCAATTTAGTTACCATAAACGGTCATAAAATGCATTTTCCATTTTTGGAGCTTTGTTTTTCGACTGCAATTGACAGTTTTATCGGTGTGACTGGTTATTCGCCAGAGAAGCGGAGGAGTAGCAAAGTGGCAAGTGGCAAGGTCGCAGAATTGAATTGTAGGTGGAGGTCGAGGCACCGAAATCGAAGGGGTGAAGAGCCAGCGACGGCGTTGCAAATTCTGTCAGTCAATAAAGCGGCACCAGCAACAGAAGTTAATGTTTTTTAAATTACAATTCATTACGAAAGCGTTGGATTGGACAAACTAACGAACTTTGCTTTGAAGCGAAGAAAATTAGCCACCTCGCTCGGCAGTGACAACCAAAGAGCTCAGCAGCCAATATAGTAACATTGTTATCGGACATAATCACCCATATGAGGAGATATTTTTGGGAAAGTTATTACTTGGGTAAACAGAGTTTCGGTTACGCAAAGATTGGCAACAAAAGACATTTGGCTGGAATTATTATTATGCTACGGAATAATGGTTGTTAAGATGCAAGCCATGGCTATTGTGTAAGGCAATTAGCGCCAACTTATAGGCCCTGCCTGCACTTTCCCATCAATTGTCCGCTTCGAAGTCCATTCAATAACTTATTAATACCTTTCAGTTTTAAGCTCACCAACGACGCAATCTCCCCCACAACTCCCCTCGCACGTAACCAATAGAGAATCAAATCAGCGAAATGTTGGCGAAAACGCAAATTATACCAACGCAATGGCGACTTTTGACCCTGGCATTGTTCTGCTCAGCTTTATTTTTGGCCAGTGAGGTAAGTCTGACATCTACCCTTAGCCTGAGGCTGGCGGAATTGGGGAATTCGAAAGAGATGCTGGAGGAGATTCCAATGGTGATTGTACACGTGAGAGGGTAGCATTCAAATGCAAATTGCGGAATTGTATAAATATTTAAACGCCGTATTTGTTGGGCGGGCGTTGAAGGTGCTTATTATCTTCCTTCCGAAGATTGCAATAATTAATAGCTGAAATATCCCCCAACTACGATGATCAATGCTAATGAAGCTCACACTAAGTGAGCATACAAAGTCGTATTTAGTTATATTGAATATACAATAATTTTCACGTGCCCCGCAACAATGAAACCATCTCCAGAAATGGTAATCCGTTAACAGAGTGATTATCATTATTCGAAGCGTGACCCCTGGCTCAGTGGTCAGTGGTGTGGCTTGAAAGGGGTAGCCACATTAGGTTGATGAATACAAATACACATTCTATTCCTAACCGATTTTAACTCTACTTAGTTACTTATATTTTATACAGTTTAGCATCCCGTTTTGCATATAATCAGATGTCTAGTAATAGGTAACACACACCCAACTCAATCAGAAGCACATTATAAAGCCAAGTCGAGAAAACAAGTTTGCAGTTTTAATTTAAATCATACATTTTATCTCACTTGAAGACGATCTCGCATTCTTTTCTCCGGACAAGAATTAAAATTCATAAATTAAAAAGCAAATATTAACTAGAGATATACTGGAACTCACTGTCTCCGCGATTAAAAACTCGATCTGGGCTGTATTTCGACTACTCTGCTTTAATAGAATTCTAAATACAATTTTCTTTTAATTAATTTTTAAGTAGTGGTTAGGTCCGAGCAAAATAGTTAACAACTTGATGTAAAAATTTATGCCGAAATAATTGCACGACTCGTAAAGGGTAGTTTTTATACCGCTGCCTAAGTGCAAAGCAATCAGGCAGTTCATCACATCATTCAAATTGCCATAAAATAAAAACACTGGTAATTAATTTGTTCAATTTGTTATGTGTGACATTTTGTATGAGGAGCGGTATTATAATTAATAAGAGGTGAAGGTTTACGAGAGTTCAATTTGCGGGCTTTTATTCTTGGCAAAAAGAGATACCCTGCTGAGGTCTGTGCCCCTGCTTCACCGATATTTTACGGTCGTCTTTGCCACCGAATTGCTTCCCAAGACACTTTTTGAGCAACGGCGGAAAATGTTGTAATTTTGCGCTCTTTACGCTTTGTTTCATTTTTAATTTATTCTACGAGTGTGTACGAGTGCATCCACAAGTCACACACAGGCCGGCCCAACAAAAGCACACACATGCCTCAGCCAGGCAAAGGTCTTCAGATCTATATGTAGCATCAAAGAAGAAAACAAAAGACTTGGCTGCTGACCGACCAAGTGACCTTTTTTCCGACTCCCTCTGACACTTTTGCAGAAATGGAACACACACCATCAGCCGAACCAAAAAAAAAAAAAAACGCGGAGAGAATAGTGTGTTGATTGTTTTCGCTATTTGCATACAAGAAATTAAAACGAAACCCAAGTCGAGGATGGAACTGAGGCTGATGTTGTTATGTAACGGACGAGTGGGCAACTAGGCGCAGTTATAGTGCGGCCCGTAAATATGCCTGAAATGAAATTGAAGAGCGTTTCAAATTATGGCAAATTACCCGAAATAAGAAACACAAACGGTGTCGTGAAATTGAAGCCTCGCAATGGGCCTTGGCTTGGTGCCTTGGGGATTGCGCAATCCCATTTCCTTAACTGATTCCCTGTCGTATTAGGAATGATTGCAATCCAGATTTGCCCCTCTTTCTACTCCTGCAATTTGTGGCGTTTAGCTAACCAAGTAAGGGGAATCTCAATTTAGTTAGTTTTTACAAGCTTCTAGTCAACGTTTATTGGCTTACCTTAAAAGTAAACAATTTAAATAAAACTACTTAAACTGAGCTGAAAATTTTACCATTTTAAAGCTTAGTTATGGACTGCTTGTGTTTAAGTTTTAAAAACTAGCTAAAGGTGACTATAAGTAACCGCCAAAAATAAGTAAAGAAACCTACATTTCCGTAGCCTATAAATCTTCGTCAGATTCTCAAAAAAATAAACCCCAATCTTATGGTCATTAATTCTACTAAATGACAATCAGATATGAGGATACTTTTCATACTTGTAGGCGTATCTGCTTACCATTCGCTTAATTAAATGACAATCAGATATTGTAAAACAATTTGTTAGATCACCAAAAAAGTTTCTTTAAATTAGATTTAATCTATGACAAACCATGCTGCCTTGGAATGCTAATAATGTAAAAAAACCAAAATCTTTAAGCAGTTTAAAGACACTTTTAAAGAGAAGCTCAAAATGTGCAATACTCAATATTATAGAAAATATAAACCAATTAGGGAAACTAAATCTTATTTCTAAATAGCATTATTTCTTAGTAATCCCCTTATCATACTCGCATAATGCCTAATCAGAAATTGCAACAAGGGGTTGTTGCTCGTTGTCAAAGTGAAAGGAACATGTTATTGTGAGATACCATATACAGATTCGAGGACTTCCGAGCATAATCTGTAATTGGCCACCTTTGCAATCGGCTTTCTCACAGCCAAGACTTTTGGAGTAGCTAAACAAATGACACAGAGATCGATATCAGTGGGTACTCGTGCCCAGCATGTGTGAATGTGAATGCAACTAGTCAGAGTCGTAAGCTGTACATTTTGGGCTTCAGCTCCCAGAGTTGGAAGTTGGGATCTCTAGCCGCAGGTTTGGATGTGGATGCTGCCCTGAGTTGGGCCGAGAAGTGATGAATTGACGCGATGTCATAACTTGGCACATGGTGCCACGGCTTCTTGCATCAGTCGACCTGCGCTGCTGTGTGAAATGTCAACTTTATTTTTAGTGTCGGTTTTTTTTTTTTTTGTGAAAATTTGTTGTTTCTGTATGCCTGTGTTTAATTATAATGAAAAAATTTCACGTCGGCAGTCACAAATTATAGCCCAATGACTTATCGAAATCTGCCACTGGATCTACACGTAGTAGGTGCCAACATGTGCAGAAGCTTCCGCCAAGTCCGTGAAAAATATTTTCCCAGCATTCCAATAAATCTATGAAATCATGAATCTCTGACAGCCACAGTCGCTCCCTTCGTCAATACCTTATGTAAGTCGCCACTGGACAGCGTGAATTAAAGTCAGAGAGATAGATAAATTGTTGGCAATAATAGCATTCTAGAAAAAACTATTTAATTAAATGATCAATATATGGAATTTAATGAATCATTGAATTCTGAGTACTAGAAAAGAATAATCTTAAAGATTACTTGTCCAGACTAAAAGATTTTCATACCTAATGAGCGATTACAATAATTGCTTAGCATTTAATTTAATTTTAGAATGATGACCGATATATTAGCTTTATATTTTATTATTCTCAATATAACTACTCTTTCTGTAGGCTCAAAATGCCATCCAGACAACCAATCCTGCCTCGCACTTGATGCAGAAGACATCGTTCTCCTGCGCCGGACGCCCAGCCGGATATTATGCGGATGTGGAGACGGGCTGCCAGGTGTACCACATGTGCGATGGCCTCGGTAGGCAGTTCAGTTACACATGCCCGAATACCACACTTTTCCAGCAGCGGATGCTCATTTGCGACCACTGGTACATGGTCAACTGTTCCAAGGCGGAGAGCAACTATGCCGCCAATCTCCTAATTGGTTTGTACTCAGATCACTATCAGAGTATGGGATTTCTAAATAAGATATACTTTACAGGTCAGCGGGATAAGCCCTTTGTGAACGACGAGGAAAACAGCTTGCGCACTCCTAGACCTGATCTTCTCGATCGCCCTTATGCGCCCGACTATTCCGGAGAATCCTTTAGAAGCCAATATAAGGTGACTTTTTTTTATAAAAATATGATGAATATTTAAACATATCTTTTATATACTCTTTAGCAGCTGACTTCAAACCAGAACCAGATACGTGATGAATCGGTCAAAGGTGCCGGAGCGGGAAAATTGGATCCTCAGATATCGCAGACACGTTGGCGTATTCCACCGCCCAGCAGGACAATCCTACCGCCAGCTTATGAGCCGCAAATTGAACTTCCCAGTGCAACAGCTAAGCCGAGGATAACCACTACCACGACAGCCACTCGAGCAACTACTACCACTCGACCTACTACCACCACTCGTGCTACTACTACCACAACAACCACAACTAGGAGGCCCACGGTGACCACAAAGCGCACGGAGGCCTTGCACAATCGGAGACCAATTTTCCAGACTTTGGAACAGGAAACGGATGATCTGGGAACTAGCCACAGTACCCGATACAACACTTCAGCTGATTTCAACTCGGCGGAGTCACCAATCCGTGGCACCAAGCAATCCAACACCAAGTTGACCAAGTTTGTCAAGACGCCTTCGAAGATCTACGAACCGCCCTTCGTGTATCCCATCTACAATCTGGACGAGCCGCAGAATCAGAACGGGATAATCCCCTCCACCACGTTGCGAACTTCCACGGCGGCTCCATTCAGTCCGGGTCCCAGTCGAACGGAAAGCACAACAACTACTCCCAGGCCACTGAGTAGGCCAACGACCTTGGCCGGTGTGCCCTTCTCCTTTGCCACTCAGCCCACTACAGTTACTACATTGGGAGTACCGCCACGAAGCGAAAATCGAACACCAGCACCGGCTCAGAGCTTCCGCCTGGCCACGCCCTCTAGTACTGCAGCACCACCCCCGGCCCCGGCACAGATGCCTTTCAACGATTTGCTGCCGCCGTTCGTAGACTTTGTGCCTCATGACATAGCCACAACCCAGGGACCGCCCATCTACTACGAATGGAAAGTGCCATCGAACGGCCTTGAGCCTCCCAAATTGGACCCACCAATTGGTGTGGATGGACGCGAATATCCCGAGACTACAGGAGACTACGCAGTTAGCAGCAAGCAGGATGTATTCAACACCCGGTTAAACGATATCGGAAGCAACCAAAAGAAACCGGTTCAGGTTACCTCGCCTCTCCAGCAGTCAAGCACCAGCCACCGTCTGGCCATTTCGAGATCCATCAAGCCCAAGGAGGAGGAGAAGCTGCAGCCTGAACAGGCTCAGCGACGCTCTGATGTGGTGGCCAGCTCCACTGATATCACCCATCTGCGCAAGCAATTGCTTATTCCAGAGTATGCTTTCCCCCTGGAAACCATCGGTCGAACGGGGTACGGACCCGGAGGAGGAGCGGCAGCGGGAGCTGGGAGTTCTAGCAATGGGGATCTTTATAACTCGTTCCAGCTAAAGATCCCTGAGCAGCGCGCCAAGTGGTTCGGCGAGAACCCGAAGTGCCCAGAGTGCCATCCTTCGTTCGTCCTGCCGGGCACCTGCGAGCCATGCCTGCGCAGATAGTCCCGCTTCCATTCCGGTTTCCGTCCGTCCCATCGTTCATTAGCCGCATCCATTATCCGCATCCGCATCTGCATCTGCATCTGCTCCTAGCCCTAGTATTAGCCTCCGCTGAGAAACCCCGGAGAGAAGCATCCACGCATTTAAGTGTTAATGTTATTGTATATCCGCAGATTAATTATTAAACTACACAAATATCTTTGTGAATAATGTATGGTTTTATGAATATTTATCTTGCTTTTGAATACTTTTCGAAGTAGTTTTTACACCTAAAACTCAAGTAGGCCTTAATCTTTCACATGAAATTTACTTCAAAATGGTATCAGTCTATTTTTGTCTTTATGGTTTTCGGATATATTCTTCGCTTTCTTCAAAATTTGTTTACATCTATTAAGTATAAGATAATGGGTGATACCGCCGAGGAGACAGGAGATTTGTTATGTAATGTAATTGTACCACCAATACCAAAACTTGGCGACGCGCATACATACTGGATTTGGCGATTACTTATTAAGTCGTATTTGACTGCCATAGGACTTTGGTCAAGAGGACATCCAAAGGAGGTAAAATGTCTAACCTTTGATGTAAATATCTATAATCTTTGTCATTTCTTAGTGCGCCCATGCAAAGTTTGTAATCCTCAGCTCCTTGGAAATTTGGGTTCTAAGGAAGGAGTATGACGACATGTCGTGCAAAGCTATCTTTGAAAATCTTGAAGAACGATTTTCCGTTAGTAATACCAGACCCAACTCTCTTGTTAACATATGAAACCCATGGAATGTGTTCAATTAACTTCAAGTTTTCTTTATAATTTTAAGTGTTTATTGGAGATCCACATCGGCGGCACCCGTTTATCTTAATACTCAAAATTAAAAATTTTATGTACAAAATTTAAAATTAATTTATTGTCTCTATTATACTGGGATTGGAAGCTGTAGGAAGTTAATTTTCTTAGGTAAATATTTTTATGTTTCTGGATACTTCATTTTTTACTCCTTTTTGGCCGTGAAATATTTCAATTTTTCAATTTAAATTTCGAAAAAAAAGAGAGCGGGAAATTTTCCATCTGCTTCAAAAAATACCAACTATGCTCATTTTGAGCCGACCAGTGCTGCACATAAATATCCACGCGTTAGCACGTTCATATTGAGACGCGCTAGTACTTTTTGCCACACTTGACACATCGTTCAATAAAAACAAATCAACTTCACCTCCGGATAATAAGCAAGATTATTTCAAACTAACAAATATTTAACGCCGAGTAACTGTAATTCAGATATATATAAACAAAATTCGAAACGAATTGTAGAAATTACAAGCCAAAAATCAATAAGGAGCCTTTAAAATGACACGTAAGTACGGGCATCGTGGAGCCATTTTGTTGCTGGCCCGCTATTCATTTAATATGTGGAATGGTGTCTATTGGTGTGATAAACAAGCTAATGGGTTCGTCTGCCACTGTGAACCTACCACTGCACCTTAAGAATACGATTCAGGGGCTGGGTAATCTCTCCCAAATGAAATCCTTAGGTTTTGCAACTCCTAGAGAAGGCAAAATCGATGGACGAGCGTAGGACATGTGAGCGCGTCTAACCTCTCTTGGTCAATAGATTATGTAGATCACACTTTGCACGCGCCACTAACCAGCTGACACGTATTAACTAATTAAAACCTGATTAACTTTTTATAGGCGGAAACCAACGCGACCTGGCCCGCCAGAAAAACCAGAAGAAGCAGGCCGATTTGACCAAGGGCAAGCGAACCGATAACCTCACTGTGGAGCAGAGGAAGGCTAGGTAAGTGATAGCTATCCCTATATCCTATGAAACCCACATATCATGTATCATATATGTACTTTCCAGGGACGCCGAGTTAATGCGAGAAAAGCAGAAAAAGAAGGAGGAAGCCGCTGCCGCCGGTACGAGCAAATAGTTAACCCTTTGGCTTTGCAGATATATCCGGATTCCGGATGCATATCCAGACAAGTTAGGCATATAGTCAGTCAGTCGTTCGTCAGCCAAGACCCCGATGCGCCCCAGGACCTAGGATAGTCGACCACGTGATTAAACTGTACATAAAGCAACAAACATAACAGCACTCACGAGAATTGTATACATTTCAAAGGCTTCATAACTACGCATAGATATTACCGGGCTGTACAGCACGCGACATAGCAATAGCAATACGTGCCACCCAAGGACTTCGATTCGTATCCGGTTTTCGTTCTCTTTCGTTTGCACTGCTGCTGTACGTTAATTAAGTACCAAATTTATTTCTTCACCTACCTGACTAAATTATTTACTGTAATGTATATATATAAATTTTCAAATAAAACATAATATGCAGCCGCCAGTAAGTCTCGATTATGTATTATTGTGTTTGACGAATATATATATATAGATTATGGCACACGATGACAGTCGATTGGTGCCGTTATTAACTAAAACTAATTAAAACCTTTTATAGTCATGTTGGAAGTGATGGGCCCCGAAGAGAGAGATAAACAAAGATTGATTTTCGGATAACCCCAGAGCAATCCTCATAAGTATAGTTGAAAAATGTTGAAAATAAACCTTATATGAAAACTATTGAAGTATTAATAGGTCGCTGGTGAACCTTTAACTAAGCTTGCATTAAAGAGATCTTTTGGGCAACCCGATTGCCAGAGAAATTTGCATACAATGGGAGGCAGATAGAAATGGCAGAGTAAAATAAAGGTTTCCTGATCGTTTCCGTGATTTGATAAATATGAAAGTTGCTGCACGCCATGGACTGGCCCACAAAACTCTCGCCTAGATGCCAATAAGTCGAATGCTGGCGTTTACCTTTTACAGAAAAGATGGCCAAAAACTTGGACACTAACGGCCAGCAGATACACAGAGAAAAATGTGGTGTACATTTATGAAAGATTTAATTGTTTTATATTATTACATTATATTTATGATACAATTTTGTCTTATTAATATTTGGTATACCAATAGTTCTATAGGGGAATCAGTTTTAAGGTTACTTTTGAACCAACAGAAGATGATTTTGATAAATAGTCTTGACACCTTATATAACAAATCCTAAATAAGTTATCAAAAAATGACATTTGGCTAAGTGCAGTAGTCGGTCTATGGCCAAAAAAGGCAGATGGGGCCATGGCGTGCCGAGGTATCTGAGGCTGGAATCTCGAACTCCCCCAGCCCGGGGAAACACGGATGCCGGGCCCAAGTAATGAGAACGTCCACTGATTTGTTTGGCTTGGCTAGTGCAAAACACTGTAGCCGATCGCCCCACCATTGTTTGACCAAGTGTTTGATAACTTCATGCCGGAACAGAACAGAGCAGCAAGGGCAATCCAATCGCCTAACTGGTTTCCAATGTTCGGGAGAAAGCTCCTCGCCAGCCACGCAAAAGCTGTATTAACTAAAAACAGCGTCTAAGTTTGAGAACTTTTCAAACACCCAGCTAGCTAGCCAGCCAAGAACGAACGAGCGGAAAAGTCAACAAACGCTCGCAGATGAGAGTAAAATCGCGATCGCGGGTCGACTCTCTAGGCGGCAGCAGCAGCCCGCGTTTTCAGTCGCTTCGTGAAACCCGCCGCAATCACATCGAAATCGCGCGCAAGTCGTATTCAAAATCGCCTCAAAACGAAACGCACTTGGAGGCAAAAAATATCAAATACTTAATTAATTGCTAGACCAAATCCAATTGATTTTCCTCGGCTGCATAGTGCAGTTCACCACAAAATCAAATCGAAAGCAAAAAAAAAAATAACAAATAGAAAGTGTAAGTGAATTTGGCCAAGTGCCAAGAGGCTGACATTATCAGCGGAGAAATGCAGGCAGTTGGCAGCCGATTGGGCGGATCGGGAGATCAATCGAACCGATCGCCATCGCATGCAAATCGAGTGATAAACGATCGCCTCGAAATTGAAATAACAGGCGAGCAGCTGGCACCCGGAGGTGGATATGCATATATGTATATACATGTGATCGATCGCACAGAAGTGTCTCTCGGGGAAGGGAGGAGTAGGTAGCCCCAGTAGCCAGAGACCTATCTATACTACGAGTATATACAGCCAGTTCCCCGACTTAAGGCGCGCTTGCTCGTCTGCCTTGCGGTTCGTTGTGTGTGCTTATTTATACAAAATATATTCAATTTCATTTAGCTGTCGCTGCTGGCAGCTAGCTGTCCAGCAATATTCAATATATTCAAATGATCGCTGCCTGAACCCCAGAGACTGATAATTTCCTGAGCTCCCACAAATGCTGCGGTGAAGTGAAAAAACCGCAATAGCATATAAATAATTGGGTAACCATAATGCCACTGTTTGTTTGCATTGGTGATCGCTGCCGCTGACCCAATTGGCTGAGAAAATATGGCAGAATGAAAACAAAGTCCGTCTGTTTGCAGCGATCACGACGCTCTATAGAGAGCCGACTTATATAGGCGATGCACTGGGTGATGTCAGAATGGCAAACTGACATTGAAAGTCTGCGTTCGCCGTCGTCAACCTGCAAGCCTTCTCCTGCCTTTTTTTGGGAGATCTCAAGTTGAACAGGTTGCCGGGGTTAAGGGATAAAGTAGGCCAGCGAAAAGCAGGGTTCCGGAGTGCGGGGCGGTGGCGTATACGTAATGCGCGTCTGGCATACGTTTCAATTGAGCCACATTTTGGCTATTCGCCTCAGTTGCGAACCATAAAAATCACATTCAAATCCAAATGAAAGAGTCGAGCGATGAATTTCAAGTGGCCACTCCCCCGGGGAAGTAATTATTAAGGAAAATGAACGGGTCTACAAGACGATTCCGCTACAAAAAATCCCACATTTGGCAAAGTTCAGTGACGCGCATCCATTTAGAAGCAGTGAAGAATGAACAATGTGAAGGTTACTCAATTTACAAGGCAAGAGATAACGCCTCAGAATTTATATGCCAAAAAAAAAACATGGCACACAAAAACACATTTAGCCAGAATAAACGAAGGCGTTCGCACACCTACGCCGAAAATGAAATAGCACACAGTGGCGTCGAAATCTTGACCAACAGGTGCTGCAGCAAATTATTAGGTAGACTCCCCCATTTGTTGACCCCAGAGAAACCCCTACTCGAAGATTGTGAGAGCTGTTCCAAAAGTTCCATTGCTTTGTTGATTCTCTAGATTTCTAGATCTCACCGCTGAAAGCTCACGACCTTGCGAGCTATTAATAAGTGTTTCGTGTTTTTCGTATTCTATTTGTCCGTCTCATAAATGAATCATTTTGATGGGCGATCTCTTATTATGAGTTAACTTTCGCTGGGGTGGGAAAACGAAAACCCAAAAACCGAAAGATCCTCGAGCATTGAGTTTTTGAACGCCTTCAATGTCATCCGCCGCTCTGACATTGAAAATTTCCAATACCGTTGACAGAACGTGGAGTCGAATCGAAATGTATCTCGTAGATGCGCATATTCGTATCTTACAATATCTTACATATCTTACATAGACATATATATGAAAAGACGCCGCTGCCTTTAGTAATTACAAAATCTTGTTCGGCAAATGAAAACTTCAAAGGCTGCAATTGAGTTTTGCAGCTGCAACGGTTTTAATTGATTTATATGGCAAGTCGAGTGATTGAAAGCAGCCGAGTAAAAGGCAATTTGACAAAAAACTAAAAAAAACGAAGATAAAAGTCAAGTGGGAGCTGGAATAGCAGAAATCGGAGATAAATAAATAAGAAAAAACCTAAAATGCCGCGTGCTTTGGACTTGTCAAATTTGGTAGAACGATTTCTACCGGTTTCAAATGGGCCCAAAAAAATATAAAAACCTGACTTGGCCACTCAAGTGGGCTCCCACTTTCTGTCGGAGATTGAGCAATTTCCAGCTTTATCGCAGATACACAATACTCCATTCAGAATGCTTTTGTCTTCTCGATATCTTTTGTGCTTGGCGCAAAAAGTAGCGCAGAAAAATGTCAAACTTAATTACGCGTTGAAGCGCAAACTAATTGTTGAATGGTTTTCATTTTCAGCGGGGTTCAGCGGATAGCAGGGTCAGAAAAGTTCAAATCGAGATAAAGTCCACAACAACAAAAGCCGCGAATAATTGACTTTGGCTCCGCTTGAGGCCCACAACAACAGCAGATAAACGCCAAAAACAATATCGTATTTTTGAGATACAAAAGCTGGACACGCGCTCATTGCACACGAAAATTACAAACGCCGGCCGGATTGAACCAATTTTCCATGAGCATATAGCCAATAGCAATTGACATGATTTATATGGACAATATTTTCACTTCGCTGGCCTAGGCAAATGGGTCAGCTATTGATTAATGGCTTATGATAAATTTTCACTAATATAATTGAAATTTAAATTGTTGTTGTGGTTTAACTTAAAAGCTTAAGTTGATTTGAATATCAAAAACTTCCATAGAGCTAGAATTTTAAATAGAAACTAGCATAGCTAAAGTAGAATTTAGCCTAGTTAAATAGTTATTTAGTTCCTATTGGAATACTGTCTTACTTTTACTTGTCTTGCATTTATGGGACACCTTTCTTTCTAAAATAAATTTAAAATATTTATGTATTCTCCGACGTCTTACCAAAAAAATGCAGGTTTGGGAAAGTGCTTTCGCTGTTCTTCTGCATTTGTTTGTTGGCCATCCAGACCTTTCACATTTAGCAGCAACCGCATCACACTTACGCCCACTCCGTCACACTCAATCCCAAAGAAACGCCATCAAGCTACAGAGTGCAATGACAACTGCGTCCAGTTGCACTTGTCAAGTCTCGAGCACTTTCCAAGACTCCAAGCCTACGTCAAGTGGCGGCACGAATTCCTCGGAAAGAGTCGCCCACGCTTTGGCTTGAACTTGACTCCATAAGCTATGTATCACGCCTATATATATGTTTAATAATTTAACTTGGTATGGGGCGAGCGGAAGTCAACGTCAGCATTAGATGAGTTCATGCGAGTATTAACTCCATTAAATAGTTGAGTGGGCTGATCGTCTTCATATCAAATTCCTTTCCCTTACTTTCCTGATATAACGCAGTCTCCTCTGACCCTAATTATTAGTCGAGGTCTCGAGTGGCTTTACTTTGTTCTCCGAAGCAGGTCAAAAGACATATCGCATAGCCACAGAAAGTAACCCAAGATGGCAAGGTATATAGAAACCAGACAAATGCTTCTCTGGTTCTGTGGCCAATTGAAGTACCATTTATAAACAGACGCAAACGTGGAGATCGCCTGAGTAAAACCCGTGCAAAACGCGTGAAAAACGGCATGTTAATGCGCCATATGTCCGGTTTATCGGCCCCGCCGCCAGTTTGTGACGAAACTATAAAAAGTCTTTAAATGCCTTACAAAGAAGAATGTGATGTGATCTTTGGGCACGCTCCCCCTTACCGCCGCCTATGATAATTGCGCAATTTGTATAGCACTTCTGTTGGCCAGATTCTTCGCATCTTTTCGCTGTTTGTGTTGGGCCTTTCAACTTGAGGTGTGAAACTCAGCGGAAATGGTTTTTACATATGTACAAATAGTATCTGTATCTGTATCTTTAACTTTTGGGCTGAACTTTAGCTGTTTGCCAAAGGCATTTCCCAGACATCCAGCTTAGTCTTTCGATAATGACTCAAAGCGATTCCGTGTAAGACAAGACATTTTGGCGTGTGATTATCTCATCAAGACGGCCGCAAGGCACTTGTATACATGTGATATATCCCATGGATACACAAGTGCCCGCGTCCAATGGATGCAAACCAGCTGCAGCGGCATTTGCAAGTGCCAACATGCGCCACATCAATCCGCAGCTTGGACTCGGACCGAGGCACGTTAAGCGTTTGATTAATTTAATGACAATGCCCGGTGGCGCTATTTCGCTATTTGGATGGGTGCAACCCATAGATGTATAGATATGGATACGAGTTTCGGTCGATCGTGTGCGCATGCGCATGAGCGGATGATATCAACTTTCCCAAACCGGCGTCCTACTGCCATTTCCATCTCACATCCCTGTGGATAAACTACGGTTTTTCATTACTCATTCGATTCGTTGATTTATTTTAAAGCTTTGCTAAATATAAATCTTACGTTCCCTCGAGTATTTCACGCTATCTGACTATTGTTTTCTTCGTTTCTGCTATTTTTAAAAGCAGATTTGTTTAATAAACATTTTTATTCGTCTCCTTGACGTCACAGCTGGTCAAGTTGTTGGGTCTGGTTGTTTGGCTTATTTGTCTTCACTTTTGCGGTCAACGTGGGCAAGTTCAAATTCCATTAACATTTCCGTCTGGTTGGGTATTGAGAAACCAAAAACAAATAGGAACATAACTAAGAACCTTGTAAATTAAAAAAAAAAAATGAAAATGTATAAATTTTATAAATCGTTTGAATGACCACATTTTATATTAACTTTGTTTCCAGCTTGTAACCCTAATACAGGACTAACAAAATGGCAAAACCCCTTTTAAACTCATGCTGCCTGTGTCAATCGACTAGGAATGGCTCCGTTATATCAGGAAGCCTGGCCATCATCCTGTCGATCATTACCATCGTGGTGATCTTCACGACGAGAGTCCACTTTAAGACGATAATCTTTGACTTTATCCCCAATGATATTGTTAAGATAATCCTCGTCATCAATTTATGCATGACGATTTTGATTTCTTTGCTCATGATCGTGGGTGCTCTTAAGGTAATTCTTCCCATAAATTCTATTACGGACAGAAAATAATCTAATCTTTTCACAGAGGAATCACTATCTAATGGTTCCATGGGTCGTCCTCGGCATTATGATTGCTATCGGTCTGCTGATCTCGGTCATATACACCGGAGTGGTCTTCTTCATCGACGGCTATGTGCTGACGGGCGTCCTCTGGCTGATCTTCGGCCTAATTGTCTGCGGTAAGTGCACTCCACCATGGGTGGTGGAACTGGGGGGCAGCGCGACTTCTCCATGTGCGGTTTTTAGCACCGGATGGCGGTTATTGCTGGCCGTTCTTAATTTATAGGCGCATTTATCATGCGATGATTGCCCGTGTGCTGAAAGCACAACTGCCGGCGCCCCAGGCTAGGAGTTCTTAGGGGGGAAGCCGAGGAGGATTGTCGGGTGGTGCAAGCAAATGAGGCGCAAAGTGGCTTGTTGAGGCCATTTGTACAACTGCCAACTTTATGCGGCACTTCAATGTAATGAGAAGGAGGGTAACGAAGCGACCATTATAATGAAACAAAAGTACAAAAGTGATTATAATAAATTAATGAGCTTTTACAATATGGGAATGATGTTCTGGCAATTAAATTTGTTTCGCGTTTTTTAAATAAATAACAAAAATATTTATATATTTTATTTCTATTATATCTAATTATAACTAAGAATAATTAAATAAAAATGAGTTAGACATATTGTGTAGAAAAGCATATTTAGTTGATGAATACTTACGAAAACATATGTAATGTTTGTAGAAAATAAATCTTAGCACACTTTTGCGCGCAGATGTTTTATCCAATCTTCTTTCCTCTTCCAGCAATTATGACTTACTGTTGGTGTGTGGTTTATAGCGAATACGCCAACCTATCCGAGGAGAATGAGCGCGGACGTTACAACAAACAACCTTACCGCCGCTAAAGGATCTCCAGGATCACTGTTCATCATTATTTGCATTCTAGAAGCCGACTCTCACCATCGACACATCTTCATCCTAGCTTCTTATGTTCGTTTTTAGTAATTATGTCTAACTAATAATTGTAATTTAATTTAGGCGAGCCAGCCCTTCGCTCACATCGAATTTACGCGGCCCGCGGCAGTAAGTGCAATGGAATAATGTATTTAACATTTAAATAAAACTTTAATCCAGATAATTTGTGAATTTATGTTGTAATTTGTACGTAATACTTGTAATTGTGAATGAGGAGATCAAGAACCGAAAATCATTAACACGTGAAAAATAAAAACAAACTGTTTAGTTATCAACCGTTTGAGAGCACGAGGTTCTGTGTGTTTCTTGTTTTTTTATTTCAAAATATATTTGTTTTCTTTAGGTATATATAGTTAAATATATCAATTCTCTCAAAGTCTATCAAAATTGTAAATTAACTAAAAATATGGATGTGTAGGGGGGCGTTTCATGTGGTTGTTGTTTTAGCTAAGTGGGCGTGTTGCATGTAACTACACAAGTAACTAGATTGAGCTCTACAGCTCGCCGTGCGAGTACTTCGGCTTCAGCTCTTCGATGCGCTTGATGAAGTCCCCCTTCTCCAGGCAACCTTCACAGCTCTCATCCCAGTCGTTGAGGATTTTCTTCAGGTCACGGACCTTCAGTTTCTTCAGGTCCACGCTTTTCAGATCGATTTGTTTCTCTGCAAAGGACACTTTAGGTTAGAAAGTGCTCACGGGAGTAACTCAGCAGGGGGCACTAAGGGATCAGGCATAATATTTAAATTGTGTTAGCCCTGCATGAGGTTATTTGAATATATGTTCGGTGTTTATCGAATACACACTAATGTTCAGAGCTGTCATTAAATTTCTAGACAAATGTTCTAAATAATCTTTCTACAATGAACAACTTTCTAGTATTTTTAGTTCTGCCTATATTATATAGTTTGTGTCCATTATTTTCTTAAGATGAAACTTCCTAGGTAATCTCCCTCAGTGCACAAAAGGTCTTATATTTACCATAACGAAGATCACAGATTTGCGCATCCTTCTTCTTCAGCTTCTCACAGATCTTCTCAGCGGGCATGGACCAACTCAGGGGTTTGCTCAGTTCGTTAAGGATGCCCGTGGCTGATTCTTCCAGACCTCCAAGGTAATAGCACTACGTAGAAAAACGCATACGTGTATCATTTTTCCGCAAGAGAGGGCACTTGTTTGCCGGCAACTTACGAATCTGTGTTCCTTGTTTTTCTGCGCCTTGCAGAACTTCTTGAAGGCCGTTTCGATCTGTTTGTAGTCCTTTTTGGTGGCATCGTCCAAAGAGTCAGCGAACCGTCGCACCGTCTTCACACAAACTACGGAACCGAAAATTGGAGTCCGGTGAAAATCTGTTCCAGTACATCTTAACCACTTACGTGGCCAATCACATACCTTCGCAGTCCTCTTCTTTCAGGGCTAACGTTGTCGTGGCCAATCCTGCCAGGAATCCGATCACTACTATCATGTACCACGTATTCATTTTGTTGTAACTTAAGTGTGCTTGAGCTGATTTTAATTAACTAAACTGAATTCTCCGCCTGCGTTTTTGATTTTGTTCCCCCGAATTGTTAGCGTTAGGTGGCCGTAGAGGTGGGTGTTCAGTGATAGTCTAGCCACCATCAAAGTATCGATAAAAGTACTAATTTATCGGCGGGACAGGGCCACGTTTTCAAATTAAAAAATCCAGCACGGTCACACTGCAATGAGAGGGAAATTTGTTCTCTTTTTGGCGTCCGGAATTTAATTGCTAACAGGTGTGGGGGATCACTCAGCTGGGATTCGGTTCTCTCCGGTTCCCCCAGAAGTATTCCTCCTCAGTTCTCAATCACGCGCGAAAGTGAACGGTTATTTCGTTTTAGTTCAAAAAAAGCTGAACAAATATGCAATTTAACGTACTTTACCCGTGACGCTTTAGGTTTAAATCCTCTTTAAGTACCCTTCAAATAACCACGTATATGAGTTAGCTCCAACAGTATTGACCAAGTCACCCAAGTGCTAACTACTCCCCCTCCAGTTTTATTGGGAGTCATTGTAACCGTTGGCAACTGCCACAGCAAAATTATTTACAATTTACCGGATATAATTTGCATTTAAAAAACCAGACTAAAAATAAAACCCCAACAGAAGTGAAAAATTTTAAAACGCATTTAAGATGCCTGATGTGAAGTTCCTGGCCGTTCTGCCCACCAATGCTAATGCATCGGATCGCGTAACAAGGCTATCCATTAGCGGCAATCTACTCCAGAATCCCCAGCAGTAAGTCCCTTAAATATCCTGGAATTCTATTCTAAGAACTTTAAGAAAATCGATTAGGCACTTCCTGCTAGCCAAGGTGCAGAAATTGGCTCCTTGCGTGCAGTAAATTTAGTGGCCCAAAAATGTTGTAGGTATGTGATGTGACCCGATTAGACGAAATTCTCGCAAGCTCGCCAACGATTTATGGCACACACATGAAACATACAAATGGGCTATGAAATTTAAATAATTTATGCTGTTTTCCCAGTTCTATTTATAAAAATTCCACTTTTGAGTTAATTATTTTTTAAGCGATAAGGTGATGATAGCCGGTAATAAAGCAATCTCTAACTCTCATAAACATCGTTTGGTTTTACTGTAACAGTTCCCAAACACACCCATGACATCACCAGACGAAAATTAAATCAGACACGCGCTGAAGATGCCGGCTCTAAAGAAAAAACAACAATAGCCATAACTAATGGTAAAGATGAGGGCGAGAAGAAGATGATGATGGGAAGTTTGTTAATCAGCTTATGAATAGTTAAATGATCTCAATAAATCAGAACCAACAGTTACATCACTCTGGAATCCGGGTTCTTGATTGAACAATAGATAGCATTTGATAACTCAAGACCTTGATTTCTTTATCTTATCTGTAGATCGATAAAGTTACTTCTAAGAGCTACTGATATGTGTATATGAGTATGTCCATACATGTGTTTCATTGGAAACGCCTAATACCAACTTGGATACTTGTAGTTCTTGTAGATTACTATTATTTTTAAACGGAAATTCTAAAGACTTTATGACTAAGGGACTATTAACAATGAAAATCATGACGGACAGTCTTCAAAAATTCCAATTACATTCCTTAAATGCCTTGCACGTTTTCGCACCTAATCACCATTCAGAGGAGCTCCGGTCCCGAAAAAAAACTTGCCGAACCGCCATGTGCCATTCAAACAATGCTGATGACTAAGCTTTTCAAATGTGGGGTCAAACATTCAAAAAGCGACGTCATGAGCACACTATTTGTGATGAGTTATGACGTTGCTCACGGGGCTTTCAAGCTTTTAGGAACAATTCATACACGTGAGCACTTAATTTAGACAATTTGTATCCCCAGATTCTGATATTGTTATTTAAAAAGTCAAAACAGATTTCCCATTTTATGGCATAATTAATCGTCGTTAAAGCAATTAGAAACCTTTAAAATATTTCTTTAACAACTTACTTAAATCACGATTTTGTTTGTCAAGTATGTACATCATTAGCACCTAGGTGGGATCTACGAAAGAGATTTAAAAATGTAATTATTATTCAATCTTTCACAGATTCTCGGTGAACTTTGTCAACAGTCCGGACTGCACGGACAACATCACGTATCACTTCAAGGTGGTCATCCCCACACAGACGATAATCGAGAATTATAAACGGAACGGCGAGTGGAGCAGTCTTCATCAGGAAAAGTACCTGAACATCTTCGACGGTACAGGCGCTAGCGATAAGAACCCCAATATGACACAGAGCTTTGCCCGCATTATGAACGAGATTGACGAGGCGCTCCAACTTTCATCCACAGAGTCCTCGTTTTGCCTTGAGTTCGCCTTCGACTACGATAACTCTATGATGCGGGTGTACCAGGGCAGGGATTCGGGCCACAATTTCATAACCGAGTATGAGACCCTCTTCTCCCTATCCGACATCCAGGCTATACAGGTGTGGGGCGATGTGCAGAAAGTCAACCAGTTTGCCCTAGGCTACAACTGATAGGGAGAGAAACCCCCAAAATCCCCACGATCCCAAGGTAGCAAGTCATATTCATCTATTTATTGCACTTCTTCAATCGCTTAGATTCAAGTTTGGTGGCGGGGCACATATTGTCCTAACACTGCACGACCTTAATCCTTTCACCTGTAGTTTTAAATAGTTTGTTGGCTCTTGCATCCCATATATGTACATCTTTTTTCTATAAGCGACATGCTTTCACTACCTCTTCATTTGGTTATACGTTGAATTTTCTTATAATACGAACAAAAATGCTCCACTTAATCCTGATCCAACTGACTTTTAAACAGTATTAAACCAATATATATTTATAAATTTAATTAATTTGAATTTGAACTTATCTCAATAATTGAAAACTGCAAAATTCTCAAAATTTATAGTATTTAAGCATTTTTCTTTTTTCCTGCCTAGTTATTGAAACTGTTTTGAATGTATTTTAGAAAATTGCCTTTACTGATATCCCCTGATTATATTTATTTCTTTTCCGGTATTTAGTATATCAAAAGTGTCAAATATTTGTCACCTTTTTGTGTTTTAGTCATATCGCACTATCACTATCGGGAATTTTACGAATTATCCTGTGACGTAACTAGAGTTCTGCTATTGCCTATTGCTTCTTATCGCAGTTGCTGATTATTTCCTTGTTTGTAGTTGATAATCATTGTTAATTGTTGGGCCAAAGAATTGAATGTATTATACACGTTGAGTTTCCTTGCTTGCTGATGTCTTCCATTTAGTTTTCGAACTTATTTGTAAGCTTTCCATGTAATTCCCATACGAACACGCCAAGTATTAAAACATTGCATTATTCTCAATTAAATGCGTAAACACGAAAATTCATTGGAAATTGGTTTTCTTTAATGCTAATAAATTTTGAATTCGGTAACCGACGGAAACGTGCTTGCATTTGTTTCCCGTTCGTACGCATGGTAGAGTTAGAATTACGTGATCTTTCGGAAATCTTTCAGAAATCTGGCCGACCATTGGATTAACCGTCTGATATTCATACTTTCAGCGGGAAGAGCCTTACCAAAAATATTTACGTAAACATTGGGGCCTGTCCGCCTGCCATCTGCTTTGTAGCGCTACAAAAATTATGGCTCCAATGCAATACCAAACGAAATACACATAACACTATTTGCCATAAATTATACATTATATTTATTTTTGCAATGGAATCATTCTTTTCACCCAAAAAAGGTATTCTATTATTAATTGTTTTCAGCTTGTACATATATAGATACACGGATATTTACAATGCCTTACAATAGGAAACTTTACACAAAAATTCTAAGGGTTTATCCTAATAAAAACTTCTGCGAATCTCTGAATAAAAACTGAATAACACAGACTGTAAACTAAAATAAATTAAGGATACTAATGAATCGTGAAAACGCGATTCATGTTTTATAAATAATATTGCACAAAGAAAAAGATAAAAGGTAAACTAAACGCAAACTAAAAGCAATAAGGAACATGCGACCAAGAGATGGAATAGACCGCGGACTAGGATATGAGGTAAGTAAGCTTCTCGAGCTTACAGACTAATTACTTGGCGGCTGGGGCGCTTGGATTCTGGAACTGGGAAAAGCCTAGCTGCACGTAATTTGCCAGAGATGCGGGCATATTAGAGTCGGGTGATTGGGTGATCGTTATGGTGTTTCCTGCCAGGTCCTGGGTGGTAACCACATGCATAATCTGGGCAGGCTGCGCTTGGGAATGCGTCTGTTGGTTGTGTGACTGCTGCTGTTGCTGCGGAGTGCGTTGTTTGATTTCGTAAACCGCCTATGTAATGAAAATAAAAGGCTATTAGTAGTTGCTATTTTAAGTTGGTTTAACCTCTCACCTTACTGGGGGCCTGACCGTTGCTACGGACTTGAGGAGGCGCACTGGCTCCTGCAGAAGGGACAGTGGCAGCCGGAGCTACACTTTCCGGCCGAGTTTTCTTATGCATTTCCCGATGTTTCTCGTAATGCAACTTGGTGGCGAAATTCTTATTGCACACATCGCAGCAATAAAGCGTTTCGTTGGTTGGCTGAGTGTGAATCCTGTTGAGAAACAATAGGTTTTGTTTAATTTAAGATTCAAATTTACTTAATAAGATATGTATTATTTACTCACCGCTTGTGTTTGTTCAGGTTGTCCTTCCGTGAGAAGGGCTTCTTGCACACCTCGCAGGTGTACATCTTTTGGCCAGAGTGGGAAATCAAGTGCCGTGACAAGTGCTCCTTTCGGCTAAAGGTCTTGTCGCAGCCTTCTTCTGAACATTTAAAGGGTCTCAAGCCAGCGTGAAGCTTCACATGCTGGGTGAGGTGCTCTTTCTTCTTAAATTCACGTTTGCAAGTTGGGCAAATGAGGGCAGGAGTTGCGAGTGACGAAAGTGCGTCGTTTTCGCTATTAGTCGCATTCTGACCTTCCTGATTTGGCGAGGGCAGAATCTGCTGTGGTGGCCGAGCTGGTTTTTTCTGCGCAGGCGTTTCCTGGTTTTCTGGTGGCTTGCGAACGATCTTTTTGTGTTGCGCGGCCAAGGGGGGAGGCTGTGTTTGGTTGAGTGCGGGTACGGAAACAGGAATGGGCTGAGGAGCAGTAGAAGCGGCTGTCGCAGGAGGCTTCAGTTGTGGCTTGGGAGGTGTTTGCATTGAGATTCGACTAATGGTAATATTCTGCTTGTTTAGCATGGGTAGCTTGGCGGGACTAGGTGTTGGTACCGCTGCAGAAGTAGGAGCGGATTGTTTGGCGACTTTAGTGATGGTTGTATTAGAGGAGAGTCGTTGCATGGCAGCCTGATTGGCTATGACCGTCGTTTGTGGTGCAGATGCAGCGACTGCAGCGGGTTGCTGCTGCTTTACCTGTGGGGGCCTTGTCTGTGTCATTAGGCGCTTGAACTCGTTGTTAGCTGTGCCATTGCTTCCTCCAGAGGGTGAGACCACTGCGGGTTTGCTCTTCGGCGATGGCATCTGCCTTTGCTTTGGAGAAGGTGTCTTGAAAGTCAGCGCCTCTTTGGTGCTCGTGGGTGTAGTGGGAGTCGTAGGGATATTGGTCACATTCCTTATTACCAATTGTGAATTAGTGTTGTTCGTCTGTGGAGATCTTATGATTTGCTGAGAGGTAACTTGTGCCGTGTTAGGCAGTTGGGTAAGGGTTTGTTGCTGCTGGATGGACTGCGGTGGTGGAAGCTGGGGAGCCAGAAACTGGTTCTGCGCCACAGCAGTGGCCGTACCCTGAAAGTTGGTACCGGTATTCCCCATAGTCTGTGGTGTTAGCTGCAGAGTAGCCGGAATCGAGGTGGGTGTCAACTGCATAATTGGTTGGCCATCCGCGGTGGCTAGTTGAGGCTGAAGCTTCATCTGTACTTGGTAGGTGGTTGGCAGCACGAGGTTCTTGGTGTCTATATGAGCCACAATCTGCTGGTCCGAGTTCTCGTCGCGAATTGTGATGGGCAGAAAACACTTGTTCGGGGAGAGCAGATTAGGAGTAGACTGCGGAGCAGCCAGACTAGAGAGCAGGGCAGCGGCATTAAATTGCGACTGGGCAGGCCCAGCCCCCGAATTGGCAACTGCACCTCCTCCGGACATCAATTGCAACTGTATTTGAGGCTGACTACCCCCAAACTGGGGCAATGCGGTGGTAAATTGGGGTGCCGTTGGCGAAGAGAGCACAAAGTTCAACTTGGGCTTTTTACTGTCGCCAGGATTGGTTGAATCCTCCTGGGTGGCGGAGTACTGTGTGGTGGCCTGCAACTGGCTTGTGAGTTGCTGAAGCTGCTGATGTAGTTGAAGTTGCTGAATCTGCTGCCAGAGAGGCTGCAGTTGCTCGCCTAACTGCGGTTGCAACTGCAACTGAGGAGTGTTTACTGTAGTCGTTACAGCTTGCGGTTGCAGAGGTGCCTGCTGGGCTTTGGCGGGAGTAATGGAATCCTTCTTTCCCAGCGGTGTTATTTTTATGTCCGGCTTAAGACGGATAAACTCTTCCAAAGCACTAAGAGAGGATATTCTTTATTAAAGATCTTAAGAGAATAAATTTTCCACTCACGTTTGCCTTTCGCTTTTAATTTGCACTTCAGAAGGAACTTGGTGTTGCTGTATCCCATTGTCCACTGTGATGGTGTATTGCTGCTGGGGCTGCATACCCACCGCCTGGATGATGGTGTTTAACAGGTTTCCGGACTGCTGAGGTCCGTTGGAGCCTGCTGGTGCCGCTTGCGCCACACTGAGACTCTTGCCTGACTCGTCAACTGCATCCCGGATGTATAGCTTGTCAGTGCTTGGTGGCGGGCGAATGTTTAGGCAATTGCTCAGCATAGTCTGGGAATTGCGGCAAGTGGCGCGGAGTCCGTAGATCTGCTCCACCAGCTGCACGCACTGCGCACACACAACTTTGGGCAAGCGATCCTTTTCATCGATCTGCAAGAAGAGAGATTAGAAGGTTTATCAAAAAAATATATTTATTTGGTATATTATTGTTACCTGTAGCGAAAGACACTCGAGGATCTTGTGGCTTAGGTTCTTGGCGCGTCCCTCGGGCGAATAGATGTCCGTCTTATGGTCGCTGCTGTCCGTGCAAATTCGACACAGGTCGTAGTAGTTAATACAGCGGACGTTGTTTCCGGCCGCAGCCATTTTCCCGTTGACTTAATGGTTGGCAAAATGCTATTTATGTTTGGTTTATTGCACATGCAAATATTTGTTGTGTTTTTCGTCTGAACGACGCTCACTGTTAGAGGTGGAACTGCAATTCCAGCGCAAGTTGGTGAATGGCGATAACGCGATAAGCTATCGCCAACATATATATTTACACATTGATATTATTTATGAAAACAGATATATACACCTTAAATTAAAAGTGCAAAAATTAAATATATATTATATAACGACAGCGAACACATATATTTTAGATGTATAACGGTATCCATTAATATGAGCTCCGAAATGACCATCTCCAGCAATATATCACCACTAAGGTTATCGATAGTTTTAGAAACACCCTTGAAAAGACTATTGGATTTTCTCCACTCTTGGTAACGGTCATACTGCGTCGGCCATTTATCTTTGTGAGCGTGACAGGGAAAAGTTCTGTGCAAATCGAACTAGAACTTAGGCAACCAAGTCGAGGTAAACGTCTGATTAAACTGGAGAAAATGGGTTCACGCAACGAGTGCCGCATCTATGTGGGTAACCTTCCACCAGATATCCGCACTAAGGATATTCAGGATCTGTTCCACAAGTTCGGCAAAGTTACGTTTGTGGACCTAAAAAATCGGCGTGGGCCGCCATTTGCATTTGTTGAGTTCGAAGATGCGCGGTGAGTAATGCGAATACACATTAGCTCAGCTGGTGGACAAGACTCCCAACTAATTTTCACTCTTTACTCTTCGCTCCCCTTTGAAATATGTTTTCTACTGGCTCCCCTTCCCTACTGGCGCGACAACAGTGATGCTGATGATGCTGTGAAGGCGCGCGATGGGTACGACTATGATGGGTATCGTCTGCGTGTAGAGTTTCCACGAGGTGGTGGACCGGGCAGCTATCGCGGCGGAAACCGCAATGATCGCGGCCGCGACGGCGGTGGACGCATGGGCGGACGCGGACCACCGGCCAAGAGGTCACAGTACCGTGTCATGGTCACAGGACTACCTGCCTCCGGGTCGTGGCAGGATCTCAAGGATCACATGCGCGAGGCCGGCGACGTTTGCTTTGCAGATACCTACAAGGATGGATCAGGTGTGGTTGAATTCCTGCGCCACGAGGACATGAAGTACGCGATCAAAAAGCTAGACGACTCCCGCTTCCGTTCGCATGAGGTATGTTAATTCTTTGTTCACCATTTGGAATTATTCAAATGCATTCGGTTTCAAGTTTGAGGATTTTGGTTTGCATTTTCGTCAACATACATTATTCACCAGTTGGAATATTTTTATAGGGTTTCTAGCATGCCGATGGTTCCTTAATTTGTTATTCACTCAATTGCTGGCAACGCATTTTAAAATATTAAAAGTAGCTTCTGATTTAAAAGTCGTGCAACTATGTTACCGCAGATGCAACTCATTCGTTTTTTGTCTAATTGTTGTTATTAATTTTATTTCAAGAATAATTCTGAAATTAATAATATGTTTTGCTTTTAGGGAGAGGTTGCCTACATTCGCGTACGAGAAGATAGCGGCGATAATGACCGTGGTGGCGGCGGTGGCAGCAGCGGAGGTGGTGGCGGCGGAGGAGGAGGCGGTGGTGGAGGTGGTGGCGGCGGTGGTGGTGGCCGTGACTACCGCGACAGGTAATTTAAATGTTGCTACAGTTAATCTTTCAATATGTATTCATAAAATCCCTCTGTGCAGATCGCGTTCTCGTTCTTTCTCGTCGAGACCGCGCCGTCGGGGCACTCCCACCTACTCCCCAGTGCGACGTCAATCTTATTCCAGGTCTCGCTCACGCTCTAACTATTAAACACTACCAAGCATTATCCATTAATCTATAATATTTCTACGAGCAGGAAACAATAGGAAAAGCAAGCTAAATTAAGAAACTCCATTCAATATATGTTCAAGACCCCCCAAGCATACACCTTTGTAAATTGACTATCCAAGCCATCTGAAAAAATCAAGTTTGTTCAGTCAAGTTCCGAACTCTCATCAAGGCCAACATATTTAAAGAAAACACTTGCTTTTCCAACTGTATCACACATGCTAAGAAACAGAGAAGTTCTCTTAAATTGTAATCCACCGGGCATAATTTGACAAAAAACAGTTCAACATAGCAATTGTAAAACAGGGAATTTTCTTTGGCCACCATCCCTTAGTATTCCTTGATTTGCTTTTGTTTTATTTTGAGCCTTTGCTCTGCATCTGCACACTAAAATTATATTATAAACCAAATTTTGGCTGCATAATTTATTTGAATCTACCTTAACGAAAACAACAAACATCGATACAGAATAAATATGTTTATAATGAGAGAAAGAAACGAATTAGAATCCGAACACAACGCAATGTCAACCACATTGATAAACAAACTATTAATACTTTAATTTTTATTTTCTTCTCTTCCCCATTTTGCGCGTTTATGTTTGGAGAGTGATGAGGAGGATGAGGATTAATGGAGGAGGATGAGGAGGATATTTTAAAGTTGATTTTGGAGTGGATTTGGATAAATTTGGATTGAATTTAGAGGAGGAGGCAGGACATGTCTATAGATCTTATAAACATAATATTGTTTATGAGATAGTAATCAGGATTGGATTTGGATTTAGGATTGTTCTAAGCCCTTCGATAAGACAACGTGGGATACAGTGTCCCACGGCTAACTCGCACCTCGGAGGAGGAGACAGGAATTTCGCATTGTTGAAGGATTTTGTATGTGAGTTTTGGTCGTGTTCAGGTTAACGGATGTGTGGAGGAGGAGGATAATGTCGTTGAGGAACACTTGAGTTACCCTTGGACAGGACAAAAGCGAACAAATTCGGACTCGGCCTCATCTCTTCGAGCCTCGCCCCTTCGGCATCCGCCTAACGGTCGGGATTAGGATTCGCTTGGACAGACTCACACGTGTTGTTGTCGCCTTCTTTGGATCGCACCCAAGACACTAGCTCACCCAGGGAACCGCGTATTTCGAGGCCTTTGCGCCCCTGTCGTTCACATTTCATGGATTTGCTGTACATCATCCAACGTTGACTTGCGCCCAACGCTGGATAGTGGATAGTGGTCCTTGGTCTGGTCCGCTGCGATCCGTTCCAGTCTCCCTCTGTTTCGCCTCTCAGTGGTATGTTCGATTGCCACACTTATTTTACTTAAATTTTAATTTGCGTTTATTAGTTATTAATTTACATAAAATACTTTTCCTCCCAACTCTTTCGTCTCCATTGGTCTTGTTGCCTCCGAAAAGTGGCAATTGTCGCGTGTGCGTTTTTGTTTTCCATGTTTTGACTAGAAGGGCGAATATCCAATAGCCCCGACTATAGCCCACACCATTTGCATGAACTTTCTTTTACCCAAAACAAAGTATTAATACCAACAAAAAGCAATTTTAGACTTGAGAACGGATAAACTCGGCGTTCTCTTTGCTTTTCGAGCAACCTACAAGCCATAGTTTTAACATATTTTTGAAATATAATCCACCCTTTTCAATAAATATAACACCCAAACTGGAATTACAATGTATTGTTTAATTAATTATGTTGGGTATTTTACTAGAGCTTTAAAGTAAAAAAAATGAAGACTAAAAGTTTCAAATTTGATTGATAAAACCATAACAATATCAGACAAAATAAAAATATCTTTAAAGACCTATTATTTTTAGGTCTCTCGCAATCAATTACCACTTCGATTTAACTGATAAATTATAATATCTAGGAAAACTATATTTAATGGTAAAATTACAATTACTAAAGCTATTTCTCTAGTAGTTGGCTAAAAATTTCCACATAGAATAAATTTAAAGAACCCGCCAACTAATTGTAACAGAGTTCTGTTATTTCATTAATGTTACATTGCCGTACAACAGCACAAAATCCCATATATCCTCACAAGAGAAGGCGTTTTTTCCTATTTTGTGGTACGGTCAGTCTGGCAAACAAACTATATAAGAAACCGCCGCACTTTGTTGTTGGGTTTTTCAAAAAAAAATCGCCAGCTGTTCGGACGCGCGTGGAAACTGGTCAATGTTTGTTTTTAATTTCGAACGGAACGGAATGGTCGCTGAAGAGTTTATATACTCTATTTGCGTATTTCGGAAGCCCTTTACTGTAATATAAAAGTTTGAGTGAAATTCGAATATCACAAAACAAAAAACAGCATTAAGTAAAAGTGCGCGAAAAAATTCGGAAAACCCTACAAAGAGATCGCCTTGCAAATCAAATTGTAAGCCCACGTAAACAATAAATAATACGAAAAGTGCAAGACAAACTGTTGAACATATACAGTTTCGTGGGCAGTCTTTGAAGGAGAAGAGATATTCGAAGCTCGTGGGATCTAATAGAGTGTTTCACCGGGTCGGCGGGCCCTTCATTGCGTTGGTGTGGCCGGCTTATCATCGTCATTTGTTCGGCTGCAATTTTATTGAACTGCTCCGGTTTGGCCGGACCTATCTTCCTACCTAGTGGAAGCTTTTAATCAATCGCGATTGTACAACCAATTACCGGGTTTATCGTCTAATTTAAGACCACTTGGGCACGACGCGGACTATAAATAGAAGGTGAAGTGTCCAAATAATAAGTAGACAGCACTCGAAGTAAACTCAATCGCTATCGTATTGCACGGTGTAGTGTTAAAGTTACAATTAGTTCACGTTAAAAACACACACAGAGGTAAAAAGTGCATTTTTATGGATGTTTTGCATGCCCAGGGAATAGCTGCGATCGTTAAAATTGGCAAATTAAATCGCAAAATCAGCCAATCTCCCTAGGAGAAGTCATTGTTCTTGCTGGCAACTTAAAAGGTTTTTTATTGATCATAACCTGAAATTAGTTTTACGGTCAAGATCGGCTGATACAAACGATTCGTGCATTATTGCTGTTTATGATCCTCATTAAGCATTCCATCCTGTTGAATCGTTGTTCTACTACGGATTCATCATTCACTTCCGCATCATTTCTTAGTGAAAGTAAGACTCGATTCCGATTGCTTGACATTGGTAATGTGACCCAGTTAGGAGCACCATTTTGGACCGACACTTGGCAGCTTCCTAGGGTGCTTCTTTGGTAATTCGATCTGTCAACCCAAAGGTGTTGCCCTTGTGGCAACTACCTAACTGCTTGCAATACAACCTACCTAGGGGTCTCCAAGGTCTCCTTCCAGGTGGTTTCCTGTTCGTCTAAGTGTGCACTGAAGAAAAACTTGAGTTATGAAATAAAAATTACATATGTTTTGGTTGGGTTTTTGTTTTTGAAAAAAATAATAAAAATAATATTTTATAATTTGGTTTCTTCTTAAGAATTATTTTTTAGTTAGAAAATCGTATTTTTTGCTCATATGTCCCCTTATTTTTAACAGTGCATAATCTGTGCAGGCAGGTCGTTTGAGACCTTGCCGCCTGTGCGTCTCTAATCGGAGACCTGTCCATGTGACCGCCCTCTGCTCTTTGTCCCTCTCCTGCCTGTTAATCTTTTGTTGTGATGAGATGCTTATCACACCTACCGCCGCTTTGCGACAGGTGCATTCTGGAGTTTCCGCTGGAGCTGTAAAAAAAGGCAAACGGCAACTGGCAGCCGTGGAAATGGGAAACCCTTGCAGCTCGACCATTCAAGTGCCGCAGTTCGTTTGCTCGAATGATTGACGGGCGGCAACTGTGACCCCTTAACCCCTTGTTGTCCGCACTCAATGGGCCGCATCGCGTAAGCAATTTATGTTAATTGTTGTTTGTCCGTGGTTCCCTGCCTTGAAAGGTCGGGTCCATTGGCTTATAGTGTTTGGGAAAATTAAATTTAATGCGTAATACAAAACAACCCTTAATATTTACTAAGTAACGACTAATTGTGGGAATTTTCTGATGAATCTGAAATTACGTACACTGGGTAAAGCCAGTTTTCCAGTTTCTACCCAATAAATCACGTGCGAAATGCAATTTTCTAAAACAGCTAATTCTCTGTAAAACAAGACTTTTGTTGGTTTAAAGATGATAAAGTCCCAACCACTACTGATAAGATAAGCTTTGCGTATAAATGAGAACTAAAGTTTGCTAATATGTTTTATTTCCTGTAAATGAGTCATCAAATTTCCGAGATCTAAAATATTTATTTTTAACTTTCAGTATAACATTTTCAATTTAAGTAATACATTTCAGGAATTAGTCATGCAACAGATATAGTTAGTATTATGATTTTAATATATATTTCTATTTGAATGATTTCTTTTATAAAGAGTATTTTCCCTTCGTACAGTTTAATTTACATTTAAGACCGTCGTATTTTCCGCTGGCAGTCGGGCCAAGCATTTAATTAGACACTTTTTACTTTTACCAACACAAGACACAAACTTTTATCCGCGGCGGCGGCAACAAGTTGAAGACGCGAGCCTGGTCCGTCTGTCTAATTGTTTTGACTGTGGCAATTTCTCCTGGCCTTTTTGGAGTCGCAGTCGGAGTTAGAGTCGTTGGCAGGCGGAAACTGGTTTGCCTGCTCCACGCAATCCCAAAGCTTTAATTCGGTCAATTCAGCGGGATAAGGCTCTCATGATGATGACGATGACTAACGCTGGCCCCGAGGCATCGACCAGGGCAACGAGAACGGTCCAATTTGGCCTTTTACCGCAATCAGGTTTCGGTTTCGGCTCAGTTTTGGTCCGCTCGATACGATACGTCGACAGGCCGACCGAATGGATGAATGAATGGCCAGCTGAATGAGCGATTGGGGGCTGAGTTATTCAGCTGGCCGGCAATCCATCATGCTGTCCTCAGAACTGGTTGACCAACACCACTTAATGAGTGGACAAGGCGTCTCCGACATTTCCCATTTGCATTCCTCCCCCTCCCGCCTTACGATTCCTCTGATTCCCGATCTACGATGCAAAGTCATTAGCCGCAAACTATGCCTATATGGGCTGTTACCAGGCCAGACATGGCTCGCATTAAATACAGCCATAAAAACCGACCGGGAGGCGGGTTCCATGGGGCACGCGTTTCGGGGCGCCGTTTAATTGCGGTACGCAAGCGATTTGTGTGCGATTTTAAACGCCTCAATTTGCATATGCAGCTCGCTCTATGAATGGAAAATGTGACGCCCAATGTAGCAGCTGGTTATGCATATCACTCTATAAGCAAGTGTAAATTAACACATGTACCCGGGCATCAATTTCAATTATTCTTTGTCCCTCTGAAAAACTGATAAGGACAATGGGTGGCGAACTCGCACTATCTGGGGTTAATTGGGAATTCAATGAATTTCGAATTGAAATGTTTAAGAAACTATTAAAGATAGGAAGCGGTCCGCAGATTGATGTTGGGAACACTCAAATAGGGCATGTAAACTTCCAAGATTTTGACACCATAATATCAAGATAGAACCCTACTTAGATTGTTTTTTAAGATTCCCAAGCTATCTGAATAACCAAACTCTAAGAGTATATAGCTCGATGGATGTGCGATTGTATTTATTTTTAGCTTTGCCCTCCTTGACGAGTCTCACCATGAACTTATCGTGCTCCATCGGTTTGCAGTCCTATTTTATGACTTGCCCTGTACTATACACTTGGCCGCTTGTCTGGCCGCAAGGCGCGTTTTAAAACGCCAGCGAAAAGGCAGCAAATCGCGTCAAACATTAAAAACATTACCCTGAGCCGTGGGGGTTGGCCCTGGTAATTGTAAGCGGCTATTAAAATAATTTAACGCGCCTCCGTTGGCTGTGGAGCTAGAAAAGCTAAAGACTGCAAGGACGGGCACAGAAAGGATTACCCAGCCAGCCCAAAGGGATTAACATAATTTTTGCTAATATTGTGAGCAAGGCTCGCAGCACATAATGCGCTTAGAAATATGAAATGAATAAAGACTGCATTAACCTGAATGGTGGCCGCGGCAGCAGCAGAGGCAGCAACATCAGCAGCAGCTGCAGGAAGGATTGTGGCAACGGATTGTGGAGTGGTGCACGCAGGCTGAACTTATAAACTTAAGGGTGACGAGGTGGCGGTGGGAAAAGGGGCATGATCCATGATGAGCTGTGCGGCAGAAACGCGCCAAAAAGCAGCGACGTCGACTGCATTAAAGTGGAAAATCCTGTCTGACAACATTTAAACCAAAAAGAAATATATATATATATACAAACCTATAGTAAATATGTGCAAAATAAAACCTACAACAACAAACCACAAACAACACATAATAAGCGTGAAAAAAGGCAAAATGAGAGCAAAACCTACCCAGTCCCAGACCCATTCCCATTCCCAGACTTAGGTTCAGTCCCAACCTGGCTAGGATGAAGTGGGCAATGAAAAGGGAGTGTGGCTAGAAGAAAAAACCACCAGCTAACAAAAGAAAGGAAACAAAACGAGAAAATTGCCTTGCACTCCTAGACGAAATGTCTTAATACCCTAGGAAAAATAAACTATTGATTGATATTTTGTTTTTATGAAAATTCGCAGGAAAAACAATGTTAGACAAACTGCAGTCTTCTTAATCTTCAGGTTTTTATTTTTACAAACACAATTTTGTAGACATCGTTTACTTACACTTTCCGGAAAACTGCACTTTGTTTATAAACATTGATGATAAATGTTTATGGGAAGAAAACCGTAAGGTATTCAAAACAATTCAATATTTATGTAGAAATATTAGAAAAACAAATAGAAAATTGTTAATAATAATAGTTACTAATAACCATTGCCTTTTATTTATTATTAAGAAACCGAGTTATTCATCCTACAATTTTGCATGTACAAGTGCTTTTATTAGAAATAAAAACATCATGTGATTTGGTTTTTCAATAACCATCTACTGAAAACATTTTGGATACCTGATCCAGAGGCAAATTCAGCACTAAAACCATCACATTTGCACATTTTCCGCAATTTCGTTTTGCACCATATAACCCAACGAGGAGGCACTAAGAATCACATTCATAACATCAATAAAAGTTCGTGATTGTTTACGAGAAAAACAAATTAATAATGGAAAATCACATGTGGTTTTTCACAGACCAAACACGAACCAACACCTTCGCTCGCTTGTATATGCGATGAAAATAGCAATTAAAATCGGGAAAGAATATTTAAATTGTCAGATTTCGATTTTTTAAATTACTATGCTTTCCAGTTTGCTTAAAAATCAAAAGAAATTTAGCGCCGACTTTGGGGTGTTGAAAAACCATAAATCTTAGAGAGAGACTAAAAGTAGTAATCTCATGCTAAATGATCTTGAAACTACCGTAACCGATGATTAATGATGATGCTTTGTGAATACACATATTAATGTTTATGAATAATTTGGTAATATTTAACAGAGCTCTGTGAGGTTTAATAATTCTCCAAATCGCTGCCGAGTGCTAATTGAAAATATTTCCAAGAATTCCAAGTTGGTTACGCCAAAGCGATTTGTATTGCTGTCAACGTATGCGAGTGCGATTTATCAGGTAGTTTCTGTGGGACCTTTGCAAGTAATTTCTGGTGAAGCAATTGTTTGGCTTAAGGGAAACCCTTCACTGTGGCATTTCCGTTCAGAGTTAAATCCAAAATTCTTAAGACAAATTCCTACATTGACGAATTGATACAAATATATCATACGCACATTCTGAATACGCATTGTTTTCTGTGAATGTTATAGCCCTCATTTTGTCAAAGTCCATGGCAGAGAAGAAGGCAAGAAATGAGCCGACCCAAACATGTTTAATGCCTCATGCTCTTTGCCCTTTCCCTGGCTGAGACCTCTTTGAATTTTACCGGGGAAAATTAACGACACCTGACAGGCGCAGAACAACGGAGCCCAGAATTCAAACCGACCCTATGAGACACAATCCATAAATAATCTCCCTGCCCAGAACGCTCAATCAATTGTTAAAATGCTGAATAATTGATTCGGTTAAAATACTCTGCGCGGCAGTCAATTAAAAGCCGCTTTCGAGAATGCAATTGAAAATCATTACAGCTATAAAAATAATATAGCGCTGGCAATAATAATAATTCGTAATTCTGATTTGCATGTGCCATTTCGAACTCAATCAAAACTCAGCACTAGCCGAGGGCGTTTATTACACTTTTCTGCGTGTGTTTCTATATTTGATATATAAATACTTGTCAGCTTGTTTGTGGCATTGATTATTGTCCGATATAACTTACTTTAGCTATAAATACCATTTTTTTATTTGTTTTTTATGACAGGCCATTCGATGTGGGTTGTAATGGAAATAACGCTTATTAATGTGATGTTTTAATGTCTTGACTTGTTGCGATGCCTCAAAAGCTATATATTATTTGCTTAAGCTTTGTAATATTTTTCTACGTATGTCATGTGGAATGCTGTTCCAGACTCTCTACTGATGGTAATTGGTGCGTAACTTCCATTTTCACTTCCCTCTGAAAACCAATGAAGCGCTACGAAAGTCGTTATTGTCTGCCATACGAATTGATTGTCTATTTGCATTGTTCATTTGGCTACATGAAATCATCGCCGTGCAACTACCTGTTCAATAGTCTGTATCTGCAGAGAGAGAAAGTTAGTTAACCTTTAAAGTTAAGTTAAAATAAATGCTCATATTGACATCATTCCATAACTTCCAACTACTTAATCATCAAATTCATGGAAACCATTAAAAGTATATAACATTAACTATGTTTTTCTGAGTGTATCTCTAGGGGGAAATACGCAATAGTCCGTCACAAGTCACCAAGTGTCAAGTCCCAAGTAGTAAGCCCAAGATCAATGACTCCAACGGCGGAAGATTTGGAGGGGAGCTCTTATCAAAAGTTCTGGTCTGTTGATAAACAAGCGGCATGATAAATGGACAGCAATCAATAACGTAGAGTTGGCTGCTTCCTCGGCCAGCCAGTTAGTCAGTCGGTTGGCTGGTTGGTTGCTTTGTTTACCTGCAATCAAAACAGTTTAGGTTTTTCCCTTTCATTCTGTTTGCCTGTCTCTTGTATGTAAATAAGCCCGTAAATACGCGGCCCGAATAGGCAGGCAAATAAACTCGGGAGATAGACTGTTAACATTCACTTTGCTTGCCTTCCTATTCGCGAACACTGCGTATACGCAATGGGTGCAGTATCAGTTAGATCGTATTTTATACGATTTGATTTTGTTAATTCGTTCAAGGTGGCCTAGGGGAAGAGTTACCGGAAAGGTCCTAGTTGCATGTCAAGAGAACACTTTCTCGAAAGGTGTTGGCGATAACATAGAAAACAAACTGCTGAAAGGCCAAAAGAACTAGGTTAAAATGTGACTTCCAAACGGGGGCGTGCATTGCGCATACGCAACGTGGCAGTAGTAGCAGCAGCAGCAGCAGAAAAGTCATAAAAATGAGAAAACAACAACCGCTCACCTGAAGTCAGGTAAACGGCAGCTGTTTGTTCAATAAAAGCCAAACAAGCTGGCCTTAACTCGGAAGTAGCTTGGAGAATCAGAACGAAACACTGATACCCTATGCATACCGGATTTTAGAGCAAGTTTAGCTCCTTCACTCATCAACTGAAATCCTATTAACTCGCATTTACATTCGCACTGCAGTCGTTTTGTTTTATGTTTTTTTTTTTGCACTCAATTAAAATGCCAAGTTCAGCGCCTGCCAACATTCAAAACTGACAGCTGACAGATGGAAATTTACCCCGGCTAAGGAAAACTCCTGGCTCGGGTCACGGCTGAGTCGTCACTCATTCCACTGGCGGCCAACTATCAATCATTCCGCTCATTTAGCTGTGAGGCAGGTGCAAATGTGTCAGTTGTAAATGAGCAGAAAGTTCACGAGAGTCTTAGCAGTTGGCTTCTTGAAAGTGTCAACCGGCTTGAGTGGGGAGCACGGGCTGTTTTAATTGAGATGAATAAATGATAGGGCTGCTTGATTAAGGATTTCCAGCTGTCTTTCATTTCTCACTATCTTATTTACACTCTCTCTCTCTCTGGCAAGGTGTTAATCATTTTATTTCTGTTTTCTTGCAGATATACTAAACCTACACGGAAGTCTACTATATTGAAAGCTAAGGTGAGTTTTAAGCTAAATACGCATCGTCCCTGAATTAAAATTACGCAATTTACCTCTGAGCAGGTAATTAGCCAAAGCTGCGGTCCATAAAATCCGTTTATTCGCACTTGGGTGGATGCAGCTGGCATATCCATTGAGTTCCTTTCCGGCTCGCTTCCCCTGAAGCAGGGCAATTCGATGCACTGCCTGTGGTACGAACTCTCACCTCCAGAAATCCTGGGGGTGAAGTGGTCTATGGGGGAGGCCCGTAATTAATGTGCAAAATCACGCGTCTGCATTTAATTCACTTTGGGGCCTGGGAAATCGCCGAGTCGAGAAAACCATTCGAGAGAAGTGGCAACATTTTTGCACGCATTTGGCCAACGCCACCGCCGCCGCTGCCGCCTGCCGATTCGACCCATGGGCACCCAAGCTCCCATCTTGGCCAGCTTCGTCTATTTAAGGGCATTGCCAGCTTTTTCCCAGCAATCGGTGAACATACTGCTGCTGTTGCTGCTGGCAATTGTCCTTTATTGCCATTCCTTCATTAGGCCCCAGTCTTGGATGGCATTTTAATGCAATTTTTATGCGCATTTTTGTGCGCTGTAATGGGCCAGTCTCGGCTCTTTCCTCCTACAGCTCGGCATCCCTGTTGTCGATGTGTCACTTGTAAGATCATTTGAATTGTAATTCATATAATTCGCCGTATTGTTGTCTTGATGGGCTGTTGTGGCTGCTGCTGCGGCTGTGCCTGTAAGTGCCTGACTTTCGTTTCCAGGGAATGCTAGGTTGCCACACTTCAGGCGGGCCTCAGCTTTTTAATCAAATTGTTGACTCCTCAAATGATTTAGTCATCAAAATGATCGTCTAGTCAACTACATTGCTCACATAGACTCATTGCAAGAATCTAAAACACAGCTGCTTTATTCGGCAGAATGTTTAATTGGGCATGAAACAAATTTTATCCATCGAAGTGCATTAAAAACGCATAAACCGTCGGCTAGAAGTTAAACAAACATGCTCGGCATCCGCGTGAACACCACAAAAGCGCCATCAAAGTGTCAAAAATGGAACACATATGGGGATTAGGACTGGGCAGGGCTAGCGGAGACATAAATTAGCCCATAATAAAGTTCTAAATAAACTCTGCTAGCCGCAGGGCATATAAAAATAGTCTCCAGTGGCTCACCGAGGGGAGATTTAACCGCATTAAAAATTTGAGAAGACATAAATACGCATAAAAGTCAGAGAAGAATTGCGAAGCAGCTGCCGACTGCATTTTTATTAACACGCGGAAGTTAACTCGCAGCCAAGTAAATTCGATTAATACTTTGTGAGATTTGGGGTTTGGGGAATCCCTTATAAAGGTTTGATTATTACCCAATTTTGAGTTTCAAGTACATCAGTTATTTTCATCTATTTGAGGGCGAAACATTTTATTAGATCACAAAATACAAAAATTAAATAGAAGCCCATCTAGTAGGCCATGACATCGTGAACTCGTCGGAAGCGTTCGCCCGCCTTCCTTAGACTCAATCCTCGGGTCTCCGGCATTAGAACTGCAAAGGCCACCAGGCCTATGACCATGATTATACCCACGGCCACGAAGTACGTGTAGAAGGACTCAGCTGTAGGTTCGAATTTGACAATCACAATGATGTGAATCACCTGCTCCAGGCACACGATCAGGCCAATCAGGAAGGGCTTCACTCTCATTGGAAAGGCCTCACCCAGATAGCAGGATGTGCTGCATACGTAGAGTCCGGCAAAGAACTGGAATGCCATACCCAGGCGACAGACTTGCCACATAAAGTAGGGGTTCGTGATGTGGGCGTAGTCCCCGTAGACTCCAGCCATGCCCAGCATCAATCCTGCCATGCACATGAGTCCAAGGAGTGAAACAAACTTCCGGCCAACGGTGTCGAGGATGCCGAAGGTAATCAGGGCTCCGATCAGGCGGAGAATGGCGTATATGATCGTGGGCCAGGAGTACGTAGAGCCCTCCTCAAAAATCGTAGTCTCCACCATTGAATCGGAGAGCGGCACAGAGAAGGTGAAGGCCACGAAGCAGCGGAAAAAGAGCAGTTTCAGGAAGGGCATCATGGATTCCCCCAGCTGCTCTCCGACTCCCTGGCTGCTGCCCTCCACAACGTACAGCTTGGCTTCGTCGTAGGCCTGATCTCCCGCCTCTCGGGACCAAAAGGCACCCATTAGCTGCTTCACACTGTTTCGTGCTCTTTGCTCCTGATTCTGGCGGATATAGAAGATCGGTGAATCTATTGTTATAGCCACACTGCCCAATGCTATGGCGGTGAAGACGATTCCGAAGATGCCATGTACCCGGTTACTGGACATGCCCAAATACTGCGTCCACTGGGAATCGTAGATCACTTGAATAGCAACTCCCAAAGCCAAGCCATATTGCTCCAGGGCGCTGCAGGTTCCTCGATTAGAACTGGAAGCTATCTCAGCACTGTGGATGAGGAATGGCACGGTGATCAGTCCTATGCCCACTCCACCCACATACCGGGCAGCCAGTATGGATTCGTACTGATATGGAGCACTCACAAAGATGATTGCGTCTATTAGGTTCATCACACCGCCAAGACCCTGTAAAGAATCAATGATATTAGTTATAGGAAAACTTCTTAAGACTTCTATTTTCTACTCACATAGAAGACTACTTTGGGCAGAAAACCTGTTGTGATGGCGGCCACCACAGTTCCTATGATCACTCCAATAAACCAACTGTACTGCAACTCCAGAGTGTTGGCGAAAACGCTGGTCAAGTTCCAGCCGAGGCCTTGAGCCATGTCCATACCAGCGTACACAAAAAGAAGGGTTGCTGTTGATAAGAACATTTGAATGGTTATTGTTAAAGAAAATTGTAGGTCATAAAAATATCAGATCTTGAGTTTATAAAGTGAGTTTAATTAACACGTTATCATTAATTACGCTTTAATATTAAGAATTTTAAATTTCCCTCAAAAGAAAATAGTTTCCAAATCTCCAAGCAAACTAACTTCGAGAGAATAAAGATACGAGTGATTCGTTTGCCTTTTTGTTTGAGTTAGAAAACTTGCCCATTGAAAAGAAACCTTCAGGAACTCCACATATAGCCTTATCAACTGCTAAAGCTTCTTGGCTTTTGAGGATTAAGTTCATTGTTCTCTACAAATCGAATATTTTAACAGATTTTTCAGCCCCATTGAGTTTACCTGCTGTGCCGGATTGTGTTTGAGATGGAGTTGCCCAGCGTCTGTTAGATTCGGTGGTGATCACAACCGTGGTTGGTGGAGGTGGCGGTGGTGGTTGCCGCCCATTGGTGATATAAGTGGTCTGTATGGGCTGTGGGCCTGTGGTAATGTACGTCGTTTGCTGGACGGGCACTGGACCGCCGGTGACATAGGTGGTCGTCATATTCCTGCTTTATATAACCGGAAAGCGATTTAAATGGCTTTTGCCTTGCAAGGAGCTGGATCGATTCGTTCGTTTTGGTGGTCACTGGAAGACTGGGCGAGCTTTTATAAAATATTTCCGCGTAAGTAGTAGCTATCAGCGAAAAAAGATATCTGGTAATTGATATATTTTATCAGCTGGCAGATACTCGCGTACTCCGCTTTTCGGTAGGCCTGTCGCATGCCGTGATTCATTTTAAGTAAGCCTCGATAAGTTGTGATAATGTCACTGAAACATTCAAGGGCCCTAAGTTCAATGTTGTTAGTCACCTCTTTGTGGTATCCTAGCTAACTTGGCTAAATGGATCGTTTAGGGGGCACAAAGTTCAGCCAGTATGAGCCATCGTTTTTGGGGGTATACCCCAAAAGGTCAAGAGGCCTTCGCAACAGCGGATGACGCGCTGAGATTTATTGGAAAAATGTTATCAATCCCAAATAATTTAATTGATTAACAAATGTCAAAGATATATTTTACAGGATAAGATAAACCTTAACTAATCGAAACATGAATAAATTTGCTTTATTCCATATTTCCTCTTTTGAATTTCCAATAGTTAGATAGTCTTGATTTTGGGGCAGCAAATCAGCTTTATTTTGGTATAGATTTTTCAACTTATTTGCATTTTGTAAAAATACTAGAAAAGCCTTATGTTGTGCAATCTATTGAATCGCTTTCTAGCCTCTCTCAGAGTAATTTTCTTTGTTTCTGGAATCACGATCCCGAAGATAATAACGCCAACAAACAGAATGATTCCCACAGACAAATAGTAATGATAGAAGAAAGTCTCGGCACCCCGGTTATAGCCAACAATATCAATGATATGGACCGTCTGTTCAAATCCCACAATGTATCCCACAAGAAGAGGCTTCACCTTCATGGGGAATGCCTCGCCCATATACACCGAAGAGCTGCAAACGAAGAGTCCTGCGACAGCCTGGAAAGCCACTCCTAGTTTCCATACCTGGTTCATGTAGTAGGTAAGGAGCACATTCGTTGGATTTGCATAGGAGGCAGCCATGCAAATCATCAGGATAGCCATGCAGAGCAGACCCACGAGCGATATGAGCTTGCGTCCGATCTTGTCCAGAAAACTTTGGGCCACTAGTGCTCCAAGCAATCGGACCAATCCCCAAAGGGTCACTGGCCAGCAGGAAATATATCCCCTCGGTCAGGAGAGTGCTCTTAATAAGGGATTCGGACAGGGGCATGGAAAATGAGAAGGCAACGAAGCCGCGGAAGAGCAGTACTTTTACAAAGGGCACCACAGAGATCCAAAGCTCCTGGAAAAACGTTCTATTCTGGCTCTCCGTCACGTAGAGATTGGCCTCCTCGAACGTCTGATCCACTGAGTTGTTGAAACTTCCTAAAAGCTTATCATGGCATTCGCGGGCCTTCTCCTTCTGGTTACGCCGCAAGTGGAAGATCGGTGACTCAATCGAGAGCGCTGTCATTCCCAGGCCAAGTATGGAAAACACAATTCCTATGATCCCGTGAACCTCGTTGACAGATGCCTCCTTGTCATCCACCCATTGAGTGTCATAGATGACCTGTGGGATTTCAGATCAGATTAAAACAAATTTCTCATTTCCTTTCAGTAGTAACCTGAATGGCAATGCCTAAAGCGAGCCCGCACTGCTCCATTGATCCGCTAGCACCGCGATAATTGTCCGACGCCACTTCGGCGCTATGGATGAGAAACGGAACGGTGATCAGTCCAATCCCAGCACCGGCTACATAGCGAGCGGCCATAAGGCATCCGTAATCAAAGGGGGCACAAGTGAAAATAATAGATCCAGTAAGCTGCATAAGACCTCCAAGGACCTGCAGGAAAATCAATAAATCCTAGGTTTCTAGTTGGTTTACTTTTCACGCACGTAGAAGGGTAACTTTGGGAGGAAGGTCATGGCCATGGAGGCCACTGCAGCTCCAGCCAAAACTCCAATGAACCAACTGCATTTGAAACTCTGTGTGGCAGTAGTGGTGTTGAGGGTCTGATTCCAACCGGAACTGTGAGCCAAGTCCATTCCGCCGTAGACATACAAGAAAAACACTGCCAAGTTAGGATTACTATGAGTAACTTCCTCCAATTGAGCGGACTTTATTTTCCATACGCACCTGCACAGCCTACATTGAGTTGCTTGTTGATTTGCCGTAAGGATCCTTGATTATTTATCGTTAAATTCACCGTTTGTGTAGGTGGCTGCGGTGGAGGTGGTTTAGGGATATATCCCCCTTCGAAGTCCTCGGTAGTAAAAGGATTCGGTTCTTCCGGCCCAGCCGTAACATATGTAACTGTCATATTCCTTCAGTTCTTTCCGTGGAAATACTTGTCTGCGATCCGCGCAACTTGATGGACAGGAATGAACTACAAGGGCTCTAAAAAGCAATTGGGGTGTTACTTGGGGATCATTACAATGTTCTGTAAGCTTTTAGATAAAGACTCAGCCCACTATTAAGTCTTACCGACAGAGAAAGTAAGCCATCAATGAGGATGATAAAAAATAGTGACTTTTTAGCTGACACATTTCTTTTCTCTTACCAGTACCAAAAATAACTATTATTATTTAGAACACCTTTTTAAAAAGTTTTTCATAATCAAAATTGTTTTGTATTTTTATGATTACCACTAGAAGAGTATCGCCTTTAAAGATCTGTTTACAAAACTAGTTTTATTAACCTATATCAATATCAACAAACAAAAATTTAAACAAATAATATTATATAATGAGTGTGGATCCTAACGCCTAGTAGATCCTTATATCGTACCACTTCTGGAATCGATGGCCAGCTTCTCGCAACGTCATTTTCTTTGTTTCTGGCATGGAAACTGCAAAGAAGATCACGCCCACCATCATGATAATGCCCACGAGAGGAAATACTGGAAATATATATTCTGGCCTTGAGCAGAGCTTACGCAGGCTATGACTATGACATGGATGATCTGCTCCATTATGACAATTACACCGACCAGGAACGACTTGACCCGCATGGGGAAAGCCTCACCCATATATACCGGTGTACTGCAGATGAAGAGTCCGGCGAATGCCTGGATTGCCATCCCGATATTGCAAGCCTGGGTCATGTAGTACCAGTCTAATGTATTCTCCACATTGGAATAAATACCGGCTAGGCCCAGCATTAGTCCGGCCAATACGAGCAGGCCCACCAGTGACACCGCCTTGCGACCCACTGTGTCTGGGAGGAATAGCGCCACCAGGGTTCCAAACAAGCGGAGACTAGCAAACACGTACATTGGCCAAGCACTAAGAGATTCCTGCGCTATTGCGGTGCTCGATATGATCGACATGGTTAGCGGTAGGGAGAAGGTAAATGCAACGAAGCACCGGAAGAATAGCATCTTCAGAAAGGGCATCGCCGAGGCCACCAGCTCCTCACCCATGGTCCGGTTTTCGCTCTCCGCCACGTAGATCTTAGCCTCCTCAAGAGCTGCATTAACACCAGCGGGGGCATGACTAAGAAGTTTCTCCTGGCTCTGGCGTGCCAAACTCTGCTGGTTCCGACGTAGATAAAAGATTGGCGATTCTATCGACAGGGCAGTCAATGCCAGGCCGAACAGGGAGAATATAATCCCTACAATTCCGTGAATCTCGTTGGGTGTGGCTTCAACTATGGAAGCCCACTCAGTGGTGTACACCACTTCGATGAAGATTCCCATGGCCAGGCCGAACTGCTCAAACGCACCGTTTATCCCTCGACCGTTGTTACCTGCTACCTCAGCGTTGTGAATGAGGAAGGGAACCGTAATAAGGCCAATACCCAATCCTGCCACATAGCGGGCTGCAAGGCAGGCAGAGTAATCTGCAGGCACAGCAGTGAAAATAATGGAGCCAGTAAGTTGCATCAGAGCTCCAAAGACCTAAAAAAAAACCGGTGATACAACAAATGATTTATTAAATTTTAAGTTTTATAGTATTTACAAAAAACTTTTTAATGAATTCCCTACTCACATAATAGACCTGCTTGGGCAGGAAATTCAAGGTGAGAGTAGCGGCCAGCGCTCCAATGACTACCCCTATAAACCAACAGTACGAGTACTCCGTAAACAAGAGGATGTTGAAGGTCTCGTTCCAACCCAAACTGGCGGCCATATCCATTCCGCCATAGACCATTAAACAGACAACTAAAATGTAGATCGTGAATATAGGCATTTTACTAGGAAGTATTTCCAATTGCTCACCTGCACAAGATACATTATTTTGTCTATTGAATTTGGCAAAGTATCCTCGGTTATTAAAGGTAACAGATGGCTTTGGTGGTTCCGGCGGTGGTGCAGTCGCAATGATGATGGTATCCTTGGGTGGAAAGGGACTTGCACCCACAGCAGTGGATTGCATTCCACTCATTCTTGGGAAGTCGATGGGTTTCGTTCGGTAGCTCGTTCGTTACTGGGGCCCACTATTTGTCTTCAATCGTGTTTAAATCGGACAAAGAATGGTCCGAATTTTGCGATACTGATATCTAGCTGATAAGTAAATGATATTGTAATCAGTTTATAGATACAAGTGTCTTCACCGATTTCACCCGATTCGATTCAATTGGCCGCTTGGCCTTGACTGTGATTCATGATCAGTCACAATTGGGGGCTTTTTCGAGGGAAAAACAAGGTGGAGTTATCTAAAAATAGTTTTCATATAAAATTTGATTTTGTTTTGCTTTTAAATTTTTAACACCTGATAACAGATTGACTGAAAAGCTTCTTTTATTTTTACTTAATAAAAGTTTCCCGTTTGCGGAATCCCTTTTGAATGTTTTTAGGGCACATATTGACCCATGTTTTTTGAGCTTTCACAAAAAAAATTAAAAGATTAATAAGATATATTCATAGGCAATGTTTCTTTTTTAATTCCTAATTAGGGTTACATTTTAGTTCCCGCTCAGACTCTTCTGGGCCACACACTTTCCAAACTATCCAAGACCTGGCTGGATTGCAGCCGAACGGTGCGTGACGACCCCAGCGCCTGTCTAGCGTCTTCATTATGTTTGGCAGGAATATTCAAGAGAGCAAGACAGCGACAAACTCATCGGGACCATAATCGTAATCATAATCATCCCAGAGGCAGGCCACCACACTCGAGTGTTTGCTTGAGTTGTCTCAAATTGCGTAATGTCTGCACTGACATTGCCATTTCCATCCACACCAAACACACTCCACTTCATGCCGGCTAACCCAGCATCTCTTTGCGAGTCAATCCATCTTGTTGCGCCTCAAACTGTCAAATCGCGCCACATGTCTATGAATTCTGAAGGGGAAGTAGAGTAGTAGTAGAAGGCAGGCGGGGAATCAGACTGTTGCCTGTTCCTTGTCATTTGACGCTGCTCGACAAATTAGCCAAACGCGACGCCATCACAGCTCCAGATCCAGCAGCTTCAGCAGTGCCATCTCCATTTCGTTTCGAGGGATTCAAGTACATTTTAATGAGTTTATGCACAAAGTTGTCTAATGGCGTAAAAATTATGAGCGCCAACATGTGGCTACGGATACGGGAATGGGTATAGCTGTAGATGGAGATAGATCTGGAGTGGCACATGGCTCGTAAGCACTTTGCATAAATTTCTGTAGTACTGCCTTCGGAAGAAACGCTGCGACGTCTGCCAGCCCACTAATGGAGTCTAATTACTCTGGCCGACAGCCCGACGCGAATCTCTTGGCTAATAAAAACGTATTAAGACAGCGCACAGACATTCGCCAACTGTCGTTTATTCATCGGCTTCTCCGCTCCAGCAAATGGGACATATAGGAATCGTCATGTGGCCATCAAGTGAGTGCTTCACCTCTTCTTGGCAATTCCTCTTGTATATTTCGCCTCTGCCTTTCGACCAGCCGACTGTTGGCCGCCATCTCCAGGGTCTTTTGGCTGAACTTCACCAACAGCATAAAGTAGATGCAGTTCAGCGAGAGCAGCAGCACCCGCTTCCAGTTGAGGTAGGTGCGTGGCCAGGACGAAGGAGTGGGCATACCGCTGATTAGGGAGAGGTAGCCACGACAATTTTCATATTTTTGTTTAAATAGAACAATTTTACCGAAAATCTGACATGAAGCTCAAGTTTCTAGTTCCTTTTTCTTTCAAAAGGTAAACAAATTCAACTTTTTTAAACAAAAAAAATTGCCATTCATGTTTCCGCCCGGGATTGAACCGGGGGCCTTCCGCGTGTTAGGCGGATGTGATAACCACTACACCACGGAAACATATGTTGGTGCAGATTCGAATGTTTCCTTCTTCAAGGATAATGAGGAAATGTCAATTGTTAAAAATCGGTATTAAATAAGAAACTCTGATTGTCCAAAAATTTAAGTGCCGAAACCCGGGATTGAACCGGGGACCTTTAGATCTTCAGTCTAACGCTCTCCCAACTGAGCTATTTCGGCTGTGATTGAGCGGGTTTTAAAGACTTTCTTAAAATGCATTGTCATTTAAAAATATAAATATCTACCAAAAAAAAATTCCATTCCTGTTTCCGCCCGGGATTGAACCGGGGGCCTTCCGCGTGTTAGGCGGATGTGATAACCACTACACCACGGAAACACATGTTGGGGCGCCATAAAAGTTTTCGATTTTAATTGTCAAATTTGTTGAATTATTATCAGGAAAAGGATAACAAAAATACATTTCAAACTCAATTAAAAAAATGTATGTTATATAAGTCGAAAAGTAATTTCCTATAAAGTTGTATTAATCCAAATGTTATTTCTTGAGTTAATTTATTAACATGAATTTAAGAATATTTTAACTATTACACATGCCATGCCAAAAAAAATATTGATGGTCAAAAAAAAGTTCATTGCCGAAACCCGGGATTGAACCGGGGACCTTTAGATCTTCAGTCTAACGCTCTCCCAACTGAGCTATTTCGGCCGCTGAATTCCTTGCGCCTAAATTACGTTTGATTACGTGAGCTTTCCGTCTATATATACTATATATATCTGCTCTTTCAAAACATAACATCCATTAGCTTCTCAGTAGAGTGTAAATAGGTGCTCTATTTCCAAATCGCATTTATAAGGAGGCGAAAATAAATCTGTAGATTTCATTTTGCACTTTTTAGCCTGTCACGATTTCTGACAGTTGCAAAAATGTATGTTGACACTTGCATGTCTTATAAGTCGCCATCAATTTCACGAAGACTTATTGCAGCTGCCGGTTTTGAAAAGCGGAAATTTCTTTTTATAGGTGAGCCGAAAGAGCAACAATTTTATTTGGTCAGGACGCGAGTGTAATAATTGCCTTAATATCTTTTTGAATTTCAATTTTTATGACGTTTGGTTTTACAGAAACCAAGCAAGTATAATAATGCAATTTTATACTGCAACGATGGCAACGAGGCGTATATGACATATGGCAAGGTTACATTAATTTACGTTTATGAATTTGGCAAAATTTCAGAAATAATATAGCGATCTTTGAACTTTAAAGAAATTTTCATTGCAATGTGGGAAGGCAATAAACTACAACGGCTATCCAGCTTGGTATACATAAATTTCATTTCTTCTTGTAAATAGAAAATTGGTGAGAAAGAATTTTTGACTTATTTATTATTACATCGCTTGTGATTTGGATTTGATATGATTTTTCTGGAAAAGGTGGAATATTTTGTGGTTTTGAATAATGAAACTGTCCCCCCTTTGCGTTCTCCGTTGTCTTTTTCTTCTGCAACCTGATAAATTCCGTCGAAATCGAAATCCACTTCCCAGCATGCTCGTGTCTCTGAAAGCATACAACCTGATCATGTATATATATATATATATATATATTAAGGTAGAGCACCTTCCAGCTTGAGCCTTCGAGAGTGTGCAACTAATGCGGCTTCCGTTTGACGCCCGGCGCTGAAAGCTGAGCCCCAAAGTTGAAGTCCACTGAGTCAGCCGTCGTCTTCATCATCGTACGTTCGCTTCTATCCTGGCCTTTTTTTTTAATGATTCACATTCTTGAAAGCCGATTCTTTGAAAGCGAATCCGAGCCAGACCAGAGCCTTGCCCCACGCCTTCGTCCCGCCCAGATGTCGTTTATGATTTATCGCCTGCCCACAGCCCTCATATTTTGTATATATTTTTGACCACTGTCCATTTGGTCCAAGGTGATCTGGAATTTGTTTTTCTTTTCGTTTCCCCCGCATTGTTGTTATTATTATTATTGTTTTAATTATTCGCCGTTTTGTGTGTCATCAGCTTAGAATTGACTGATGGCCTGGAGGCCTTTCTGCGGCAACTATTTGCGAGATTTCGAATCGCGAGCAGTGGTGACGACAACAGAACATTCTTCTGATATGTCAAGAGAATGTTTAACATTTTCGCTAGAATTTCTATTTTCGGCGCGACTCGGTTTTGGGACCAGACCTTGATGGCAATCAGAACTGGGAAGATTAAGGCAAAAGCGAGGGGGAGAGGCGAAGCTTTTATTGTTTGTTTAATTTGCTAAAATTCTAATTTCCAAGACAGAATAGTTTTTGGGTATCTTGGTTCTATAAACACATAAGAAGCTTTTTGGCGATAAGAAAAGCAAAGTGTAATTGTCTTTTTAGCAAAGTAGCTGAAATCGATTTCCAAGAAAATTCAAGCACATTGCTGGAAAAACAAGTACACCCTCGAAAGCTATCTGTTATATGCAAATGTCAGGCAACGATTTTCCTTCGCAAAAGCCTAAATGGCTACAAATTTTGTCGAGCGAAGTTGAGGACACTTTTTGCTGCCGTTAGTTGACTTTTCGCTGGCAGTGTGTGCTGCAGTGGAAAATGGCTAAGTGGGTCACAATTTGATTTGATTTGTTTATGCCACAACAACAGGAGTTGTTTTAGTCCGGTTAGCCAGCGAAATTATTTATGATGGGTGGGGGAGGGCAGGACGTTGTATGACAGCTTTAATAGAGCAATTGTAGGATATTTTTGCAAAACACTAGAGGTTCCTAATAACGTTAGCCATAACTCGGCCTGTTCAATTGCTTTTAACCTTTTGCTAGCAATTCGAATTGCTAATGCCGAGTGGCTCGGGCCTTCTGACCATAACTTGTAATTGAGTTAATTGCATAAATTCTTGTTTTTACGAGTTTTTCTTTCATAGTTTTTGTGGCTGTTGCTGTTTGGTACCAGCTGCAAAATAAATTACTCAAATGTGTATAAAACAAATTGCCAGAGATTCCATTACAAAATAACTGACATGCAGACATTTGCTTGAATAAAAAACAAATTTGGTTGCTACTTTATTAAAAAGGAATAAATATTCATTTGGTAATGCGGCGCGGCACGGCTATAAAGTCAATTGAAACCTTTAAAGCCAGAGCCCCTCCCAGGGCGTTGCCCTCTCTCTTGGGAATGAACCATTAATCGAGCTAAACGTGAATCTCGACACTTGGCTGCTCACTCTCCCTGTTATAATTCTGACAAAATGACAAACAGACACGCCAAAAAAAAAGAACAAAAACCACAAGATTTATTTGCAACCATTTGAGAAACAATTTGTTGCCATTGAAATTTATTATTGCGACGGCGGAACACGATTTAAATATGTTCCGCTACAAGCACTCACTCACGATATTTTGGTTTTTTATTTCCATTAACAAATCGTTCCTAACCCACTCCGATCCGCTGGGATCTTTTCGTATATATATATATATTGTTTATTTTTTATTTTCGGCTTCCTCGACTAACACTTGTCGTCAGTCTGACCGAATTCGGAACGTGCCTCAAAGTCATTCACATTGTGCTCTTTTTTTTCGCACATTATCTCGCCTTCCTTTGCCGACTTTTTTATATTCAATATAGACAATGTTTCTTCTTAATGCCTTCAAGTGTGTGAGTATTTCATAATTTTCCGCCTGAAATGCTGAGTTAGCAAGGCAAGAAGCGTGTTATAAATTCGTCAAATAGATTTAGAGAGCACTTTAAGCTTCCTGAATAATAAACTCTACGACTTTTCACGGTGATTCCCCTTAATGCATCTCTCATAATCGCCTTCCCGTAAACATATTCTGAAGTGTCAAGCCGGAGCGGGCTTAAATATTTCAAGTCCATTACAAAACTGTCACAACATGTTGGGGTTTTCTGAGTTGACTAAGCCAAAAACGCAAATTGGCTTACCACAGGTCGACCCCAGCCACGGCCCTGCCCCTCCCGCAAAGTGACACTTGCCACATGTTCTCTCCATCTCGAGTTTGGTTCTGCAAAATACTGTAGGCGTTTCGGTTTAGGTTTTTGGGGTCCCCATTAAATATGCATAAATCGAACTGGAAAAGCCGCCAGCCGCAAGTAACGAAGACGCTGCACTCTTCAGTGATGAGTGGGAGTTGCATGCCCCATGCTCCAACGTGCAGCAATCGCCGCAGACGAGCATGAGTTAGCTTTTAAATAGTTAGTTAAGCGTTAAATTGACTCGGAAAAAGGCATCAACTGGTCACATGTCAGACCCAATCCCTAGCCGCCTGGCTGCCTTGTTAATTGCATAATTAAGCGCAAAGTTGGACTTGGCAGGGGTTCAGCCTACGCAGTTACTGCTCCACATTTGCAGACCCGGACTCCCTGCTCCCTGCTGACTGCTGCCTGCCCTGCTCCCCATCTTTGGCCCACTTGAGTCGCTGACATGCCGGCTAATGAATCGCTAGTCCAAACCGAAGTCAGGAACTGGGCATTGCAGCGCTGATAACGCGGAATTTATAATTTGTGCCTGGCCGTCAGATTAGTCAACATCAGTATCTTTTTGCATATTCATAAGTCCCAGGAGCCTGCGACTACTGTATCCACACTCTCGAATGGACTCTGACTCTTTGCTGGCTGAGATATATATACTTTTAATTGAATACTTTCCCGTCTTATCTGATGGTCTACCCTTTCCTGCCGGACTCTGGTTTTTCTGCTTGACTTCTGTCCCATGTCGACTGTGTAATCATTTTGTCCGCCAGATAAGAAACTTCACACTATTTGATATGCAATTGGATTGTCACGTCTTAGCGAGACTTCGAAATTAATTAGTTTTCATTGCACTCGACTTGCCGAGTCAAGACAGCTTTAGAAATCTGACATAGATTATGCAGATTGGGGATCAGCTTACAAATCACTTCATCATTTTGTGCTTTTTTACTTTTGTGATGAATGAGACTGATTCAGATTGATCTTAATTTCATTATAAACCAAGAATTATTTTGAAACCTTATACTAACTTGCTCCAACAAAAGGCAGACTTATAATACCGAAAAGCGAAAACGATGTAACCTTTCGAAAAAAAAATGTAAAATGTGGGTAATAAAACTTTATGATCACCTAGCAACAGGCACGATTTGAGTCTGCAGAAGATGGAATTGCCTGGCATCGAACCAGGGAGAGTTGGTGAAGTGGGAGAATCCGAAGAATCGGGGAGTAAAGAAGAAGGACACAAGACCAAAGTCATGAAATTCATGAATGAATCAGGAAATCGTGTTGGCTTTCATCCTCCCTGCAAGCCGCCAATCTCTTGGCTCCTTCGGGTGAAGGCTGAGTTTGGTGAGACAAGTTTGTTGGTGTTGCCAAGTCGGGAACACGTTCACTGTGGTCCAGACCGAAGTGGCCGCCCGCTCCAAGTCTGCTGTCTTCCTCTGTCCCTGCCTCTTGCCACAAACCCCATCCCGATGCCATCTGAGCATGCGTGACGTCTGTCAGCAGGCGACAGGAAGATGCCGCACAAAAAGAGCCAGATTCAGGCTCTTTCGCCTGGGTTTGTTTGCCAAGAAACATGTTTCCTTTTTTAGGGCCGGGGCTGTGTTGGGTCATGCCTGACCCAAACTTGTTCCCATCTTTGCTTTGCTTTGGGATTGGGGCCTGTAGTTGGCCCAGCCATCAAACCATCCGAAAACAGCCTTGGAGAAACAAGGAAGTTTCGTCAGTCAAGTGGATGAGGGTTTCCAGCTGCTTTCACAATGGATGCACTTCAGTTCGTTTTCCTGCTCAAGTTGGCCCTGCAATTGCAAGAGCGATTCTGCTACATTTCGATTGCGATTTGAATGGGAAATGGGAAAGAACGCAGCATAATTGAGCATAAATAAATAAAATGCCTGGCAAAATATGGCATTTGCAATTGGAAAGTCTAAAAGAGTGGGAGTCTTTTCTCTATTGTGCCGCCTTCAAGTGGCTCATTGAGTTGGCTTCTAGCCATCCATGCATCCATCCCACCGCCGGATGTTGGGCATCTCCATCTATCAGCTATTTGTGGTGCAACCTGCAACGTCTCGTTTCTGCCAGGTTTTTCTTTTTCGTTCTTGTTTTGGTCTTATTTGTGTTGCATATTTAACTACAGTTCGGTTTTTGTCTGGGCATGTCAAATTCAAACTCCACTCCCAAAAACTTTTTGCAGGAAGTTATTGCGGTTGTGCAACAGTTAAGTTGGGACTGAGCTTAAAATGAAATATTTCAGACTGGGCAGGGCTGCCTGGGACTTGCCAGCAAATTGAGGATAAAAAAGCATACAAAACGAAGTGATTTATTAAAATATATTAAAGTTATGCTGAGAAGAGCAGAGGGCACTAATGAACTTTACTCTTTTGAGTAGCACAGAGAGAGCTAAGACCTTAACTTAATGTTTTGAGAAGCGCAGAGAGCGGTTTCATTTCTCAGAGATCTTAAAGCTTAGCCTCGAAAGCTAAGATTCGCTTAAAGAGCGATCATTTTTCTTTTGTTGCCGAACCGCTTAGCACACATCAAGGTCGATTCAAGGCGTTAAGTGCTTTGCCGAATGCAGAAGGTCTTGACTTACTGGAACTTCCACGGCATTCGAGTCTTGAAGAACTGGCCATAGTACTGTGGAAGCCCAGTAACCTGGGTGGCAATTACAATGCAACAAACAGCGGCACTGCGACCACATAAATCACACACTTAAACGGCCCCAGTAAACCACTTTATTTCCCCACCAACTTCCTTCTCGTCGGGATGTGCAGGCCAAGTGGGTGGTGGCTTGGATTTTGGGTTGGCAGCTCAATGCCAAACGGGCATAAACCGCACAAGAAAATTTACGTGGATTCGGCACAGGATAAGGGAAAAGGTACTGCGAATGCAGTTTTCACTTAACGGCAAGTGGCACATAAATTTCAGCAAGGACGCAAATACACTTCACCGGAAAGCAGCGGCGGTAGATAGGTGGGTGGGTGGTGGCTAGAGCCTGACAGTAGCCGACATTTGCTGATAAGTGGACAAAATGTGCATCGCACTGATTTGTCGCTTCTTCGCCACCGCTCTCTTGGCCAAACAATCTTGGCAAATATTTGGTGGCAAGGGCACTTGAGTCGAGGCACCGTCGAGGTCAACTGGTGCATGAAATTTTGAGGCAGGCAAAGCAGCTGCAGAGCATAAAAAGCAGCTGCAAAACAGGCAGCCAAAAAATCAGGTCCAAAAAGATGGTTGAGTTGGCTTCAAACGGGAAGAAGAACAACTCTGTGAAAAGCTAAATTATTTCTACTCTATGGCTAAGCAAATACCAAACCTTTAATGCTGCAAAGAGGCTAAAAGTAATCCTTAATCTTATTTTTACAGGTCACAAAACCATGAAGTTGTTTCTGGTCGATTTGGTGGCGTTCTGAGCGCGACTGCTGTGGCGCTAGGATAGCGCCCAGAACCAAAAGCTTTGAAGCTTTTCCCCTTAACCAAAAATATGATGCAGCACTCTAGCTTACGTCTGGCCATTGGTGGTCTTATACTCCTCCTCTTTGTGCTTCATGTTCTTAGCAAGGAGCATGGTTCGCATTCCCACAAACGTAGCCGTTCGGCAAAGAGATTCTCCCGGGACTCGAATTCGGCCCGTGAGCGGCGACCAAATATAATTCTCATTTTGACTGATGACCAGGATGCGGAACTGGGCTCCCTGAACTTCATGCCGCGCACATTGCGAATCCTTAGAGATGGCGGTGCTGAGTTCAGGCATGCCTACACCACCACACCCATGTGCTGTCCGGCGAGATCCTCGTTGCTCACCGGGATGTATGTCCACAACCATATGGTGTTCACAAACAACGACAACTGCTCCAGTCCCCAGTGGCAGGCTACTCACGAGACGCGCTCCTATGCCACGTATCTCTCAAATGCCGGCTACCGCACTGGTTATTTCGGAAAGTATCTGAACAAGTACAATGGCTCCTACATCCCACCTGGCTGGCGGGAGTGGGGTGGACTGATCATGAACTCCAAGTATTACAACTACAGTATCAACCTAAATGGACAGAAGATTAAGCATGGCTTCGACTACGCCAAGGATTACTATCCCGATCTGATAGCCAATGACTCCATAGCATTTCTGCGCTCCTCTAAGCAGCAGAACCAAAGGAAGCCTGTCCTACTTACCATGAGTTTTCCGGCACCGCACGGTCCAGAGGATTCGGCTCCACAGTACAGTCATCTGTTCTTCAATGTGACAACCCATCAGTAAGTGAATACAATATCTATTTTTAAATACTGTTCAACTTTTCATTTGTATCTTTAGCACTCCTTCATACGATCATGCCCCAAATCCGGACAAGCAGTGGATCCTGCGCGTCACCGAACCCATGCAGCCTGTCCACAAGCGTTTTACCAATCTGCTGATGACGAAGCGCCTACAGACCCTCCAAAGTGTCGACGTGGCTGTAGAGAGAGTTTACAACGAGCTGAAGGAACTGGGAGAGCTGGATAATACGTACATAGTGTACACCTCGGACCACGGCTATCATTTGGGTCAGTTTGGCTTGATCAAGGGAAAGAGTTTTCCCTTTGAGTTCGATGTGCGAGTGCCATTCCTCATTCGAGGTCCAGGGATTCAGGCCTCCAAAGTGTGAGTGACTTGAGTAAGTAAATAATCCTTGACTTTAATAAATATTTTCCCCACAGAGTCAATGAAATTGTGTTGAATGTGGATCTAGCACCCACTTTCCTGGACATGGGTGGCGTACCAACGCCGCAGCAAATGGATGGACGCAGCATACTGCCCCTGCTGTTGAGCAGGAACCGCGCTGTGCGAGACAACTGGCCAGATAGCTTCCTTATTGAGAGTTCTGGCAGAAGGGAGACTGCTGACCAGATAGCCGAGTCACGAGCTCGTCTCCGAATCGAGCGACGAAACATGAAGCTGGTTAACAGTACGTTGCTTGAGGATTTCCTTGATGGAGAAGAGGAGAGTACCACCACCATTTCGAGCAGCAGCAGCACTGCCGCCACATTAATGAGTTCAACTATGCAGCAACATGAGGATGCAGAGGAGGAAGTGGATACAGACAACGAAGAGGATGATGGAGATGGTGATGGTGCCATGGACAGTTCGGCAGCTGCTTTGGAAGAGGATGATCTCGAGGATGCTGCCGTTGAGGAGGGCGATGAGGAGATGGTCGATCAAGATTTTCACCAAGACAACGATCTTCCTTTGGCTCCCTACATTACGAAGATGATGCGCCTTAACTCCGAGTGCTCTGACCCAGCCCTGCTCAAGAACTGTCTTCCTGGACAGAAATGGAAGTGCGTCAATGAGGAAGGACGTTGGCGCAAGCACAAGTGCAAGTTCCATGTAAGTAGTGAGGATAGTTAGGTAGTTAATAAACAGTCTGAGAATGTTTTTATTTTATTTTAGCTCCAGTTGGAACATCAGTTGGCTGCAATGCCCCGGAAGCAGTATCAACGCAACTGCGCCTGCTTCACCCCAGACGGAGTCGTCTACACAAAAATCCGAGCCCCTTCCGCCGGATTGCATCGCGTTAACAAGCGCACTCATCAAGGCCATGGACGGCGGCGCAACAAGCGAGAGGTGTTCCACACAGAGTTACCTGATGAAATGGAGGAACTGCTGGATCTCCACCAGGTTGTCGATCAACTAGTTGACCACACACATCGAAGCAAGCGAGATTTGGCTGGAAGTAGCAATGAGACGATTGCTCAAGTCATCCAGCAAATACAGACCACTTTGGAGATCTTAGAGATGAAGTTCAATGAGCACGAACTACACGGTTCCAACTCTAGTAGTAATCCCTTTGAAATGGGCGAAAAGTATCACAAGTCTGGCGGTCATCGCTGTTTTGTGGATGCATCCACGGGCAAAGTGAACTGCTCAAATGTTATTTATGACGATGAGAAGACTTGGCGTACTTCCCGAACCCAAATCGATATGCTGATCAAACTTTTGAAGGATAAGATTGGCAAGCTGAAGGAGATGAAGAAACAGCTGAGGGAGAGCAACAAGCTGGCCGCTGGTCGAAGGAACGATAACCGTCGGCGAAATGAGAACACTGTACTGGACAATGGAGCTGGACCAGAGTTCAACATGAGCTACTTCACCGATCCTAGCAGCACGCCAAAAACCAGCAACATTGGCCAGAAGGAAGTTTTCCGAGGATATGGAAGTGGTAATACCTTCGATTCCATCGAACAACCGCAGACGCATCGCTTTGCCCCGCGTGCCGAATGCTATTGTGAACCTGATGTAGGCGAGAGGTAAGTTAAATTATTTTAAAATGATTAAGAATACATCTAACCAGTGTCATCCTTTCCAGCCATGCTGACTCCAAGGAAATGGCCAGAGAGGCGCGTAGGAAGCTGAAAGAGGAACGTCAGCGTAAGAAGGAGCGTAAGCGGATCAAGAAGGCCCGCCTGGAGAAGGAGTGCCTGTCCGAGAAGATGAACTGCTTTTCCCATGACAATCAGCATTGGCGCACTGCCCCCTTGTGGAACGACAGTCCTTTTTGCTTCTGCATGAACGCCAACAATAATACCTACTCCTGCCTAAGGACCATCAACAGCACTCACAACTATTTATACTGCGAGTTTACCACTGGCCTGATTACCTTCTATAATCTGACCATTGGTAAGTGTAAAATGTTAATAAATAATTTGAAATACAAATCTTTTACTTCTCTTTTTAGATCCCTTCGAAACGACAAATCGCGCGGCAGGTCTAACGCCTGGTGAGAGATCACACATGCACGATGCCCTACATCAGTTGAAGGGCTGTCGAGGACGCAGCTGCAGCATCCGGCGACATCAGTCCCACCTGGAGAGTGGAGCCAATGTTCCGCTACTACCCATCAATCAAGTGCACCGCAACAACAAACGAAAACACAGTAAGACTCTTAACTTGTAATGTTGATTTATGATTAGTAATTTCCTGTTTGGTCAATTGTTGCAGCTCCCCTCGCGGCATCAGAGGGCAACTTGGCGTTTGTGGGCTCACGACTGGACATAGACGGCATGCCTCCGATGAAGAGGCGAAAGCTATCTAAATATAACAGGTGCGAGGTTTTATTTTGAGTTAATAGAATCAAGGGTCTAACTAATTACCTCTTTCAGATTGACTGGCACGCAGCAGGCGCACACAAAGCGGCGTCCCTGGAAGCAGCAGCCTCTTCAGCAGACCCCCAGATTCTTGCCTGTGCATTCTGTGACCCCAGCCGCGGCTTAAGTATCGAGCTGGATCGAATGACCACCACACATATCCTATGCGTACCTTTTGTACCTTGCTTGCCTGCTCCTGCTCTTTTGGTTTGCCCATTTGGATTCTTTCATACATAAATAAGACTGTGTTTTTAATCTATCTACTTATGTTTAGATTCGTTTAATCAAACTGTGTGTAGTCCAGTCCTTGCTACATTTCGCTTGCAATATTTATAGTTAGAGCTAAACGTTTGTATTAGCTCTTAGGCCACCTAATTTGTACATAAATTTACTACCGAAATTCTACGTAAACTAAATAAATTATTTAGCAAATTGGTTAAAAGTTAAATTAGTTTACTATACGTAGAAAAGAGTTTTATTAATTCTAGCAAATCCAAATGAAATTGTATTTATTGGCCAATGCTAAAGTAACAATGTTAATCTGTATTAGAGAACTAAAAAAACATATTTATGCCGAACTAGATACGTTTTAATTGTTAAGTACCCCACCCGAGAATTCCCAAAGACGTTATGTAGCAGCCCCGCTTAAGAAAACGAACAAATATATTGTATCTGCCACGTTATTAATGTCATTAAATTAACTACAAATCAATACAAACAAATTTAATTATTAAAAACAATAAAAATTTTAAATAAAATTGCGAATAATAAACATTTATCACTAATATGCCTGCATCTATTTTAAAGGGTGTCTAGATATATAAAGGGCAAATAATGTCAGCATAGCATACTTTTAGGCAGATGATTATTATTTTTTTACATGTAAAAATTAGTAGAAGTTTTCAATATGAATTTTATAAAAGTAATATTGTTTCGATTGCCAATCTTAATTTGTAGTGGCAATAAAATGAACTTTCACTTTTTCATAGTCAAGTTAGTAACAACAATTAGAAGGGTCTTAATTCTTATAATCTAAAAATACAAAATCGGAAATTCTGTTTAATCACTACGGGCTATTACTACCCCAATCAAAATATACAAGTTATATTTTTTGTCCACATCTTTTGTTTAGGCTATCGCATACCACAATTGTTTATGATTTATTGCAAGCACTCCTCTAGTATATTTGGTTCAAGAGCTCGAGTTCAAATGATAATATGCCTATCAGGCAAGAATATTAAAGATTACCTGTTCCGTTTGCTGTTAAGCCTTTAGCCACGCGATTTTGCAACACTTTAAGGTGTGTGCACTCCGTTTAGATTGTCTTGATAGCATCAACAGACGGAAAGAGAAGATAGCGAAGAGAGCGTGGCGGCCTCCCGATAAGGTGAGTTCCGTAGAAAAGCCAAAAGTGATGGCATGTCAAGAGAGAGGGGCGGGGTGTTTTTTAGTATCAGCATCATCGGGATCTCGGCAACAGTTAAGATGTAAATAAGATAACTCGATGGCGCTAATTAAGCCACTGAGATTTTTTCATCGACTGTCAGGTTTATTTACCACTCTGGCAAATTCACACTTGACTCTTGACGCGCTAATTTCCGCTGCAATATTGGGGTATATTGGAGTTCGGTGGGGGTGCCAGGTGTTGGGCTGGTTGCCAGTTTGGCTCCAACGGAGAACATGCGCTTATCTCAGTTATCAAAAAAAAAGTAAAAAAAAAAACAGAGAGATAGCGGCCCTCTGGTGAGAAAGAGCAGCAGGACCAGCTCGAAACCGGTTGGCGCATTTTGTGGAGGTATCGTGTTAAAAATTTACGCAAGCAATGAAGTTATCAGCTGGAATTTGTTTTTATTGTGGCCTATTGGACGAAAACACTACGATCACATGATGAACACAGACCTGGTAACAAGGCCTAGGCCATAAGTCCAGTCTACCCCACTTTACGATTCGCCAAGTGATGTTGAGAGATATCGTGCTGAAATTTCACAATGTCGACAATATTGCAAACCAAACGGGGCCTGCCTGCAATCTCATATGGGGAACTTTATGCCCAGGCACGTATTCAGCTTTATGGCGGGAATTCTAAAAAAAACAAGAGATCGCAAAAGCAATCAAACTTTAGAATTCAAGCGGTCTGAAATTTCTGAAATTTTATCTGCAACACGTTTGATAAGCTTGACCTGGAATTCTTTTAATTAATTAAATTACATTAATTGACACTCTATATAAAATATAATTAAGCTTTAGTTAATTTTTTTGCTTTTACTTCAGTGGAAAATTATAAAACTGAAATTTGTTAATGAATTTCTTAAATCTGAGGTATTAAAACGAATAGCGGTCTCCACTCTAATTAATAAATTCGTTATGTTGTATATTAATTATGCCATTTAATAGACATGTGAAGTCATTGCTGACTTATTAGCACAGAATTACTGGCAAAATAGAAGACTATTAAATACTGATAACAATCCAATCAATATCTTAAAAAAATCATATTCCCGAAGCAAATACGGTTTATAGTTAAATCCAAATAAAGTGATGTGAAAAACAGAAAAATCCTCTTTAGGTTTCAGCCACTGGGACACCTCCAGCAAAATCAAAAAGTAAACAATTAATCACCAACTGGTTTAAGATAAATAACTAGTTTTTACTTTCACTATTTTTACAGTTTATTTCTACATAAATAGGTATATATATATAATAATTAGATCAAAATACTGCTGGGCAGTTTAAAATCTAGGCGTCCTTCTTGGGGTGTGCTTCTAGCAGTTTTTGGGTCACCTGCCGCAGAAGCTGGAGCTGTTGCTCATAGTTGTGAACCGTAGCCAGCTCCTCGGCATGGTTGTGGTGTGGTGGGTGATCGTGGTCGTGCTCATGATCGTGGGCGGGGCCCGAGCCCAACCTGGTCTCAGTCTCAGTCTCTTGATGATCGTGTGTGTGTCCAGACGACGAGCAGCTGCTGTGACTATGACTATGACCATGTCCCCCACTGGAAGCTGCAAGAAATATGAAATTATAATCAATTAATGTGCATTTGGGGCAGAACAATCTCTGATCTAAAGTATGCCATCGTTATCGTGTAGACCCTATTTCCTCATGATGATTTACACAGTTTTTTTCGTAATGGCTGTTTGGGAAGTTGTTAGCACTGAAAACCCATTTCAATCAACTCGATCTAAGCATTGATTTATGAGGGCTTATTCCCGCCCTTATCTAGCCCATATATTAACTCATCCGACTTTCGGTTAATCACATACTTGTGGCGTAAACGCTTTTTTGTTTCCCCTAAATGTATTTACCGTGCTCATCTGTACGAATTTGAATGTGGTTTTCACGGTGCTTTTTCGCATGGGCAACCCCCAGATTTTTGCAAGATGATTTCATGACAGGGACGGGATTTTTATTTCACCTGTTTGCTAGGTACACAGACAGACAAGCTGCCGTCGAATATGTTGGTATGCAAAATTAACAGCAGCAAGGTCTGTTACAAGGCCAACCACGCAGTGGATCCAGTGGATCGGCTATATAGAACCTGTTCCCAATTCACCCGAATCGATTCCGGTTGAAGAATGAGTCTTATCCGAAAAGCTGGGTGACGTTCGTACTAATTACTCTTAAGCCTGGCAACTAATTTATCAAAAAATGCACAAAAGGATTAAATTTACTTCCAAAGAAAAATTTTCTACAATTTGAAAAAATATGTAAATGGAAAACGGATTTAAGTACTTCGAGAAACCGGCTTAGCTTTTAATCCCAACTGACGCTAATCTTCCACGAATGCTAATTCTGCCTATAATTGTGGTGAAAATTTATGGCTAAATAAAGATTTTCTAATATGAATATTCAAAACAAAATTAATACTCACTCAATTGCTGCAGTCCGAACATCACAAGGAAGCCAACGAAGAGGGCCAAATAGGCCCGCAGACCGGATCGATTCTTGGAGAGGATCTCAAAGAAAACCACATAAATGAGTGTGCCGCAAGCGAATCCTTGTAAGATGGCTGAAACCAGACTCGGTCCGGTTGTCTCCTGGCCATGGTTAATCAGGATTCCGATGCCAATGCCCAGAGGACTAACCACAGCGAAGGTCAGTACATAGAGAACGGCCAGAGTCATCCGAGTGCGGGCCACAATCAGCTCGACACCCACACAGAAGGCCAAAACCAGTTTGTGGGCAGAAACGGCGCCGAACATGAACCACACTGAGCTGGCGGAGCTCTCCAAGCCAATGGCCATTCCCTCGAAGAGTTCGTGCAGGGACAGGGCGGAAACAATGAAAAGCCCTCGTAGAGAAGAAGTCAGCATGTCCCCGGGGGTGGCATCTTCTGGGATCACAGGTAGGTGGCTATGTCCATGGCCATGACTATGTCCATGTCCATGACTGTGACCATGTCCATTTGCCTGATTCTGTGGCTTGGAGGCGAACTTTTGCTGCTCCAGATCACTCTGCAGGAGATTCTGGACTGAAAGAGTTCCGAGTTCACTGGTGCCATTCGAAGGCGGTGGCGGGGCAGAGGGTGCTGTGGTGCCGTCGGTGGGTTTCATAAGGTGGCTGTTTCGGATGCTGTGCCCCCTCTCGAAGGCCGCCCCTGCCTCATCCTTCTGGTGATGGTGGACATACGTGTGCATAGCCTCTTCGATAAAGTACATTAGGAAGAATCCACAGCACATGAGAAGTTCAGCCAGTGGGAAGGTGAGCTCCCCAATAATGCCACACTCCTGCAGTTCCTCGACGACTTCCTGAACTTCTGGCAGTAGATGCAGAAATGTGGTTGCCAGCAGAACACCGCCTCCGAAGTACAGCAGACACTTGACCACAATCGCAGAACGAGCATTGGTCTGGTTCTCTGTCCAGCGGTAGCAACGGTTCAGCAGGAAGGGAATGGAGCCGCAAATGGCGCTGGCGCAGAATAACACCACCATGGCTGTGACCTTGGCGACTAGCACGCCACTTGCATCCTCCTCGTCATCATCATCATCATCGTGGTCGTGATCATCGTGCTCCTCCCCCTCGTGACGTGATGTCCAACGGCTAGCGGGCTCATCGATTTGCAGGAAGCATTTGAGAAAATTATTCACTTGCGTTTGATTCATGTTGTTCGCTGCCGCCTTTTGTTTGTTTTGTTTTGATTTGATGTGTTTGTGGGTTTCCACAGATCTCTCGAACGAGCTAAAACAGTCCACACAAACACTCAGCTCTCCTCTTATCACCTCTCCTCTCCTCTTCTCTCACTGACTGACCGACCACTTGTGGCCGAAAAGAAACACAACTCTCTTCTTGGCTAAAACTGTTGTTCCAGCAGCATGTGCTGCGCCTGGAATCTCAATCGAGTGGGTTGTGGGTTGGGCTCATCTGGATGGGCTGGGTTCTGAACTTGCATACCGCTTTTGACTTTTCACTTTTTTCTTTTTCTTTTTTTTTTTTGTTCAGCTGCTTTTCTTTAACTTTGATTCAGTTAAGAGCCTGCTAATTGGTAGTACTGGTTGGGCTGGATTCGATTCGATTGGGTTGGATAGTATTTGATTTTTATATTAGCTGCGCACAGGTGTTGAACGCTTGAGGCGACCTCGCAGACTGACGGAGTGGGGATTTGGTAGTTCGCTTGAATATCTTTCGCGGGCTCGCTGCCTGAATGCTCCAATCGCTCTTTTCCCATTCTCCCACTAGCGAAGACCGGACGTGAGCAGCAGGTTAAGCAGGTAAGAAACAGAAACCGCTCTTAAAGCTCGCTCTCCCGCTCGCGAGCGTTAACCTGAGTGCTGCCGCTGTTTCATTTGGCAATAGCGCTAATTGTCTTGGGCTCAGCATAATGCACACACATCTCTGTACACAAAGATCTCTTTATACATATGCACTAATATTCAGACAATGCACAAAGGCCAGAGCAATTGAGTAATTGCATCCGCTCACTTTGGCCAGCATTAAAAAGGTGCCTGACCTTAGCCAAGATGTAGGATCGCGACTTTTACTTTGTCGCTATTAAGGTGGCCGGAAGCAAAAGCTCTCGGTGGGGGGTTTGTGTCCCAGCTAAGATGTAATGCACATTTCTAACGGTTTTTGGGTTAAGCCTTTTTCATGGTTGCAAAAACTTTATGATATAGCGAAAATTAGCAGATAAATACTCCAATTTAATAAGAAATACATTTTAAATTCATTGGCGAATCAAAAACTTGGAATATATGATAAAAGGAATATTATTGAACAATGTAATGAAATAAAGATGAATTATTTAGGGTAGACAAGTTAATAAGGGCAGCTTACACAAACTAAAGCTTTCAGATGGAATCTCAAATTTAGTTGAGTGTGTGAAAAGTAATCAAGATAGAAAAACCTAATGAAACGTTTTGCATATAAATCCACTAAATAATTCTTAGTAAAATGTTAACTTTCTTTATGAAATCTTTTAGTTTTTTAAACAAATTAAACAAACAATTAGCCATTTAAAATCAGTCGTGCTTCTTCCCTATAACGGTTTTAACTGCAAGCGTAATCTTCCTCAAAAACAAAAGTTATTGGCAATAAAACAAGACGCCTTACACTTGACTCGTGACGTGAAGTGAGTAAGTAAAGCCCGATGGGAGCGTGGATGGGTCGTGAGGTAACTGTTAGAGGAACATGATCTATTAATTAGTATAATCAGCGACAACTTAATTGGACTAATTCTTTTGTTTTTTCTGCAAAAGCCTATTCATTTATCATAATTCGATTAGCAATAAATATTTAAGCTAACTAAGCTTAAGTATCTTTCCTAAGAGTTTGCAAAAAAACTAAAAACAGTTTATTTTTCAATAATTTTTCATTTATTTTGGTTTCAATTTTTCTTGTTTTTTTTTTTTGTTATTTTCATATTTTTTGTTCGTTTTTTTTGTTGGTTGTTTTTCTCCTTGGTTTGCTTACATCGTTTTAAGTTATCATTTGTTGTTGCAGTTATACTTATACATTAATAATAAATCATTTTTTACACAATATTTTCTGTTGTCTCATATTATATATTATTTTATTTTATTCGCGTTCGCAAACGATATTTTAATGCCTACAACACTCCTGTTGGAAAATATTTCTGAGTACCCCATAATCGCCGCTCGCTGCCTATTTCGATCGCTCTATTAGAATTAGAATTAAATTGTTTCGATTTACTTTTGTGTTAAAACTGCTTTGCCGCAGTTAACAATGTTAACTGCTATATACCTGCAAATAGCAAAAGGCCTGCGTGCACTGCTTGCTTGCCAACCATTAAACGCATTTCTCATCGTCCTTCGATCTGCTTTCTCCTTTTTCTTTGTTTTATGTTGCAAATATGTAATTTTCCATTCTTGAATACATAAATCAATGCATGGGTTATTTTTGTGTTTTTTCATCTTTTTTTTTTTGTTTATCAACATTTAAAGTACATAATGTATGTATATTTCTTTTATATTTTACTTTATATAAACTAGTGCGATTTTCTTGGTTTTTCGGATTCCGTTTTTCGTCATAGAAATATCAATTTTAGCGTAATTTGTTTGTGTATCTTTAATATTTTTTATATATAATACAAATGAGTTGTTTGTTTTTTTAACTATACAGGAAATCTGGGTTAATTGTATATGCAATGTTATTCATGTAAAATTTGAAATTTGATTTGGTGTTAAAGGTTCTCTTCTGGTTTTTTATGCTAGAAAGATTGCAAAAAAACACGATAAATTTGCATTGTTCTTGTATAGTTAATGCTATTCTTGTTTTCTGTTTCCTTGTTATATGTATATTTGTAATAAGTATAAAAAATTTGTTTAAAATATATATATATATATTCATATATATTCCACATATACGATTTATTGATTTTAACATTACTTTTCACGTTTCATATGGAGGAGTGTAGAGGAAAATCAAATTCGTTCAGAGTCGGAGATGTATTTGCTTTTTCTTTTGGGAAGGGAGAGGAAAAGTGGTTTACATAGCTGCAGGCAACTTTCTTAGTAGTTTAGTACTCATATCACGTAATATCAAAGAAGTGGCTCAGTACATTTAGTATTTACCTATCAAGTGATTGATCTGTGCGGAAACTTGCAAAGTTCCCGAACAAATTTATTCCGCTAACGAAAAATTACCTAGGAAACGATCCGAAAAAATAAATGCTCCAAATTAATTTGACTACCAAAAGGGGATCTCTACATTTTGATTTATCCGATACATAATAGACGTGTATATATATCAAAATACTTGTGTGTGTATGTGTCGGTGTATATATATGTACATATTAGCATTAGAAAAGTGCATTCAAAACAGAGCTAAACCAAGCTGCCTACGCCGAGTGACGACGATTCATACAAGTACTGTACTGTATATCTGATACATCATATAGCTGCATATATATACAGCCCATTATCAGACAAATAGCAAATGTTTTTATCCGGAAAAGATCAACACGCTTTGTTTTTCAATAGGTGATTTCGAACAACAAATGGTTGATGCTAACAATTAGAACGTTTTACAGCCCTTAGCTCATTTGTCAAGTTAGTGAAAGTCAATCACAACAGTATAACATTTTCAAAAGGTGTTCATTCTAAAGAAAACAGTTATAACCTTCGGTGAATTTACAAAAAAACAAGGAAGTTCTTTTTAATTTATCGTTAGCTTCTAAGAACAATAATTTTGGTCCAAAGTATCGTCATTTTTATAAATGAATAGACTTGTTCAGTTTTATCTAAAGTCAAAAAGAGTCACTTTTGAATACATTTCTTTGGATATTTTTAATAAAATAACTATTCTGGTCTTTTCTAACTTTAAAACAGAAATTGCCCAAAACAGAAGCTTGCCAAGAATCTTATTTCGATATGCTAACAAATTAATATAACATTTTAATTAGAAAACCATGCGAATACTTAGACTTTCTTTTAGAATTTTGAAGTTTCAATAACTGTTGTATTTTTCATTTCAGCAAACATATGTAAGTTTAAAATAAAATACTAAAGAAGGAACGTGGAAGCCAAAAATATACCAAAAAATACTAATTTCCTATTTGTCTGACAATGGAACACGCATATAACGGTTATGTTGGTTTCATATAGCTGCATACATACATATATTTAGTTTAAATAGTTTTAAAAAATGATGTTTATTTTCGCTTTCTTTTCTTTCATTATAATTTACAAGTTTTGTTGGTTTTGCGTATAAATATGTTTTCTTCTTTCTCTCATTAAATGATGCTGCACTAGTTTTGTTTTCGTCTCTTTTTAATATATATATATATATTTATATATATATGTATATAATATATAAATATGCTTTAAGTGGTTGTTTTGTGTGTGTGTTTGTTTAAGTTTCCTTCAGTTAAGAGCAATAGGGTTTCTGAGGGGTATATTGGTAGTGGTAGTGGTTTGTCTCTCGGGAGCTTTTTCTTTCCAGATCTCTTCACAAGACACCGACGGGAGGAGCTGCCTAGGTTGTGTGTGTGTGTGTGTGAGAGAGTGAATTTCCATGTCGTTTTGAATTTACGTTTGAATTTAGTTTTCTTCTTTGTTTTATTTATAATAGCATTAATTAATAATATAATTAATAATTATAATAATTTATATAATAAACGCAAAATTGGTAAATAATAAAAATAATAATAAAATACAATCATTACAATAATTAATCAAAATTGGTTTCATTTTGTTGTTGTGTTTTACTGTTTTTTTTTCTTTTAGTGTATTTAATGTTTACGGGGGTTCTGTTCTGTTTTTTGTTTTGTTGTTGTTGTTGTTGTTGGGTTTCGTTTTTTGTTTGATTTAATATATATATTATGTTTGTTGTTGTTTTCTTTTTTTTGTTGCATTTTTTGCATTTTGCATTCTGCATGTGGCTTTATATTTATATAAATTACAACGGAAGTGTCGGTGTGTTTGTAGTTGGTGTTGGCGTCAACATCGACGCGGATGGAGGATAACGCAACGTGTGCTGCGACGTTGCCTGCTGGATATAATCCTGACTCGGATTATTCAATACGCTATCCCGTGAGTTTGAATGTGAAGTGGCGCGCAGCAGGGTCACTGCCTCGCGTTCTGGACTACATTGTACACCGTCTAGTCATTTTTGGCGCGTCGATTTCTTCTTCTTTCGTTTAAAGAAACAACAACATCTGGAATATAAGGAACCACTGGAGACAGTTAACCAAGGGACAGAAACGAGATGGATTCGGATTCGGATACGGATTCATAGGAGGGGAGACGTTGGCGGAGGCGGAGGCAGTGGAGTTGGTCAGTGGAGAAGGGGAAGAGAGAGAGAGAGAGAAAGAGAGAACGGAAAACGGAAGTTGCGCATTAAAAACGACAAAGCAAAAAAATTCACTATATATCTAGTAGATCTGTTAATCAATGTATCGATATATCTATCCAATATTTGTGTTAGCTTATGATTTTTTAACTAAGCTTTCTGTTAACTGTTATAGTATTTTTTATAATATTTTGATCCCTAAGAATTTCAGCTAAAATGACAAAAAGTATCACAGTTAAAGACAAATTCTGAATATCCTAATCTATATATCAAGATGTATACCCAGTTGATCTTTACAATGGATAAAAAGTTTATTTTTTGTACATCATTTTGTCTATACATAAAAATCAATCTATTCCGTAAAAACACGTCTATCGGTTAAGCTACATATCGATATACCGATTAATTGATCGCCTGAGTAACACATACTTTGTTTCATCGACCACTTCGACTTCCGGCTGCTGTGTGATGGGCGTGTTTGAGTGTCCGGCCGTGGGATCGTCCGGATTTAGTTCGCCATTCGTCGAACTCACAACCTGCAAATGTATAACATAGAAGAGAGAAAAAGAATGGATAAAATTGTAGTATTAGTCTCCAAACTAGCCATCAACTTTTGTACTAAACATATAGTACGATTATATATACAGTAAGTAGTGATTAAACATAATTTTAACAATTTACACCGCTTTTTATTTGAATTGACTAATCAAAAATGAACCAGTACAGTCGTTACAAAAACTATCGATTGGAATGACGGTACAGACATCACACAGAACGAAACTGGTATATGTTATACACAACAAGGACTATTTCGGCAGGACTACAAAACAAAGTAGACTAAGAATGAAAAATGTTGATAATTTTGGTCTTTTTTTTGTTCTGAATAGGTTTGAAAAATATAGGTAAGTCCCTTACTCAACCTTTTACGGAGATTGCCAGGACTTTTAGGACTCGTTTGCTGATCACACACACACACACACACACACATTGAGATGCTTGATGAGTCCGAGACACGCACTGACAAGGATCGGAGGACTTGGACGACAGACAGTTTATATATTAAATACCTCGCGGTAGTGTTGTAAAACACAAATAAAAAGGAAGGGAACCCCGTTTTGGCTTATGTCGAAGGAAGGAAGGATTTTAATAAGAAGCCGTATCTGTGGTATTGGGAAGAAGAGTAGTAGTGTTGGTGGGTCGTTGTTTTTGGTGTCGTTATTTCTTAGGGTCGTCATCGGGATCGCTTTTCTCATAGTAAGCATCAAAGGGGCTATCATCATCGGAGCTCGAATCTTCAGGCAATCTCTGTAATAAGTTGGGTTTTGGTTTCGCATTTGGATTCGATACAACAAAAGTGATCTTTCCCGACTCGTAAGGCATGCCAATGATTTCGCTTTATGAGAAATGAACTTCCTCCAGCCGAATTCGCAAAATGATGATACTCTACGTCTGCGGATATGTGTTTGTTAAGTGATCCATGCTTCTCTAGGGTAGTAGTGTATGTCTGGTGTGTGGCATGCAGTCAAGTACAATTACGACTAGACTAGTGTTGGAAAACATGCATTTAGTACCGTGCACAAGAACAGAAAGGCTAAGTTTCTTCTTCTTCGTCTCTCATGCAGATTTTTTCTTTTTTTTTCTTTTCATTAGGATCCTCAAGCATCAATAGGTATTATCGTAGGAATACCACTAGGTTCAAAAATAAAATATGTAGGAAGAAGATCCGAGAAAAAATACCCAAGAAGAAAGCTAACAAAACGTGTTGAAGAAACAAAAGTCAAACCGAACGGAAGTGGAATAAACTATAGTGGAGAAGGAGTATATAGGAATAACACACGTTGGGAGGAGAGATTATTGTTCAGTACCTTGTTGAGCTAATGTAGAGTAAATCAAGTGAAAACATTAGAATTGAAAAGGCCAAAAATATAACAGTCTGCGATAGATAATGTTCCGTTGTAATATTTATAGGAAATATATTTAGGCAATTATGTACAAAATCACAAGATCGAACAAGATTATAATGAAGGTCATTATAATATACATAATGAAGGCGATTACAAATGTGGTTTTTATTCATATTTATATATATATATTATGTAATGTCTTGACCAGGAGATTTGTTGTTGTTCTTTATGTATGTACAATTACAGACTGAAGACTGAGCGGGCGAGAGATCGAGCGAGCGAGCGACAAAACAGAAATAAAACGGAACGTATACGGATACGGAAACGGAAAGAAAAGAAAAAAACTGTTGTACAACACTGGCCGGTTGTCGCAGCGAACTTACCTGCACTGAACCATGCCGATCGGCCGGCGTTAGATTGCCCAGTGTTGCCCCCGGCTTTGGCACATCAGGCCACGCAGCAACACCTCCTTTGGCATTTGTCTGTGGTTGGGCGGGCGGGTTATGGTTGTGGTGGTTGGTTGAAGTGGTGGTGGTGAAGGATTTGGACAGTTGGTTTTGTTTTTTATTATTTTTTGGTGTTTTTTTTTTTTGGTACAGTTCAGAGTTCGGTTTGCGAGCGAGCGAGCGAGCAATTGTTGGAAACGGATTTATGCAAATTGATCAAGAATTAATTTCAATTTTAAAAATTGTTTTGTTTTTATTTCTGTACAACATAGAGACAGACAGCTCTAAGATTAAATGCGAGTGTGTTTAATTTAGGGTGTGTGTGTGTGTGTGAGAGAGAGTCTAAATAAAACTAAAGCAAGTCAAGAAGGTGCTACAATACGACCAAAAATAAATAGTTGGTAATCCATACGGTAGACAATTAAAGCCAAAAATAAATCAATAGAATAACCAAGGACTGAGTTAACTGCGCAGATTAGACCAAGTTAGAATACTATTTACTCTACGAGTCCCGTTCACCAATCGATTTTAGCATTTCTGTGCGTTTTAGTAACTAGGTTAGTCGAGCTCCTACAGCTAACAAACTCAAGGTAACTCTGCCTTGTTTAGTTTCCATATAGCATAGCTTTTATATTAGCAAAGTTCTAACAATAAGAAAAGATAAAACCCAAAGTACGAAAGCCATCTAATAACCTAGCAATGTAGTCTACAACCAGTCTCATATAATAAAGTGTGTTAAGAGTAGAAGAGCACTTTTATATTCACACTAACCAGTACAGAGATATTTTTCAAGTCTACAACGTCTAACCTGAAGTATTATATATTCTTCATTCTCATTATCAACATCGTCCTCAAAATCAAAATAAGATACATCCTAAAGTTTGTTTGTTTTTTTTAGAGATATCAAATGTTGTGTTTGAGGGGTAGAAGAAAAGTGGGATCAAAAACAAAAGCGTTGAGCATAAGTAGAGAAAGAAGAGCAGTTAAGAACGAATGTTAGAAGTAAAGAACTGAGTAACCAAAAAGAGAAAAAGTTCGCTAAAGCTAAGTTGAAACAAGGATAACTCTGTTTTGTATCTTATAGACATTATTTTGAAAAATAATCGAGTTTAGTTTTTGTCAGTGATAGAATTATCTTTCAGACTGCTATAGTTTAAAAAACAACAACAATTGCTTATTGTTATACTTTACCTTAGCCGTAACATTATGACGATCTTTATTTGGTGAAATGATGACTTCATGGCCAGTTTGCAGAGATCCGACGGGCGTTGACTGTGTTATGTCAGTGAGGTGAATGCATTTTTTGTTTTTGGTTTTTGATAAGATATGTTTATATATATATATATATAGATGATGCAGTAGTTTGGTTTTTTTTAAACACACAGAGTTACACGCACATGAAACGGTGTTGACAACCGAAAAAAGAGAAAAGAGATCAAGGAGAGAAGAAAAGTGCTGTTAAAAATGGCATCAATTTGGTTGCTTAAGTTAGTCTCATTAATTTGGTTGTACTTAATATAACGCTAGCTTAACCACCTAAAGCAACGAGCTTACACACTGAGAACAAGCATTTACCAACACTGATTCGAGCGTTCGAGCTTCATACATAGCTAGGCAACACTGATTTCGATTTAGTTTTCGATTTTTGCTTCTTTTTCGATACCTTGTCAGACTTGTTTCTGGCCAAATGCGATGGCGGCGCATTCTTTATGACCTTCATTTGGTCCAGCTGTTCCTTGGTCTTAAAATCAAAACATAGAAAGTGTCTTCAATATCAACAATATTGAAATATTAAAAAAAAAAGAGCTTAAAGATTAAAACAACATTTGTTCGGAGTTTTGAGTTCTTTTTACTGTTTCTATTGCACTCCAATTTGAGATCTTAGTTTGGAATTGTGTTTTTTTTTTGGGGGCATTTTATAAAAAATATATATTTCATTCAAATCATTGAATGCAGAAAGATTTAACAATCAAACTTTAGAACAAAGCCACATATCTTTAGTGCAGCAGAGGCGAGTGGCGCCACAACGAGGATCCATGTTAGTATCTGGTCGCCATATCAACTGGCAATCCTTACATGCGGCTTGCATACGTTTTGGGTTAATTCGTATCATTCACAGTGGTTTATTTTATTGTGGGTTAAGACGGCGGTGGTGCTACTTATGCGGTTTTGTCAATTGAGTTCCTCTTTACCATGCTTGATGCGTCCCAATATTAGAAATGATTTCAAAGTTACATGGTAATTATCTTAAAGAGTGCTTTCGGGTCTTGTTACTGGTATGGATTATCATAATTCTATAGATCTAAATGCTTGCATCTCTTTATGTCTCCTATGATTAAATTAGATTAGGGTTAAGTTTTAGAACTCGGCGGAGTTATCGTTGTGTTGGTTAAGTGTTCTTCGGGTGTCTTTACAAGGTGTAACTTTAAAAAGTGAGATAGATGAAAAGATCACTTACCATTGTCTTCCCTGTCCAGTCGAACTCGCCCTCGTCGGTGTATCCCTTACGATCGAATAAGTCTTGAAACAGTCTTCGCAGAAAATCATAGTCGGGAGTTTCGAAAAAATCTAACCGCCTTACGTAACGCAAATATGTCGCAAACTCTTCCGGATGTCCATCGCAAAGCACCTGCCATAAAAAAAAACAAACATAAGTTAATATGAAGTTTTACAGAAGTATGGGATAGCTTATAGGGCAGCTTATAGTTCACCTCAATGGGCGTTGCTCGTTTCGTATCACCGATTTTTTGATATCTCTCCTTGAGTGTATCAGCCTTCAGGCCTTGCCACGGCAGTGATCCTCTTAAGAAATACATAAACATATGACCCAATGCCTCCAGATCGTCGCGTCGCGACTGCTCACGCCCCATATGCGTGTTGATTGACATATAACGTGCCGTTCCAGTTAGGGACTTATGCTCCCGATATGGTATATGCCTATTTGTATCTAAATCAATGTATTCTTTGGCCAAACCGAAATCTGTTTAAGTAAAGAAATTTGATTTAGTATAGTTTAATGGTTTTTATCAGTTGACTTACCAATTATATGTATAATTTTTTCACGTTTTGTTGACGTTCTGCCAATGAGAAAGTTCTCTGGTTTCACATCCCTATATATTAAGTGCCGACTATGAACATATTCGATCCGGTGGAGCTATAGTTTTATAATCAGGAACATTTCGGGGAAAGAACAGAATATTATGTTAGTTATTTATATTATTTAAAAATTAAAAAAAAGCAATTTATACATTTTTAAAACTATGAATTGCTCTTTTCTCTTTTTTCAGTTTGACATTCAAAATTACATAATAATATTACATTTTTTCTGTAGTGTCTCAACTAGCTGTTTATGTTTTTCACTGTAAATTTTTGTTCTTTGATGGCAATAGATTTGATTAGAATTCGGTTGTTTTCGCTTATAAATCATAAGTATAAAAAACTGATAAATATCTAAGTTAAACTACAAATTTATGTGGTACATGCAAATTTGATTTAAATACAATGAACGTTTGTTTTTCCTTTGGCTGAATTTGGTTTCTGATATCTAAGAACTAGATTGATATAAAGAAGCATTTTGAGTGAATGGTGCCTCTCGCAATGAATGCAAATAAAAGATAGATAACTTAAAACTTAGATACAAATTAAACCTCAACCAGGCGGCTACGATTATGACAGAAAGAGTGAGTAGTCGGAGAGAGAGTTGAGATTGAGAGGCAGCGACCTATAGGTTTCTTGTTAGTAATGAACGGTAAAAAGTATATAACAGTTAAAAGTATAAACTAATTTGGAACCAGGCTAGCCTAATTTAAGAAACACATATACACACACCCCGAACCCACACACACACGCACGCAAAACAAACAAAAGGTGTTTTTGATCTTGAGCTTAGTTCTAGTGTTGGTTAATTTGTTGGCCTCGGCTACCAGTGTGGTGAATGTGATTATGTGCAGAGTTATGCGCGTGCTTAAGGAAAACTTTATTTCTGATTTTGTTTTTGCTGCGTTGTTGTTTAACTTTTTTTGTTTTTTTTGGTGGATTTTTGTTGTGGTTGTACTTACTAATTGTATAGCTATCAGAAGTACGCTCTTCAAAGTGAAACGTCTGCCGCAAATATCGAATAAATCTTCGAGTGATGGACCAAGCAACTCCATAACAAGAGCATTGTATTTGCCGCAAGGGCCGAAGTAATATACTTCTGGTACACCCTCTGCTATCGATTGATCGATCGATTTAGTGATTGATTGATTGATTGGTCGATTTTCGATTGTTTTTGTCGATTTTAGTTGGTTGGTTTTGGGTTGACATGGAATTTCGTTTTGTTTTTTTTTTTTTTTTCATTTTGGAGGAAGCGAGAGCGAGTGTTTATTCATTTATTCGAGTGTTGGACAGCGCACAAAAGATCGATTTGGTTGTTTGTTGTTGTTTTTGTTGTATTTATGCAAAAAATCGTGAGCAAGAGATAAAAAGAGAGAGATGGGAGAGAGAAGAAAGAAAGATGAGAGATACAAAATGGAAAACAATTTTTTTTTCAATATAACATTTTCTTTTAAGCTGCATTTCTATTACTTTTTGACGGGTCGGGAACAACGAAAAAGGAGAAAGAGAGATAGAGAGAGAGAGAGTCAGAGTGTGGGAGAGTGATGTGTAGAGAGCGATGGAGTTACGGCTCATGTTTTTGGAGGTTAGTGTAGCGCGTCTTACGATATTACCACCTTCTTTTCGATTGACAGAGATCGAGCGAAAATATAAATACATAACCGGGCAACTGTGCTAAACACAACAAGAACAACAAAAATAGAGATTCTCGAAGCATATACACAAGAAAAAAGCCTGCTGGACGACCAACCTTGCGACGGGAACTCACCTACCAACTCATCCTCCTCCTTCTCCTCCGAACCTCATTTTTCACCTAACCAGTAGAAACTTCTTCAACTCGTGTATAACAGTTCTTCTGTGTATGTGTGTGTGTGTATTTGTGTGTGCTTAAAACTAATCTTAACACTAGAGTATAGATTTCCTTGTGGTAGTTGTGTGTGTGTGGTGTGTATAACAGGTTTTGGGGAATTCCCTGAATTTCGATATATAGAGAGTTCGATAGATCTTTTGCAACTGTGTTAGTAATATTTTGGGTTAAATTATATACATTGCACTTGATCAGTGATATTGATCAAAGATCAAAGATAAAAAGGAGCGAATACAAGTCAGTTTGATAAATGAAGACATAGGTAAAGTGTAAATGAAGTATTGGCAAGCTTAACAACGAAACTGTTATACAAATGCCTTTATTTCGGTTGTCTTTCACTTGGAAATACAATAGAAGAAAAGTTTCTGTTTTTCCTGATCTTGTTTTATGTACAAAATAAGTGTTTTTTTATTTTATTTTGATTAATTAATTTCTATACGACGCTTTGTTTACATGCTTTTTAGGGATTGCTTTTTGTGGTTATAAAAAGTTATTTGCAGATCCGTTTTAAACAATATTGGAAGTTGCAACAAAAGAGTATTATTTCACTACATTTTCAACATTTCTACAGTAAACTAAAAACTTGACTAACGTTCATTGCGTGAATTCTAAAACATACTAAACGGAAAAAAAAAAAAAAAAAAAAAAAAAGGAAACCTATGTTTTTTAGCCGTTGAGACACTTTTTAGTTCAAAATATAAATAAAAATTTGAAAATGTCGATTTATGGACGAGATGCTGGCGGATTTCACTAGATATAACTGTTATACAAGCCATACAATATGTTTCAAAAATATTTCAGAATAAGTGTTGAATAAAGAAAGCAGAAATGTTTTTCTAATCTAGCAAGTTATACATTTTTATCATCAAGTGAAACCCGCTTTACTTTCGCCAAAAAACACCTTTTTAAGGTGATAACTTTAAATTTCTGGTGGATGCCACACTTACAAGTTGTTTCGCTATCATCAATACAGTCTTAAGTGAAAATTTACGGGCGCAAATATTGAAGAGATCTTCTAATGATAATCCCAATAACTCTAAAACCATGGCATTGTAACGGCCACCGCAAGTGCCCAAATGATAAATGCGTGGTATGCCATCTGGGGCGTTATCGGCTGCATTTCGTTTCGGTTATCGATTCATTTCCAATGTGGCACATTGTTTTTTTTTGCATTTTTTTTGGGAGCAGATATACACATATAAGAGAATCCAATTCCAATTCCGATTTTTGGGGGATCCAATTTAGTCGCGGGGATGGTGAGTGAGGGGTTGGTTCATAGCATATATAGTATATATAGCAACAAGGCATCACAATGGATTATGCAACAGTTTGTAGGTTGGTTCATTTTCAGTTCAGTTCATTTTCGAGTTGGTTGTAATGTTGTGGCAGATTGTGGCAGGTTTGCAGCAGACACGGAGGGAGATATATATTGAAAGATAGAGAGCAGCGCATGATGATTCGGAATCGGGTTTAAATTTCAATTTAGCGGTGTTTTTTGTTCAATAATTCATAGTAAATATTCGGTATTTGGTGTTGTAGTTGTAATAGTTTGATGAATAATGGAGGAACAGAGAGCAAATTATTTATATAAACAACGAATAAGAATAAGCAATAGCAAAAAAAAAAAATTTGTAAAAAACGAAACAGAAAGACGGGAATTTCAAAAAAGAATTAATCAAAAGTTGAGTAATAGTTCTGAAATCAATATATATAGTAGGGGAATAGAGATTGGATTTGGCTATAAAGTGATTTTCGAGCTGTTTTACATTGGCGGGTATAACAGTAGTTGCAGTTGCAGCCTGAGCTGTTATACTACAGACATACAATATACAATACGTGGTGTTTGTTTATACAGTTTCTGTTTTTTATTATTTTATTTTTATTTTCATTTTCATTTTCATTTATTTCATTTCAAATTTCACTTCACGCACCGACCGACCTCCGAAAATATGCTTGAGAAAATCTATTCATGTTTTTCTTTTCGTCGTATTCTTTCTTCGCAATGCATTTAACAATTGCGAGGTACCAAAAGTGTTATACAAAAATCATAATATATATATATATATATATATATTCGTTTTACGTATTAAACTAATCAAGTGGTGGTAACGGTGCAAAACTTTTTAACTTTCAGTAGTTTTAAGGTTAGTAAAAGATACAGGTGTCTTGGGGGCGAGAGCAAGAGAGATAAAGTGTGGCAAGGAAGAAGAGAGGCCAGCTTTTGGGTAATTTACTTGTGTACTATAAAGTACATCTTTCCCTGCTTAGCTCTCTTTGGGTATTGTTAGTTTTGTTAGTAAGTATTAAGTGGGACGACAGCTTTGAGGGAAAAAGTTAAGGTTTGGTTGGTAGGACGGACTGCAGAGTTATATAAAATCGATTGTTTACATACCATGTGATCCTAATAGTTTATAAAACCTATACTCTAAGTGTAGTTGCGGAGCCTTTGACTTCATAGGCTCCATTTTTATTGCTACATGTTCATTGTTGTAAAGATTTTTGCCTGCAAAAGAAGGAGAATATTTATTAGATTATATTTCTTATGAAGTTAACTTTTAAATTAAACAAAAAATCAATTCATAATCCCAAATTGCATGTCCAAAATGTCACTTTACATGCTTCGCATGCTTTCAACGCGTTTACCTGCCCCACTGTTGTCAGCAGTGCCACGCCCATTACGCCCTCCAACATTACCACCACCAAAGCAACACATTCGACGACCTAACCAAATGGGAAATACAAAAATAATAGTAAGAAACTAGAAATATATACAGTTCCTTGCTCTTCAAGCACTTCTTTTGTATAGAAAGAATAGCCTAAGAGGCTCTCTCAGTTTAAATACCCTTTAGAAGGGTATATAAAATTTATGTTTAAGTTAATTTTAAAGCAACTGCAATCTGGAATTAAGATTATATATATTCCAAGATTAAAGCATTTAACAGATACAAATTTCATTTTGCGATTAGAGAAAATCTTTCGGAAGTGGAATTGAGAACAAGGTTGTGTATAATTTGAGAATTGCATTTTAGATATGACGGCATGACGGAGACGCAGACAGAAGCGAAGAGAAAATGTCAACAACAAACACAGTGCGCTCATGTGCGAAATTATGTCATGAGAAAGGCGGTGAGGGAGAGACAGACAGAGAGAGAGAGAGCACTTCACCTAAGAATGTGTGGGTGGCTTGGGTTGGGTTTTTTATGAGTTAGCTGAGTGGGTGGATGGGTGGCGGGCGAGACAGACGTTGCTCTGCTTATCAACAGACACAACATTAAAACGTTAATAAAGTCATTGCACATACATATGTAGATACAGACATGGCGAGCGATAGGAAGCCGCATGATTTTGATTACATGCTAGAAAATACCACTGGCAATGGCCTCTGCTAGCCACGCCCCCTTAAAAAGCATTTGTTTTTGCTGATTTCTAAGAACACTTCAGAAAGAAAAAACAAAAACATAAAAACCAATTTGTTGGTCATGAAATTTTGTATCCATCGCTGGGCAGATTCTAAAGAACTGCTAGTCTCTGGAAAAGTCTATTATCTTTATATAAACTTTCTTTTATAAATCAATAATTTCTTACAATAATAAAACTAGAAGATCATGACGAACACAGGGCTTGAAAATCGCGACTAACAATAATCTTCAACAAATACCGTGACCTAACGCAATATACAATACTAATCATAGTTCAAAAACCCCACAAAAAAATGGAAAATAAACCCCAAAAGATTCGCTAAAAACAAGTTGGACGCCAAAAACAATAAAACGACTCTTAGAAACTAAAACAACGAATGGGGAAAAATAAAAACACATTTTATAAAGGGCGTGCTGTGCGCTAAACAAAAATAAAACGAAAGTTTCCCAAATTAAACGAGAAACGCCCACGCAAGGCGCCCATAAAAATGAGCTAAGAAAAGAGGCGGAAAAGTATTTAGGTTGGTCAACGTTCTGCTTTCCCAACCGCTTCTCTAATATATATTCTTTATCTTTTGTTTTTCAAATGGTTAAAAAGAAAAACACAAAAGAAAACGGGCCTGTTTCAAAATGAAAAACCAAAAAAAATTATGTCACTTTGATTGCAATTCAAAAGCCAAAAATTTAAAACGCCTAAACTTTTATCTCAACGTCAGCCACTAATCTGATTTACAAACAACAAAAGCAAAGAGCCAAACAAAAGCACATACTTGGCGAAAAGGTATTTATAGACCACAATTAATAAAAATGATATCATAACCAAAATCAAATGGGCCGTGCGACGTCATTGAAATGTATCTAAAAATGTAATTACGAATGAACCCCAACGAGCAGATCCCACCCAGTGCAGGTCAAACTGCGCTATTATCACAGTTTGAAAAAGAAATAAAAATTAGCCAATTAAATCCAGCTTTCAAGTGGTATTGCTTTTTTATCAAGACACTTTGCCTTAGTGAGTCATGCAAAAACCCCAACAAAGTCTCGAGATGCTGAGGTGGAACAAAGCAAAGGCACAGCTTAGGCGGGCTGAGAAAGAGACAGACTGAGTAGCCCAAGAATGAGAATGCATGATAATTACAGTTTTGGCGGCACTGCCACAGCAGCCGGCTGAGAATTAGTTAGACTATACTATACTCGTATACTCGTACTACCTGTTGGCAATGTGACAACAAATGCACAAAAGGAAGTGGCCAAACAAAAAAGAAAACAACAAATAAATAAACAACGGCCTGTATGAAACAACTTTATAAAAGCGCATTTAGCAAACAAAGCCAAAATGACGACAACGACGATGCCAAGAAAACAGATGGCGGAATGGTATGGCATTTTTTTCTTTTTCCGTGTATTGTGCACTCTTCAACGCAAGTGAAAAGGAGCGGGGAACTATGTTCCCATTGTGGTTAACAGACCTGGAAAGGAATGCCAGCCGAAAGGAAGTGGCCAACAAAAAAAAAAGTTAAGAAAAAGCCCGAAAACGCGACATTATTTGCATGCCAACAGGCAAAAATTGGGTAAGGGAAATGCTTAATGGGGCAGTCCGAAGTCAGGCTTGGAATTATAAACATCATTTTTGGGTATATTTAAGAAAGAATTTTATCAAAAATGTTCAGATATATGATCAGCATAGGATCGCATAGTCCTTAACACATTGAACAAGGATAACTCATCTCTTTGCCTTTCCTTTAGTTTTCTAAATGACTTTGTGATCAATCCAAGAAAGAAACCACGAAAAACATTGTAAATGTTTAACAAACACATCACAAACAAATGATCTTCCAACATTAAAATTGATTGATTGTTGATTTATCAATAAAAATATTTGATTTTGTTACTTACCTAAACGCAACTCGCCAAAATTACCACAGCCAATTTTTTTACCGACACGAAAATTTGGTCCGACCATAAGTACACCGGTTGTGGTGCTTACAGATTGGCGGGTGGAATACATGTTATTGCTTGAGCTTTTACCACCGGCTAGGGCTGTGGTGGCATTTGCCACATTACCAGCGGATGGACCGGCAGTTGTCGTTTGTGGGCCACCGCCACTGCAAAGAAATAGAACGGAAATCGATTAGTAACAAGTAGATTGCAATAAAAATAAACACAATTCACGGGTTCATTAAGAGGGTTTGGGGAGCAACAACCAAGTGATATAAAGGCTTTAACACTCTCTAAGCTGCTGGAAGAATCAAGTTCTTACTTCCAACGTACACGGCATTAAGTGTCAAGCTACTTAAATATTAAAATAGGAAAAGATTCTTCATTGAGCCGCCGCCATAATCTTTAAGATTGTTAACCTTTCTTTCTTTAGAACTGCTTCATCAATACGTACTCTTCCTGCTTGAAAGAATTTTTAAGAGATAAATATTTTCGCAACATTTAATTTTGAAAGACCAGGCCCTGGTATACGAGATCGAAACTATTTTACAAACGGAAATCGAAGTTGTAAAGTTCATAAACCTGTTAGGTCGACCGAAACCAAAACAGAAATTCTCATTCCGTAAGTGGGCGTTACTGCCTTTGCTTATAAATAAGTTTTTTATTCTTGTCCCTGTGAAAGGAAAAGACCCAGGACAATGACACAAAAACTTTTTGCATTTTCAAGTGGCACACCACAGACAGCTAAAATCGATTCGAATCGAATCGAGTGGTGTGTGTAGGCCAGGTAGGTGAGTTTCTGTTTACCCAAGGCTCTTGGCAAAGGGAATAGAGAACTAGCTGCTGGTTATGGCCTCATGTCCACATGGAGAGCTCGCTCAGGCATAACCATTCATTGAGAGTTGGGGCGGGGGGCAGGCAGCAGCAGCAGAGAATTCGAGTCGACTCGAGTCGAGTGGGGAGTGACTCATGGCCACCAGACAAGGGAAATATGTTTGATTAAGACAAAAGGTTTTGCTTTGTTGCACTTCGGGATGGGTGTGGCCATTGAAAGATCTTTTATTTTCTCATGCCTTTCATTGTTGCAGAATTTAGTTCAATGTCGTTGGGGTTAATCGCTATTAAAGTTACTTAATTGGGTTAGGGGTTAAGTTGACTTTGGTAAGCATGAAATATCTTACAACAAGCTTCATTTCCAAACCTAATTTAATGCCAATGAGTCACCAGAAAGTAGAGGCCAATACGACTTATAACTCACAATGTAAGGATATGATTATCAGCTCAACTTCCCTATAAAAAAGAACCCAAAATATCTTAGTTGCGTTATTATGAAGCGTAGTAAAATGTTATCTATAGATGGTAGGTTGTTATTGACTTTCAAGCAAAGAAAAAACTAGGTCAGAAGTATTCCCTCCCATTCCCATGATGAAAACTGCAATTACTAATCGCATATCTGGATCAGAATCTATAAATTTTTCACCCATTAATCTCTCTTTTGCCTAGCCCATCCTTAAGTTAATGCCCCTGAGATCACATACAATACCAAATGGCACTAATTACAGGTAGTCAAAGCTCTTGGCAATTTCCAATTGGTTATCTGATGAAAAAGGAGAAATCTCAAACTTGGTTCCTCCCAACACGATTAACAGGAAATTATTAGGTATTCCCACTCGTTTCCATAGCCATAATTTCTACTTTCATCTAATATCAGTCTGCCGGCTCTTCGATTATTTGCCAGCCAACGCGAACGGGAGTCGGAAAAGTCTTATCTGCCCACAAGTTTTTCCTTCCTTCTTTTTTTTTTGCAAAGTTCAGAAAGAGACAGAGTAACAACATACACACAACCGATAATTGTACCGTTAAGCGGGGACTGTAAAAAAAATCACAAAGACTACAAACCGCCGATAACAATTAAAGAGTAAATTGCTGTGGCCACGAGCAAAGGGGATTGAGCAGGCGACGAAATGAATCAGAAACAAGTTGGAGTTCTCGACTTCGATTACAAGTTCCTGCTTTGTCCAATGGCTATCACTTCTTTGATCAGAAATAGAACTACTGGACACCTGGATTTAACTAACTTGTGCTACAGGAATAGTGCCCCTAAAAATAGATTTACCTTTTCAAAAGGTCAAATATTACTTAGCTTAACTGTTAACTGTTTAGCTGTATTGGTTCCCAAGATGCGGGTCAAGTTTTTGGGAAAAGAAAAAAAAATTCTGCTGATATAAAAACAAAATATTTATGAACTCAAAACAAAATGATTATAACTAAAATTTGTAGCATTAAGATATGATTTTATGATAACTTCATAGACCTAAGCAATATATTCTTAAAGTGTACAACTTTGTTAGCAACCGCTTTTCATGTTACATTTTAACTTGACGAAATGAAAACAAAATGTATCTCCCCATCCATCAATAACTAATTAGTCGGGTATTTCTAGTTGGTTAGCTTTTCTAGGGTATTTCATTGCCGCGGCAAGTCTCATTTTTCATGCTTTTCTTGTTATTGCTTTGACTGTTTTATGGCTTAATATCCTGGGGGTAAAACTGGTTCACAAAAACATACTCTCACACACACTCGCGTAAGTATATCTTTTTCTGTGTACATATGGACGGAGGGTATTAACGTATAAATGGCTGAGCTGAATGTCCATCGATCGATCGCCGTTTGTCTCTACTTCTTCGGTGTATCTTGTTGGCTCCCCACTTAAAACCATTTTTATTTGGTTGCTCTCCGCGTAATGTTTTCCTTTTTTTTATTCATTACTTTTATTTTACTTTTTGGGTCGGTTGGTTGGTTTGGTTTCTTGGCTTTCTACACGCCTTCTGCTTCTTGCCACTTGCCTGTGGCCTGGTCTGGAAACGGGTTCTCATTTTGTCGCTGCCGGTTAGTTGTTCTTTAAGATTGCCTTGTTGCTGTCTTTTTTTTTTTTTTTTGTCCATGAATCAGAATGTGAGAAAAAGGCTCTCGGCTGGAAATCGCAGCTGGAGCTGGTCCGCAGGCAAAGCGGTTTCCTTGGCAGTAAGGGGTTAATAAGCACAGCTCAATAAGCACTCGATTATCGAGTGTATGTATACAGGTTTTAAGTTAATCCAATAAATAACCTACCTATATGTACGTATTAAAGGATTTTCTACGTTGCTAAGGTTAAATAAAAAAGTGCTTGATCCTCTTAATATAGCAAAATAAATGCATCTTCACTCTATTTTCAGTTTACTTTTTGCAAACACGGTCTTTAATGTCTAATCTAATCGTGTTAAAACGAATAGTTTCCAAATATTTTTAGCACTTGTTGCAATTATCATTAAATTTTTATAAAAATGAATAATAAAAGTAAATTCCACTTCTTCATTGATAAAAATGACCCCCAAATGCTAACATTTCTTTCTGATAAAACAGTGACATAACACTCTCATTAAATAAAAATTAACACTTGTTGCAAACCAAACGTTTTCCTCGCTAAAAAAGCGGCAATAAACCCGTTTCAAGGAAAGTGATTTGTAAAACAAAAAAAGAACATAAATGTGTTGAAAATTTCTTTGTTTTGTTTGCTGCGTTGGAAAGCAAAGGAAAACAAAATCGATAATTAAAAATAAGCCAAGCGCTATAAATAAAATTATGCACAAGGTGGGTTGACCAAACCCACTCACACATCCCCGAAAAGGGGAGCACTGTTATCTGTATCTGTGTGTGTGTGTGTGGCTCATAAATAAATCAAGTGTAAATTGAACACAAATCCGACTCAAAGAAGAGAAAAAGGGCAGAGGGCGGGGGAAAGGAGAGAAATAGAACAGGGGACATAGAGAAACCTGCGCTGATGACGGCAATGGCAGAAACCGCAAACAGCGGAAAATCCCAATTAGAATCCCACAACATTAGCGACAACAACAATCACTACACGGCAAGAAAATTATGTTATAATTAGATAGATGGTTTTTAAAGAAATAAATGGCTTTGCATTAATAAATATAAACTCTATTCTTACTAAATATTAAGATTATTTTATTAAACCGACAAATACAAACTCTGGTTATACTGAAAATATAAATCTTAATCAATCGACCTGCCTTTTTCCCCAGTGCACCTCCACAAGGAATAGCAAAATGAAACCGCAAAAGAATTCCGCCTAATTTGTCAGAATATTGATTGAGAATCAAGGTGACACAATGACTCCTAAACTGTGACTAACACGCATAATTGCAAATTGAATTAAAGCCCAGAAAAACCACTTATACAATTATACAAGAAGCCCCAAAAAAAAAAAACCCAGACGTGCTTCACTTTTAAGGGGAAATTACATAAGCAATCAAAGAAAGCAAATGGCGCTTAAAAATAAACAAATGATAAAGAAAATCGAGTGATAAGTGCGTATGTCTATACTTGTTACTTTGTATCTGCATCGGTATATGTGTGTGTCTTATCAACTAGAGATTTGTGTGACGTTATTCAGCACTTGTTTTTCACTCTTTTCCTCTCGTTCGAATGGCTGCTTGCAATTGATTTGTTGCTATAATTTCTATTTATATAAACAAACAATTTCATTACAATTGCCAGCACGAGCAATTGAAATTTCAAATTATGCAAATCAATTGAAAAGGCGTACAAGCAAATCTAAACATTCGATTGGGGGAATACCCTTATGGATTTACAATAATGATTATGTATGTGTTTTGATAAAATAGATATTTCTAATAAGTACAAAATATCAATTCATATTTCATTTTCAAAAATTTTAGTTAACCTCCTCCAAACTTGGCAAACTACATTGGCAATTAGTAGCCCCAAAAACATTTCAAAACTATTGGTACTGGCAAAAAGTAATTATTTCAAAAACATTTCAACCTGACAGGCAAGGTAAACATTCCAAAATTAAATTTCCTATTTGAAATTGGTCTTTTTTCAGCTTCTGAATCTTCAAATACTCTTGTTAAAAATACTAACAAAAACTATTAAATAAAAAGTGTACATCAATTGCCGATGTGGATAAAAATCACCGCAATTGACAATATGCTACAAATGCGCTTTAGCTTGTTATTATTAATGTGATTGTTGTTGCTGCTGCTGCTGTTATTGGTAATCGAATCGTAATCGAATTTCTATAACGCCCAGCATAACGACATAACGTAACGTGTCAATATCCATTTTCAATGGCATTTGACGTTTTGAAAGGCAAAAGCGGCAGAGTGAAGTACAACAACTACAACTACAACTAAAACTACAACTAAAACTACTACAATGGCAGGCATTTTGATTCGCATAACATAAATGAGCACACACACTGCGGCTTTCTTCTTCATCTCGGCCTCACTCTTACCCCTCGCATCATACCAACTGACCTATCAACACTGATAAGCGGAGAGAGCGAGAGAGTCTTGCATACACCATACACACACATAGACAAGCCACTCGAGAACCCAACATACACACACACTCATATACACAAGTTGGCTAGATAAGCGCGCCTTGATTAGCAGCGACGTCAGACAATAGCGAGTCAAAATGAACGAGTGGCAAGTGTGTAAAAAGAGAGTGGGAAACAGGCGTAGCACATCTCAAAAGTGGGTGGACAGCCAGAGAGAGAGAGGGGGAAACGTAAGGAAGGATAGATAGAGAAAGATGCAAGCGCCACTGCACCTTGCACAGTGGGAGCCATTATGGAAATAAATTTAATAACCCGGATCTTTCATTTGACTATTAATTCAATTATCCAAAAGAAAGTAAACTTTTTAAAACAAGTTTCAGGTAGATTTGTTATTTGTACGTCCATGATCCTGATCCACAAAGGTAAATAACTCTTTAAGATATAGTTATTAGATATTAACTCATCACTTTCCATTTTAGATCCTAATTGTTAGCACACTTTTTCCCATTCATATTCAAACTCGCCCCACCGTGCGGCCAGATTTGGGGCTGGGCTGGCACGTCACCCAGCCCACTTCCATTTCCAGCGGCAGAGACAACAATTCCATTGACGACGTAGTCTATCAACGCCACACAGCCTCTAACTGAAAAGTGCACAATGTGTTTGTGGTTGTCTGTGTGTCTGTATGGGGGCGCCTCAATAGCCGATTGACCTTTGCATGTTAGATTAACATTGAATATGAAATCCAATCCCCACCTCCCACTTCTCCTCATTCCACAGATCCTGTTTGTGGGCCATCTAAGCTGTGTATCTGTCTGTGTGCCTCTGTGGCTGAGGCTTTAATTAGTTTAGCCTCAGTTCGAACACGTGCAAAAGCCAAAAGCTATGCAAATGGATTCTTCTAGAGGTCAAAAGCTATCCACTATCTCTGAACAGCATAAAATGACCACTGGAACCAACGTTTCTAATTACACATGTGGTTCGAATAATATCACAATAGCTGTCACATTCAAGGTGTGGTTGGGTTATTCTGGACTCTGCAACGCTGATTTGTAATATCTAAATCAATACCAATAGAAATGGAATCCAATACATACATTGAAATGTATTAGATTTCACTTTCAACGAAATCAATTATAGTATCACATGTCTGTTGACAAATACAAAACTTACTTATTTTTACTCACATATATCATATGAATGTATAATAGATATTCCTATTCTTAGATATAAGATATCTAAAAATATAATAAACTATATAAACTAAAGTCATTTAATATATGGCTGGACATGTATTTTGAAAACTTTCTTACTTTCTTATTTAGCTGACAAGTTCTATGTTTATAAGGAATTTTGCTGTAAATATTTAACCTTACAATCAATATTAAAAACAACCTCATTTTTTATGACTATTATTCCGACCGCAATCGTTTGAAAACTATACACTTATATTGGAAGTGTTTGTATGTCTGTAAAATTGTCGGTAATTTGCTTTCTAGTGTTTTCTTCCTGCATGGCTCAACCTTTCGGATCGTTTAGAAGGGGCTGAGAGTGACCCCGAGATAACCCCAATCCCAGCAATTCTCCTTCACCCCAACAACCACCCACAATTTGTCCGTTATTTACGCTTGATTCCTTCCTTCCGCCTTCATTGGACGTTAGTCGATTGACGCGGGGGGCGTGGCCTTTCGACATTGAAAAACCTCACGTGCGTTTGCATTGCCAACAGAAGTTTTGTTTCCTTCGTTTTTGTTTTTTATTTTGCTGCAATGTTTGCAGCTTCTGGCCGAGTTCAATGTCGCGGCCAATGCAATTTGAGCAATTGCATTTTTACGCTTTTTCTTATTTATCTTTAATCGGCATGTCTGTCAGTCGATTGCCAAACCGAAGGCCAAGAAAAGTCAATACAGTGTGGCCCTGCATAATAGTCACCGGCTAAGTTTGCCCCTCAAGACCTTCACATTTTCTGAACCATAGCGAAAAAGTTTGCAATTTGACTTCCTTAATTTTAATTTATTTATGTAAAATAAAGTTATGGAAGTTTAAACTTATATCGGTGGGGAAAATGTCCGTCTCAGCTTTGCAAATAATTGGCTGTTGGGTTTTCTTATTTACACAATTTGTTTGCAAAATACAGATGGCGGATAAACGAATACTGATTTGTTAGCTTAGACTTCCCAGTTTGTTATTAAGTAACAGAACTAGTTTTGTACAGCTATAGTGTATTTCCTTTTTCTTTCATGTTTTGTATAACAATAAATGTTTAATTAGGCTGCGATAGATTGCTTTGGAATACAATATTCTTAGAAATAATAATATAAACAAACTTTTCACATAATCTAAAAACTGTTAGTCATCAAATTAAATTGCATTGAGCAGATTGCACTTATAAATAGTTAAACTAAAGTATCCGAGATGTTTGTAAATTTATTTAATGAAAAATCAATCATTTCACATCTACAACCATTTAGTAATCACTGAAAGTGCCTGGCATTTCCAGGGTACTTTCCTGCAATAAATTCACTTCTGGTCACACTATTGCATCGTATCTCAGTTAGTTCTCACAACCCTTCTGTTTTGAGTCATTCGAAACATAGCCCTTAACATGTGTTTAACACAAGTGGCCAATGTTTGGCAGAGTCGGTGAGGGAAAAACGACAATAAACCGATAAAAATATATGAAAACTAACCCGGTGAACTCCGTGGAACGGTGCTTTCAGTGAGAGAGAGATGTCGAGAAGGGCCTCATGCATGGATTCCCGTGGAAAAGTAAGAAGAGCGTCGCGGGGGATCGTCGACACCCAGTTGCTGTCAAACTGTGAGCAGCTGTTGTTGACTTTGCGGCCGTTCACTCTTCGTTGTTGTATTTGTAATTATTGTTGTTGTTGGCGCTGCTGCTGATTTAATGCTCTTGTTGTTTGAGAACGTGTTTTTTTATTTTTAATACCTTTGTTATAATTGTTTAACTAGCTGCACGGCTTGGATTTTACACAATTTTAGCACATTTATTGCACATCTGGTTGGCTTGAATATTAATAAATAAACATTAATTTTATTTCGGCATTGCAACCACATTTTTGTTAAACACTTTTCCGCTTTCTTTTATTTACACTCGAAGCACATTTCATTATAATAATTATTTTAACTCTTTATTTGTGTTTGCTCTTTTTGTGTACTGTTATTAAAATCCCAACTGGAAAATGTTTTTAATTTGCCATATCCGCTGCGCTTTGTCTTTATGTGTATGTTTGCGTGTGTGTGCAAGCAAGCCAGGGAGAGGAGAATAAAAAAGAGATGAAAGATCAGAAAATATGCTGCAATATGCGAGAAATCCGCTCAACTTTCGCCACATTACGAAATTAAAGCCAAAGTCGGAGACCCAAGCGCCCCCAACAAACAGCTTTTAAACACTTCTTCTTTTTTTTTAGTTACTTTTCTTTTGCAGGTCAAAAGTCTGAAAGACAAAGAAGTGCGAGAGGGAGAGAGAGAGAGGGATACAGATACAGATACCAAAAAGGCAGGCAAAATAAATTGTGGAAAAAAGTCATAAATAACTCGAAAAACCAGTTTATGTTGCCGGTGTACAAACAGGCAGCTCCAAAGCAGCAACAAAAGCAACAGCAACAGTAAACAAAGTGTGCAGCAAAACTAAGAAAAGTGCGAGCGAGCTAAGAATAGTACTTAACAAAAAAAATAATATAAAAAAAAGAAAACAACAACAGGAAAGGCTGAAAAAACCAAACTCGTTAAAGTTGTGCAGAAGATGGAAAAATAAAGCACAGACAGCTGACTGAAAAAAACTAAAAGATACACACACAGCTGAGCGAGAAGAGAGGGATAGATAATTTTCCAGTTGTGGCAGACTGTCAAGTCAAAGGAGATAGAGATAAGAGAGCTGTTTAGCAACAGTTTGACAGCCACAACTCTTTTCTGTTATGTTTCCAGACCATTATTTATTTTGTTCTCCAACTTTTGACACCACACGCACACACATACATACACAAAAAAACGTGGCTGCACTGTTGCATTCAAAATCATTTCAAAATAAAAACTGGAGCAAACACAAATTATTCAACGTCACAGCGATAAAGCGATTAACGCGTACAACAACAACACACCACGAATTCTCACAAGTATATTTAACTGCACACCCGCAGCGCACCGCGAGATTTTGCGAGAGAGTTGCGATTGCGTTTGCAAAAATACAAGTACGGCGGAGGAGGAGACGGAATGACAACTGCCGCGCCAAGCGATCGAAAATCAAATGAGCTCCGCACAAAGAACACACGAAGGCAAAGCCAGCGGGAGAGAAAGGGAGAGCGCGAGAGAACCCCAAACACATAGAGAAATTTTTGTATATTATATGATGATCAATACGGCAATTCCACATCGAACCTCTAAATGAAATATTTTTTAATATGCTAAATAAATTTTAGTTGAATTAATATATTTTATTTTATTGTTTTATTTATTTATTTAAGGCAGCAAAACCTAGATTTTATACTCATGATTTTTTGATGTTTAGATTATTTTTCTCTGTGTAGGAGATAGAGAGAGAAGGACATCGCTCAAGAGAGAGAGAGAGAGCGAGGTAAAAACACTTGTGAGCGTGTGAAAATGCGGCAAATGAGCAGTTTGTATTAGTATGTAATTATTGTTCATGCCGCTGATGCTTGATGTTGTTCTTGTGCTTGTCACTGTAGGGGAGAGAAGCAACAACAATACAGAAGTGCGAGAGCGAAAGACAAACTGATAATGACGAACGACAGAGATAGGTAGCGTACATGCGTCAGAAACCAAGAAACTATCGCAGCCAAACTCGTTACACAAACAAAACGCACCTGTCAAACACACAATCACACAGACACACACAATTAAATAAGGTGCAGAATGGAGCACGGGGAACTAGAAGTGAACAAAGCCGGCAAAAGAGAGCCTACGATCTCCGGCTTCACCTCAATGGAGATTTCTTTCGAGCGCAGTCGCAACTGTGGAGTTGCTACCAATGAGAGCAAGAGAGAGGGAGCTGGAGTGGGAGGGGATGTGAGTGAGGGAGTGACTCATGCAGCAGTGCCATGCATAAACGGCGATAAGCGAGACAGCTGTATGCCTGCTGCCGTAACAGTGTCTGTTAACAGAAATCCCATGGAACGAGCACAGTGGGCTCAATAGGTTTAAATAATCTGATAAAAATATAACTTTTTTTTGTGATATATTATTATTAGTATTATTATTATATATATGGCATAAGGCAATGCAGTTTACTTTAATATAAATAATAATAATATTGGTATTTACTTTCAATATTTCATCAACACCTTGATATACACCTTGGATGCACAAAAAAAAACTGTAGCGGATTAAATTAAAATCAAATATCAATTTAATATCTGAGAAATCAAATAACAGTACAAGGCAATCAAACTTTTGTTTTTTTTTTTTAGGTCCACAAGAAGAAGCGAACACACTATCTTGCTGTGCATCAATATCGATACCGCCGCCGGTCATAATTAAATGATTAAATATTTAGTTAAGGCTCTGAAGTGATTTAACCTTCAATTAAATAGGTTTTTTTTTTGAAATTGCATATCGATAGACCCTGCTTGGTGGTGTAATTATCGAAATCAAGAAACGGCAGAAACAAAAACTCGAGCAACGACATGGGCTTTGGGGTTATTGAGCTCCCACTCCTCTCCGATGCTCTGTCCCACTCAGAGGTTGTTGCAGTTGATATGCGACTACGCATTTGACCTCAATTGCAGAGGCGCGACAGAGATGGCAATATCTGGAGAGATGTCTGTAGAATCTACAGTTCACATATATATGTGAGTTTTATTGTGTGTTCCCTCCTTTTCGGTTTCTTTGGTGGCCAAGCAATTAATTAATTAAAATGTAATTTATGTTTGCTGTTCCAGAGACATTTATTTGTTTTCGAAAATTAAAAACAATTATGAGTAAAAACACAAAAAGCGAACACCAGAACCAAATCAATGGCACAAGGAAAAACCAGTTGCTGCTTAATTATCAGCACAGGCAAGAAGAGCATAAAGTAAAAGAAATACATGACAGACAGTCTTGAGACGAACGAGAAGGACAGAGAGATAGGAAGAAGAGGTCAAAGCCAACTTTTAGGTTCATTTAAAGTGACTGAAATCTTTCTTGGACACACTTACTTTACTGAAGCCTCTCTTAAGGCAGTGGCAAAACAAGGGCTTAGGCTGAAAAACATCTTATTACCCAAAGAAAAATACAAAGAAAATCCTTTTAAACTTATTCAAAACTTACGCTACTTGGATTTGAAGCTAATAGCTGATAACTGTTGGTTTTGCCTCAACCTTCTCTATTTATCAGCTCCAATGCTTTATATTCAATGTTACATACAGCTTCCCATTTATATAATCCACCATTTCGCACTAAGAGTACTGGATACAAAAAGTTTTCCCTACCATATACTCCTGACACTCGACAAATACCCGGCTAAAATCTCAGAAGAGAACGCAATGACTGTGGTGGAAACAAAAGGAACTCAAACAAAAACCAGACTTGACCTGAGCAACTTGTTAGGCTCCACTCGAAAGCTACGTCTAATCTGTTTGCCAGCTTTTTCCCTCCGCACTCAAGGAATTCCACGACTCCACGCCATAGAGACAAAGATGAAAAATTAACGCAAATAGAGAGGTAGGATGGGGATTTTCAAGCGGTGGCCAGGACAGATAAAAGATAAAAGCGAACTTAAGCCAGCCGAGTTAGTTGAACAGCACTTGTCCCTTTTCATTTTCTCCATGGCGCTGCTCTTGAAATTTCAAGTGCTGAAAAGTGAGAAAATTTACAAGAATTTTTATAGTTATTTTTTTTTATGCTGTCTGATATCTAGTCTTTAAACTTTAAATTTAAAGCTATTTAACGAATTTCAATTTGAAATAATTAATGTTTTCCTGTCCATCCCAATTCAATCTTTTCTCTTTTGTGTCCCAATTTCAAAGGATACCCCACCACTTCTGATTCCTGCTGACTCCGAACATCTGACTGAATTACCTGATGATTCATTGCCGAAGGCTTAAACTGATCCAACCGCAAACGTATGTACATACATATGTGAAAAATGAAAAGGGGCAGAAAAAGAGGCTCTGTCAAAGCTTTATGTCAGCTGTTTGTATGTGAAATCCCATCGCTTTGTTTGACAGGCTTTTACTTTTACCCACGCGCACTCCCCCTCCGCCAACATTTCTCTCTTTTCCTTTTGCGGAACTCGAGCATCTAATTTAATTAGATGAAATTTTCACACTATTGGTTTTTGTTTTCCTCCTTTTGCTGACGTTGCTGTTTTCGTGCATTTCATTTGTACGCCTTTTTTCTGCAATTGACTTGGATGGAAGTGGATTGTAAAGTGAAAGAACAGCATTTCCCTAAGCACAGCAATCAGGGGACTTAACTGTCTAGTTTTCTCTCTCAATTATTTTTCTTCTTTAAATATCATATTGCATAGTTTGAAGGAAATAAGTAAAAATAAGGCTAAAAAAGTAACTTTAGGTTAGATTAAAGTGATCAACCAATTTATATTTTGTAAAATATTTGTATGAGTGGAACAAAAACGGTAAAATACCGTGCTTATTGGTACATAATCTACATCAAATTGTATTTTGACTGCACATTTATTGTGTTTTATACCTACAGATTGTGGATTATCGTTTTTTCCTTTCATTGAGAACAACGTGTTCGTGCTTTGGCTATGGCTAACAGAGAAAGAAACACCCCACGCACCCTCATCAACTCACTTGTGGAGCAAAAAAACGAAAGAGGAAAAAAAGAAAAGCCAGCGATTGACAGTCGACAACAGCCTAATGACGTCACCGGTAAGTAGTGCGTGGTGTGTGTGATTGTGTGCGAATGTTTGATGGGTCACTTGTGCTTTGCTTTTTATTTCGGTGTGTGCTGTTCGCCTTTACATTCACATTATTTCTGCTAAATCCGCAATTTGTCCTTGCTTTTATGTGGCACCACAGCTGCTGCTGCTTACTGGTCACCCAGTCCATCGCCCTCCGTTATCCTCTCGCTTTCGTTCGCTTTTCATCAGCGTTTTTCTTGTATTATTATTGGAGCTACTTTTTTGCCGCACGCAACATGGCTTTCTTTCTGCGGTTCTTTCTCTTTCCCTATTCGATACAGTAAAGCTTTCCTAACATTAATTTGCTGAATAA